ACGCATGCCGGGGGGAAGCTTAAGTCAGAGCAGACTATACAGAGAGAGGGAGAGAGAGAGAGACGAAGCACACAGGCCTGACCACAGCTTAAACAGTCTACGCTGGACATGGCTGTGTGCGTTAATCCCATTAGATTACTCAGTGCACACCCACACACATCTAATACACACCACACTTACTCATATACTGCCGAACACACAAGAGACATACACACATAGGCTTTTAAAGGGTCCATATCGTGGTAAAACAAAGTGTTTTCATTTTTCTGAAATGAAGGAGTGGATGCAGCATGTAAAAGCTGTTAAAGTTTTAAAATGTAATGTCCACTCCTCAGTCCATGGCCTGTTTGAATGAATTGTTTTTGTGATGTCACAAAAACCAACCAATTTACATACTTTCACCTATTGAGCCTACAGCAGTTTAGCCCCACCCATTCACGTTGATGTTATGAGGAGTGTCTCTAGCTTTTTTTGAATGGGGCTCAAGGCAGGACAGCCAATCAGAACAAAGGTCATTTACTTATATCAGCTGTAAGGCCGATATAACACAAGAAGGGATGAAGAGAGGTCACAAAATGGTCATGTATGTGTAAACAAATGATCTAAACTCACACAAATGTCACCAAATTTACCCCCAAAGACCTTCACCTTCAATAATTCAACATGTACTTGAACATAAAATCACATGAACATGGAAATAAGGTGAACACAGTTTCCAATTTTCAGCAGAAATATTCAGTGAGATCAACAGAGGCTGCACGTTCCTGATTGCAGCCTCTCGCTCTCATACTGCTACGTCTTGATTTGAGAAGAACTAGAGCTTTCCATTTTCGTGTTGCTGTTCGTTGATTTATCCACACTGTCCAGTGTAGTCTGCCCAAGGCATGCTAACGTTATCGATATCACTGATAATGCCAGTATCCGTGGTGAGGTTTTATCTGTAAACAACACTTCAGACTCTGTGTGTTTCGGTGATAGTTATAAGAAATAACTTTGGTTTCATCAGTGAAACTTGCCATTTAAAAGCTGCATTTGAACAATACGGCTACAGTCAACCATAGCAACACATGGTGCACAAGCAGCTGGGCTTCAGCACGAATGGTTCAAAGGGTCAAACAAGCTTTTAATGTGTTAAATTTGACACTATTCTATCTACATAACTGCAGGCATGACATGCACATACAGGCTGTCTCCTCTCAGGCTAAGCCAGACTAGCCAGCCGTTCTGAGCATATATTCTCTCACACAGATTATCGGCGTGCTCATATGCATCCGCACACACACATACACACGCGCCCACCCCGTGGAATATGATCACACAGTCCTAGACATGCGCGTGAACACAGACTCACTCACATTCCTGTGAGGATCCCACGGTGTGCTTGTCTCAGGTGTGAGCGTGGCGCCGTCAGCAGAAAATGAAATCAGATGTTGTAGGTAAGCGAAGGGACTTTGCTCTTTTTCTTTTTCCGGTTTGTTTACGACTTTTGCCCATTGCGAGCTGACCCGTATGGCAGCTCCAAAAAGTATTTGGACACTTTAACCATTGGTAAAGTTGAGTTATTTCACAAAAGCCTGGAGAACAATCCCACCCAGACTGCACTAAGGGCACTGTAAGGTACAGAAGTGGAGACCTCTAAGTTTGGGGCTGTTTTACTCACAATGGTGTCATTGAGCTTGGGTTCATTGATGAGATCATGAAGTGTACAAAGACATTTTGGATGGAAACCTGCAGAAGTCTGCAAACAGGAACAATTTGAAACACATGAGCCACCTTTTGAAAGAATACTTTGTCAAAGTGCTCGAACGGTCAGCCACTTGGTTTAACACTTTGGTTCCTAACACAAGTCTGGTAGAAATGTCTGAATACTTTATGAGGCCACTGTATCACTTTGAGTTGCAACTGATGCCAACTATTAAGCTGGCAGGAGTTTGCGCTATTATTTAACACTATTCTCTAGAATGGTCTTCTCTGGACGCTCATGACTTTTATTTGTACAGCAAGTTTTACGAGATTGTTCCGAAGCAGCTTTCAAGGAATACAGGTTCAGATCTTTAATAAGTGTAGTCGAGGGCAAAAGTGGTAGGAAGAATTCCCTAAGAGCATGAGAAAGAACCAAGACTCAAGGTATGTCTGAATGTGTTTCCTCTGTTGATGGTCAGCCCCACTGAGTATAAGACATATTTTCCTTCAAGGTCAATAAAGTAAGTTCAACTCCTTACAGATGGCATATTCACAGTGGAGTTATTGTTCCACCTTCACTTGGTTCTTCCTCTTGCTTTTATAGAGTTTTTCTATTTGAGGTTCCTCTGGTTCCTCTCAGTGGTTCTTCCTCATGTTTTTAGTGGGTTACTTCTTTAGAGTCGTGCTTCTTCTTGGTGGTTCTTCCTCAAGTTCCATTGGATTTACTCCTTTTGAGACTTGATTCTTCATAGGGGTTCTTCCTCATGTTATAAGGGAGTTTCTTTTTTGAGTCTTGATTCCTCTCAGGCGTCCTTCCTCATGTTCTTAAGGAATTTCTCCTTTTGAGTCTTGGGTTATCTCAGTGTTTCTTCCTCATGTTCTTAGTGAGTTTCTCCTTTTGTGTCTTGATTCCTCTCGGTATTTCCTCCTCATGTTATAAGGGAGTTTCTCCTTTTGAACCTAGATTCCTCTCAGTGGTTCTCCCTCATGCTCTTAAAGAGGGTTGCTCTATAGGGGGCTGCACCCCTCAATTCTGGAAAGTTGCTCTGGGACAGTGCCACTTCCAGAAAACACTGCAAATAAAACCGAACTGAATCTATTTGAGGCCGTACTTTATTAGTGAGTTGAACAAGCGTCAGGAGTGATTTGAATGACTCAAGGGAAGGTTACTTGTAGTTCAGTATTAAACTAATCTAGCAAAGAACTGAACCACAACACTTTCTTTGGCCGTCTTCATTCCTCTACACTTACGACACTGGCACAGTCGAATGTGGGCTCGAGCGTGGAAAGATTAATTGAGAATTGCTGCATCAGATAAGCCAGTGTAGAGCAGGGGGAAGAACGTGTGTAGAAATAATTTAGGATTAGATTGGGTGGCTAATCTCTTTATAGTGAGTGTGCAGTCTCAGCATGCAGACGGGTCTGGATTTCTCTCCCACTCTCTCTCATTTTCCCTCTCTGTGGATCTTCTCTCCTCATTTTAATTTCCATTTTGCAGCGAAACGCAGCCCGTAGGACATTCTTAGATAAGGCTTGCAAGTCTGGATTGGCGTATTTTGTCACTTTTACAAGAGAATAACTGCAAATGTGGTTTTCCATAGTTCTCATGAATCTGAAACTGACCTTTGCCTTTAGAACCTTTGGACATATAACAAATACATCCCAACATATCTTTGTGAAGGTCAAAAAAAGTACCAAATACTGTTTTTCTGTAAGATTTTGTATAAACGTCCACTCGTTGTCCACTTTATAGCTCCACCTACCTTATAAGTCCCATATATCGGTGTACAGTTACAGACTGTAGCCTGTCCTTTGCTGGCCAATCTACACCATTACTCTACCCCATTCCTCATTGTTCAGTTTCTGACCACTACACTGCTGTTGACCAGATGGTATTTGGGTGGTGGATCGTTCTCAGCTCAGCAGTGACATTGACATGGTAGTTTCATCGTGGTATGTGTGGTTCATGGTGGTGTGATTGCATCAGCCATGTCACTGTCACTGCTAGGTTGAGACAGGTGCACCACCCATCCAGTTAAGAGCAGCTCTGTGGTAAACTGGCCACTGAAAAGAGCTACAGGATAGCTAATATAAACTTTTCATCAACAGATGGACCACAGTCTTTAATTGTACACGAGCAAGGGTGAACTACAAGGTAGGGATGAGTACATTGTCCAGCCCTTTCTTGATCTTCCAGAGAAAACATTTCTTTGATTTATTTCAAAGCAGTAGTTTCTCAGATAAGTGTAGTTGATTAGCCTAGGCAAATTTGTTCTTCTTTCATCAGACCTGCCTCATGATTTACATGTTACCACTGTTTTTAGCTATGTGACATGCTAAAACAGATAGCATTGTGCAGTCAAAACCCACAAAAACAAGTCTATTTTGGATTATATGGCCTCTTTGCCTTTTTCTGCTGGCCTACTAGTGGCCATTCTGCCAGTGGATGGAAATCGACTTGGATATATTTATTTAATATATAGAAATAAAATATTTTTTACTGTAACTCTGTTTAAAGATTAACTTTGACACTATTAGCTCTCTAAGTATGAACTTTCGTGACTGTGTTGAGCTGCTAGCGAGCAATGATGGGGTGAAAGGAAGCCCGCTGCTGTGAAAAAAATCAAAAAAGACAGCTGTGCTGAGATAAACAGACAGCACAACTCTTGTGATAAATATCATGCCACAATGAAAATACAGATTTTATCAATATTGACTTGCTTGCTTACCTTTGATTATTCAATGTTATGCAAAGAAAACAGTTCTCCAAAACAGGCAGAAATTGCGTTACTGTAAAAAGGGGTAAACAACTCAACTTGGCTTGAAAAAAGTGATTTATGCCATTTATACGATGCTAACCTGTACGGAAATAAGCATTCCACGAATAAGCACTGGGTAAAATGCATTAACCTTGTAGCTACAGAGCAAAACTAAAGAAGCTAATTTCAAACTTGGCTGATGGACTTTACATAGGTAGGCAAAGGGAGTGTTAGGAGTCTTGCCCAAGGACGCTTATAGGTATAGTGTAGGGTGCCTGCCCTGGCCAAGGATTGAACCCCAGTCTACAGTGTAGAATGCAGAGGTGTTACCCACTATACCGTACCAACCATATCACTTTCTTCTAGAAAGACCAGTGTGCTCAATTTTGGTCAAAACAGTTCCTCACGTCAAAACGTCTTGATCTAGAGGGGGGTCCGGGCATGAATCGAGGTGGCTGGATTAGTAGCTCAGTATTCATTTTGTCATTTTCAGCCTTTATCTAACAGCCAGCAACTGTCCAACTGGCTCTCTTACGCTCTCTCTCTTTCTCTCCGCAGCCCAAATCGAAGTTATACCATGCAAAATCTGTGGAGACAAGTCCTCAGGGATCCATTACGGGGTCATCACGTGCGAGGGGTGTAAGGTGAGAATAAACATGATGGGCTTTTCCAAAAGCACTGTAGAACAGTACCTTGTCTAACACCATTAAAGACTACTGATTTTGTGGTTTAGACTAGATCACCAGCCACATTAGCAGTTTTGTGTAGACTTGCTAGAAACCATTTAGAAAATTTTAGCAGATATCACCAGTGATAACAAAAGCATGTTTTATTTAATGGCTTGGAAACAGAAGGAAAATCTAATGTAAATGAATGAACCATTTAAGCCTTGAGCAAAAACAGGGCTATTTCTGTGATTTATTCTGCTTGTTGCTATTAATTGTGTATATTGATGTGAATATTTTCATTTAGTTTGTATCACAAACAACAAGAAAACATATGAATAGGACGTCACACTTCAGTCGCAAACCAGTAATAAGCTCTAACCAACCTGAATTGTGCTCTGAATGAGCATCCAACAATAAAGGAGGCCTTGTGCATCTTCTATACAGTGATAGGAAACACAGAAACGCATAGAAAGCTTTGACTACATGCTGATTTGGTTCGAAAGTAGTAGTAGTTATTTACTGAACTATATAACTAAAGTAACAGCAATAACTTTAGACTTCTAAAGGCCAGCAGGGCTTTCAGGGCAGGGAAATCTTGAAGAGCAGATTGGGTCCTAAGCTTTCATCCCAAATAATCACTAACTTGCTGATCTTGGTTGACGACCCCTCCTGTTCAGTTGAGTTTAGGACTAGGCCGAGGCCTACCTCCTTCTAGCTTTATTTGTAGGGTGCCCCTAATATCCTCTGCTGTGTCCTGCTGTAGGGTTTCTTCAGGAGGAGTCAACAGAACAATGCCTCATACTCCTGCCCTCGCCAGCGCAACTGTCTGATTGACAGAACCAACCGCAACCGATGTCAGCACTGCAGACTGCAGAAATGCCTGGCTCTGGGCATGTCCCGGGATGGTGAGAAACAGAGCAGCTTTTTTGTTTATTATATATAATTTAGTGTTATATACTATATTTTATTTGAGATTTTGTCTTTCAAAATCAGGGTCTAAAAGTTCTCTTACGCTTGTTTTTGCTTTCCCTCCCTTACTCTACTCCGCCTCCAACAGCGGTGAAGTTCGGCCGCATGTCTAAAAAGCAGCGGGACTCACTGTATGCGGAGGTGCAGAAGCACCAGCAGCGTCTGCAGGAGCAGCGGCAGCAGCAGCAGACGGGTGAGGCCGAAGCCCTGGCCCGCGTTTACTCCTCTGGACTCTCGTCTGGCCTTGGAAGCCTTGGTCACGACATTGGCGGCGCGTATGCCAATGGCCACCTTATTGACATGCCCAAGGGCCAGGCCAACGGCGCCCCGGCCGGATACTACAGCATGGACTCCACCCAGCCCAGCCCGGACCAGTCCGGCCTGGACATGGCCGGCATGAAGCAGATCAAGCAGGAACCCATATATGACCTGACTCCCGTGCCCAACCTCTTCCCCTACAGCTCGTACCAGGACAGCCAACTAGCACCAGGAGTTTCCATGGGGGAGCTGGGTATGGCATGGCCGTTACTCATAAGCTTTTGAAGGCTTAACCCAATGTAGTCAATCAGCCAAGACATATTTGGCAACTAAAGTTCCCTTCTTTAGTTTAGCGCTGGAGCTGTGAGGCTAAAGTAAATACGTAACGGAACCATATAAACACCAATTAGCATTGTGCAAACTGCATGACACTCTTTGACAGTTACATATAAAAACAGACAACATTCAATAGTCTTTGGAGTTTAGCTAAGTGATTTGCTTTAGTCCATTTTAGAGATAACAGTGTGCTATACAGTGTCAAAAATCACATTAGCAAGTCTATTTAATGATTTAGGCAGTTTGCACAATGCAAACTGGGTTATAACCGTCTATTACTTGTTAGCCACATTAGCCAAAACATACAATATAGTGCAAAACTAAGATAATGGGAATATTTCATGCTTTTGGTTTTTTACTACATTATCACCTTCGCCTTAAAAGAATAGTTTCATGACATGAAAAATCACTTTTTCCACTTACTCTAGATCAAACTGACCTGCCAAGACAAATTCTGCCTTCTTAGTTCAGTGCTGGAGCAACGAGGCTAATGTTGCTAACAAACACCGATACCCAATAGTCACCTACATCTTTTCTGTAAAAACATGCCCAAAACTTCTGTCAACTCATTCAAACCACATCCAGGTCTTCGCTATGGTTGCACGGACTTGCTGATGTGGTTTAGGACACAGTATGACTCAACTGCAAACTATAAAAAGCAATGAAAGTTTAATGTGTAGCTGAACACGAGTTAGAAGCTCAATCCGCTCAATGTTCAGCTGCATAATTAAGGTTTGTGCATTTTTATAGCTTACAGTGAACCACACTGTGCTCTGAACCACATCTACAAGTCTGCTTGAGTGTAATGAAGACCTGAATGAGGCTGAGAGAAGTTTTGGGAAAGATTTGGGTGAATTTTAACTTCTAGTGTTTGTTAGCAATGTGAGACTTTAGCTCCAGCGTTAAGAAGCAAAATTTTGATGAAGGCTGATGACTTCATACAGGAAAAATGGAACATTTTCTTTGTCTACTTGATAAAAACATGAAACACCTAACAAGCCGATCAAAGGAACACCGATAGCGGCTTCAGCTACAATAGGTAGCTTAGCTGTCAGTCAAAAGAGAACCTACAATAAACTCTCAAGATTGGCTGTGCTTGCATCACAGAAATAACCTGGTTGTTTCCAGATGGTAGTCAGTACAAGGCTTCATTTCCCCAACATTTACAGTAACCCAAAGATCTTTCTCTGCTATAATGTTCAAGAGAGGACAATGGTTAGATACCACGACCGGCTGTGGTTTCCATTCCACTGTAGCTCTTAGCATCTAATGTCATGCAACTCACTTGAGGTCTACAGAGGTTTAGGGTTTCGAGTGAATATGATATCTACAGGCAGCTCGAATTGTTATGCACTGTGATTATGGTCATGGTCATTACCACACCTGCTCATTATTTATGGACCACTGGATATTTTAACTCTATAGTCTGGAGACTGACAGCTTTAATAGAAGATGCACTGTATTTAGAATAGTATCCCAAACTGGCCCATCAGGACAACAATTCCATGTCTTTTATATCTCAGCATCCCTGAGCTTCATTACCAATTGATGTTTGCCTGAATTGGGAGGTCCACTGATTTTGCCAGATTTCTGCCCAGTTCAATGGTTGAAAAACAAAGTCATTCAGAGTGGTTTGATGTGAACTAGTTCATCAACTCTGATATCTTTACAGTGGTGGTGATAGGAACCAGGCGTCACAATGTCTACAATGCAAATTTTCCCTTTTTTTTGACTATCCACAACCACCAGTGCACCTACATGTGTCTTCTGAGTATGTAATGCTGATGAAGGTGAAATAGTGGTAAATCTGAAAATCTTTTTTTGGGTACTACTTTGCGTTACAGTGCCTGTGTCAGGCTCCAGTCCTCGCAGGCCAAAACACTGCAGACTTCAGCACACCGGATCATTAAACACACCTGTTTCAGCTCATCAGCTAATTAGCAAGGCCTTCATGAACTGAATTCAGAGCAATAGATGAGGGTAAATGTTAGTCTCTGTAGCACTTTGGCGTGGAAGGTCCCAAGTTTGACATGCCTGCCTTTTAGTTTATTGTTTATGGTTTTAGTTTTTAGCCTTTTAGTTTTAGTTTATAGTTTATTTTGAAACTATCGTAAAAAACAATGTCTCAGGCTTCAGGTAACAAATTTGTAAACTTTTAACGTAATAATTTTATGTGAGGGAACTTTCAGAGGTTTCATACTTTTCAGACGTCTGGTTCCTATCACCACCGCTGTGTATAACTCTGACTCAGACTCTGGAACATAAATTGTGAGCCAGCCCTTCTCGTCCAACATCAGTGTCTTACCTCACAAATGCTCTTTTGACTGAATGGGCACAAATTCCCAGACACACACGCCAAAATCTTGTGAAAAGGCTTCTCAGATGAGTGGAGCCTGTTATAGCTGCATATTAATGCCCATGGTTTTGAAATGGGATGTCCAATATGCTCATATAGGTGTGTTGGTCAGGTGTCCACATACCACATACATGGATAAACGAAGCTAACAAAAGCAACAGCATGTGGAAAGCTCCCTTCAAGAGCCACCCTCTATTGAAAGTAATAAACACATCTTGACATTTCTGATGGCACTCATGCACCAAGAATATAGGGGGAAATTTGTTTATCAAGGCAGCTGGTTTATATCGTGCTTTTTTGGGGTTTAACCAAATGACCACACAGTATAAGCAGTACTTGGTTCTTTTTTGGTTAATGAAAAATGAATGAACTGGGATGGTCTGTTCTGTTTCCTTTCCCCTGCTCAGACCGGATTGCGCAGAACATCATAAAGTCCCACCTGGAGACGTGCCAGTACACGGCCGAGGAGCTTCAGCAGCTCGCCTGGCAGACGCACTCGTACGAGGAGGTCAAGATGTACCAAAGCAAGGTGAGGATTGTTTTTTTTTTCTTCCACTGGTGTCTTATTTACCCGATGTCTTAATATGGATGGACAGTTATTTATGTCCTCACAGCTGCCAACGGCAAAGCTCGCTTATGGGCAATGACAGGTTTAGAGTTTGACGTGGGCCTGTGGTCGTTCTCTTCTTCAGGAACTGACCAATCAGGCTGCAGGTCAAGTGTTGCCTTACTGAAGACATCTAATGTATCTATTTTCTGTTTCTGTATGTGTTAAAGAAATAAAGTGAGACACTGATCAGCATGCTTAGCAACCAGTGCTCACTGTAATGATACAGTTGTATAATAAAGCAATAAGCCACAAGAGGCTGTGCGTTACTGTGATGTTACCACAGGAATGGTGTTCTTAGGCACGATGTGAAGCAGAGTGCCTAAAACTCCCTTCCCGTGATAAAATCACAGTAACACACAGCCTCAAGGGGCTTACTGCGTTTATAAAAAATAGCGGACAACATAAAATATGATAAAATACACAACTTTTCAAAAAATAATTGAAGTTATTATTAATAATAATCGAAATAAACAAGTATTCCACCATGAAATGTACTTCCTTTAGAGTATGGTATCGCTGCCAAGCAACTATGGAGCACTGAATGAGGAGAGCGTTTGGTCGGCCATCGCTGTATATTGCAGTCATTTCATGATTTTTTTAAAACTTTTTGTCGTATAACAATGAACATATGATAACACAGCACTATTTAATGCAAAAACTTTGGCTTTATAAGTACTTTTTGGTCACCAAATTACCATCACAAGTCTTATTTAGCACCAATCCAGTGGCGCCCCTCTTCTCACGCTGGGGCTGAATCTCAAATGGCTCCCTGCTCCCTACATAGTGCACTACGTAGGAATTTAAATACTGGATCCTGCATCCCAATGGTGCAAAATACAGCTAAGAAATAGTCATTTGGGACTCACATCCATACTCGATATATGATGAACTATTTGGCTGTAGAGGCAAGAATTTCTAAACTTTCATAGCTAGCACACTATTTAAAGAGTACAGAGCCATTTGAGACTCAGCCTGGGTTTGACGGTACAACTGACTGAAACACGAACATCTGAAGAGCGTAATCCATTCAAGTGAAATTTTTCACACTTTTTAGTGCCATTTTACAGTTTATCATACCGTAAGTACTTTAATTCAAGCCTGTGATATTAATGATGGAGTTGTTTAGCATGTTTGCTATCTTTTAGCCTGTTAGCTAGCTGACCAGCCTAGTTCTAGTTAAGTTCTAACATAAGTTGCCAGCCCCTCAGTTTAAACAAGGAATGGGTTCTTACTTTTTACTACCCCATGTGAGAAACATAAGAGTCAAAGATTATTCCATTAACAGCACGAGGGGTTTTTTTGTGCCGTGGCGCAGTAATACACAGTTCAGTTGTTGTAAGGCGTGATAAGTGTGGGTATATTGTGGATTTTACAACGGCTTCGAACGCGGCTCAGCCAATCAAATTTTAGGACTGGAACTATCCGTTTTATAATATGCAGTTTATGTGCTGATTATTGTTGTTTGGAGGTTCCATAATGGTCTTTTTAATGATCCATACTATTCTACAGTGTTCTGAGATACCCATGATATACTCAGGAAAGCGCACTGTAACATAATTCAAGATAATGTATCATATCCTCAGAAAGAGCGAGGGTCTCAGATCAGTCACCTTCTGTCCAAATAATTGTATTCACTTAATTATGATGAGCAAATTCATCTTAGATCAGCTCTTTTATTCTGGGTGATAAATGCCTCCCCCTCTTTTATTCCCAGATATAACCATATTCATTGGATTTTACTGCCAGATAGAAAAATGTGGATTGTGAGTTTTTAATTATAGTCTTGGCTGGCAGTGAGTTGATACAGAATAAATTCAGAATAATGACATCTAATAAGACCCTGCTGTCTCTCTCTGGGTCTAACTCTCTAAAACATATTCACTGGCCACTTTATTAGAAACCCCTACACTGTAGCTCGTACATTTAGAAGCTGTAGTTTATCTGTTGATGCACAGTTTCTGTAAGCCCTCCTCTAGTGCACTGTCAGTGGTTAGTTTCTGGCCACAGAGCTGCTCCTGGCTGGATATTTGTGGGTGGTGGTCTATTTTTGGGACAGGGTCTAATAAACAGATGGGCTACAGTCTATAATAATGGTATATCTATACAGTTGACCTGTAAAGTACTTCTAATAACATGGCCAGTTAGTGGAAGTACAATGTAGGTATTTCTGATATAGTGGCCAAAGAGTGAAAGTACAAGGTAGATGTTTCTGATAAAGTGGCCAGATAGTGGAAGTACAAGGTAGGTGTTTCTAATAAAGTGGTCAGTTAGTAGATGTCCAAGGTAGGTATTTCTAATAAAGTGGTCAGTTAGCGGAAATACAAGGTGGGTGATTCTAATAAAGTGGCCAGTTAGTGGAAGTACAAGGTAGGTGTTTCTAATAAAGTGGCCAGTTAGTGGAAGTACAACGTGGGTGTTTCTAATAAAGTGGCCAGTTAGTGGAAAACCAAGGTGGGTGTTTCTAATAAAGTGGCCAGTGAGTGCAAGTACAAGGTGGGTGTTTCTGATAAAGTGGCCAGTGAGTGGAAGCTTCTCTTCTTCTTTGTGCATGTGTGTTTGTATATGTAAGTATGTGAATGAAGAAAAGAAAGCAATATTAAGATTAGCTGCATGTTTGAGATTAGAGTTCATTAGAGTATCTCTCATGGCTCAGGCTTAGCAAAACCCAGCTTAACCAACTGATCTTATCCCACAACCACAATCAGCTCTGAAACTGAGAGAGAGAGAGAGAGAGAGAGAGAGAGAGAGAGAGACAGACAGACAGACAGAGAGAAAAACGCTAGTGGATTTAATAAACCACTCTAAGCAGAATCATGGGAGGAGGACTAGACACATCACAAGCCCTCCTCATTTCCCTGTGTCAAATGGATTATGGGTAATTACAGAGCAGCCCTTTGAAACAGCGTCTATGAAGATTCCTTGCGCATGAGGAGAATTGCCGAGCACACAAAAGCAATTTGCTGATACTATATTTTTTGCTATTCGCTGTTCAGAACTATCAGAAATGAAAAACTTCACAAACTCTTTATGATTATAATACTCTGAAGTATTTTCAAGCTCAATTAAAGATCTGCAGGGCAACTCTTACAGGAATAGTTCATCCCAAAGTGCTAGTGTGGCTAAAAATGAACAAATGTAACTAAGCGCTCATTTGCATTATGCTAGTTGACATCTGAGCATAGAGTTAAAGGGACATGCTGGTCAGACTAGGAGAACCCCCTTCTCGTGATGGAACAGCTGAAAAAGTACAGCTGCTTTGGCGTAGATTGAGGGGGGGGTACTGAATCTAGACATCTAAGTTTAACAGTCCCGTTTGTATGTGTTTTCAGTCGCGGGAGGTGCTGTGGCAGCAGTGTGCGATCCAGATAACCCACGCCATTCAGTATGTGGTGGAGTTTGCCAAGCGCATCACTGGCTTCATGGAACTCTGTCAGAATGACCAGATACTACTGCTCAAATCAGGTTTGACCCTTCATATTCCAGCTCATTAAGACTGTTGACATAAAATATATTGTTGCTGTCCCAAAAAAAAAAAAACCACTCAAGTATCTCCATTTTTATTTTTGGTCTCACTTTATTTGGATAGTCCATTATAGTCCGCTATAAATTATTTACAGATGCTCAAATTGTTAACAAAGTGTCTGTTGATTCTAAACAGTGGTGGGATAAGGGTTTGGATTGGACTAGGTTTAGGGCTAGGGTTGGGTTTAGGTTTTGAGTTGAGGTTAGGGTTAGATTTACAGCCAGGTTTAGAGTTAAAGAAAATTATGGTGAATGTAGTAGATAGTTAGTTGAATGTAACTTGAAAGTAAATGAAGTATCTACAAAGCATCTAAAGTGGACTATCCAAATCATTTGATGCCATCCTTTACACTGTGTACAAATTTCATGATGAATGGACCAATAGAAATGCTTCAAAACTGCATGCATTAGAATCTCTCTACATTAACTAACATTAAAAGCAAAGAATGTTTTGCCCTCTGCTGTAAATTTACCATTTTGGAGATATTTGGACATTGATATAAAGAATTTCATTCCAAAATGCTGCCTTTGTGAGAATTTTGGATATAGCAAGTTTTAATAAAAAATATCAGGTGACATATAATGGAAAACACATTTTTATGTCTCAAATAAAGATGGTATTGCATCTAATTTAGATCTGATATTTTTGTATGTGTAAAGGCCACTACCAATAACATATACTGTAAAAGAGAGAGAAAATCTTTGAAAGTTGTCTATAATGTATTTTGAAATAAAACTCTTCATATGTTGAATTCTTCTACACCAGTGAATTTACAGAGGGCCAGAACAATTTGAACATTATGTAAACATTAAATTCTGATAATCAGTAATACCAGCTGATATAATTGAACATGGTCAAAAAAGAAATAGTCTCCATTAGTTTTATTTAAACAGTACTTTACACTTTACTCATTATCAGTTATGAACTATGAGTTGTTAGATAAAACTGTCAGCTCTCAACTGTTTCTTAAACTCAAACAGCAGAAACTCACAGTTCTTAAATAATATAAATGTTGAAGCATGGTGGAGGGAGTTTCGCAGAATTTTTTGCTTTTTTTTGTCTTTTCTATTATTTAGGTCTTATTTTTCCTATTTCTCATCAAATCTCTTTATGAAAAAGCTTATATTACAATAATATCATCATTCTAAAGGTTAGGTCTGGATGCATTTTATACAGTGTTAAAAATGAAAAGTCAGTTCAACTCAAAATTCTACAGTAACAGATTACATGGCTTTATTTTTATATACATTAGGTACTCACTTATGAATGGCTATGGCATTGCTGGGGTTCAAACTCACAATATCCTGCTGGGGTGATGGCTTAGTCCATTGCCCCACTCAGAAACACCCATGAAGCAATTAATATTCTATGTCCAAATATGTTTAATACACTGTAGAAAATATTTGGTGTTTTAACTTTGAAGTGTAGCATAGCCACCTGTAATGCAACGGTCTAATAATTCATTCTAGCATCAGGAGATTGTGAGTTTGAATCTCAGCAATGCCACAGTTGTCCATATCTAGAAGCCCAAAAGGAGAAAATACCTGATGGGACTGTGTGATGGAAAGAGTCCCATCTAGAAGAGAAACTGAGTAAAAAATGCTAATTATATTTTGTTTATCTAACTGAGATGCAGACCTAGACACAGTAGTTGGGAGAATTTTTGAGTTTGAGTTGGGTGAACTCTGTTGTCCTCAAGTTGAGTCAACTCAAGAAAAGCCGTGTAATCACTTACTTTATCATTTTAAGTTGAGCAGAGTTCTCATTTTTTACAGTGTATGTTTTTGTCAGTGGTTTGTGTTCAAATCTACCAGTTCAGCTTCGGTATTGCTGTAGTAAAAGTGAGTATATGGTGACTGTCAGCTTTGCAGTATCTTTATTGACTGCTATATAAGCACGAAAAACACTAAATATTTATTGATGAGATGTTTTTCTTATATCTATTCATCTCTTTGCTACAATCTATAAGAAGCCATTAAAATCGCTGCTGTATCAGTGGGACTTTTGCCAATACGTAGAGAATTTCTGTCGTGTCTACAATAATGTACGGTGTTAAATGTAGTACGATACTTTAAATGTGTTTTACAATTTTATACAGCATAATCTTGTAATAGCACATCAAAACATACCATACCATCAGCTTTACTGTAAAACAAGGGGCCAAAAATACTTTTCTGATGTTGCACAGGACCATCAAAAAAGAGGTAGTGGAGCTGCATTGATATCTGTGAACCAGAGCAAATCCAACAAGTTGTTAGTTAACATTAGCTGAGCTATCTAACACTAGCTAGCTGCCTAACAGCATGCTAGATAACTTAGCACAACTTGTACCAACATAAAATAAGTAATCAGATATTCAAGTAAATTTATGTTCATGGACTTTTTATTATTTTCATTATAAAGCTGAATTTAATGTCGAAACCTCGTAAGTAACAAAGTATCTTTGTAGGGGATTTGTCATGTTAGCACCAAGCTAAAGGTGGCATACCTTCACACAGAGTTTAATCCTATACAGCTCGAGCATAAACACTGACTTTGGTGCTTGTTAAACATGCATGTACCATATCTTTACTTTGTACACTGCAGTTTTTCAGTAAATCCTTTAGTACATAATTCAACATAAAGCCTAACTATGAGTATTAATAGAGGAGCTTGTTAGCCTGCTAGCTTTTAAAAGAATGACTATATGTATTCTTGAAAAACTGACTGATACAAACAATCAGTCAGGCCCTGAAAGCTATATTCATGGAATAACTTGGCAAAGAAAGTCCCAATTGTACCATTATCTCAAAACGTATCATCAGCTGATCAGCTGAGATATATTTGGTAAAGTTTCCTTCTTTAGTTTTGGATCTACTAGGCTAATCTAGGTATCAAGCAATAGAAGACAATATCCATTGAATAGCATGGTGTAAACTTGCTTATGTGGTTTCTGACACTGCTACATACTGCTGTACACACTTTTAACTCATTGTAATAACGGATAATGGCATTCACTTTCTCAGGTTGCCTGGAGGTGGTGCTGGTCAGAATGTGCAGGGCGTTCAATCCTCTCAACAACACTGTTCTGTTTGAGGGGAAATACGGAGGCATGCAGATGTTTAAAGCACTTGGTACCACAGATTTCCTTTCCTTTTCTTTTAAGCCACTTTTTATTAGCAATGTCAGCAAGGTATTCTTTTAATTTCTTGTCACAGGTTTCATAACTTTAACATGTGTCCTTCTCCACGTCCTGTAGGCTGTGACGATCTCGTCAGTGCAGTGTTTGACTTTGCGAAGAGTTTGTGCTCATTGCAGTTGACAGAAGAGGAGATCGCTCTGTTCTCTGCAGCGGTTCTCATCTCCACAGGTTAGTCATCCGTGCTAAAGGTTTGGAGAAGCTACTTTGCTTTTTTCAGAATGGATGAACTTAGGCTATCAAAATGGGCTTCAAATCAGTTTAATATTGTTCAATTCAAAATAGCCTTTAGCATTTAGCAAGCCAGTAACACCTGAAGATATGACAAGATAAAATATTTGAATTCTGTTTCAAGACAGGGAACTATTTCAAGACTGGTTAGCTGTTTTAGCATGCAAATTACATTATTCAGCTAACTAGTCTAGAACAAGAGAGAGCAGAGAAATGAAAGCTAATTGTTGCTGTGTGCTTTCCCAGATCGTCCCTGGCTAATGGAACCAAGGAAAGTACAGAAGCTACAGGAGAAAATCTACTTTGCTCTCCAGCACATTATGCAGAAGAACCATATGGATGAGGACGCGTTGGCCAAGGTAGAACTGCATTTCATTTCTTGTTGGTCAGCGGATGTTTTTGTGCAAAAGGGCATCCCATGGTCAGCTACAAAGAGCAATTTGTGGTTCCGTTTTTTGTGCAAAGGCCCTAAACCACTGTACATCAGTGGTTCCCAGTTTCAGTCCTCAGGGGCCTTTCTCTAATCACATCTGATTTAATTGATTATTAATTAAACACCACTTGTTTGGTATAGCTGGATGTGTTAGAGCAGGAAAAACACTAAACTGTGGTAAATGGTGTGGCAGGCTACTTCCCATTTTGGAAAAGTGAAAGGAGAATGTAGAATTTTACTTTCATTCAGGAGCTGGACAGAGCTCAGAGATACAGCACAGCACATGATGAAGTAGAAAACAAGCTAATCTTTCTTCTATTTGTCAAAAAAGTTGTAGTTGTGGGGACACAGCTGATCCAACATCTTGTATGTCACTGTATGTTAATGGCAAAGACAACAGTTATTGGTGGAGTAAGTTCATGTCACCTGTGAAAGTTTGCAAAAAATAAAACAGAGGCTGAATAAAACTGCTGCATTTTCATCACCCCAATAAATTGCATGGATATTAAAGATATCATGTGTTTTAATTCATTTACTGATGTCCAGATAACTAGCATAATCATTTTGTAAAGCTGGGACATCAATCTGTCATCTTGGTTGTCACCATGCCAACAGCAGAAACAACAGTGATTAGTTAAACAGGTTCATATCACCAGCGAAACACTGAACAGAGAATACATTGGCACATTTTCAGCTTTTAAAAATTGTGCTCGGTGTGCAAAATATCAGTTATTCACGTGTGTGAATGAATTTATTGACAAATAATTTGCATGATCAATATGCTAAGGCCTGAAGAGTACTCCTCTTGGTAGTGAGAGCAAACAAATAAGAAAAGTTTAAATTTTTTTCAAAAAATCACAGTAAATAACCCAGATGAAAAGCTAATAAGCTAACAAAAGAGATATGGTTTTTACAGCACTGTTTCTTGGATGCCAATAATTTGGCCTCATTGTTATTTTCTGAACATTTGTTCTTGCTTTTGTACACTAACGATAAGTCAAACCATTGCAAATGCCAGAATGCTTCATTTCAGACAATGATGAAGGTCATTGAGCTCAAAGCACATCAATATAATTTTAACCCTTTTGCTCTTCCCCAGCTTATTGGTCGAATCCCCACATTGGCAGCGCTGTGCACTCTGCATACGGAGGAATTGCAGGCCTTCCAGCAGTTACACCCTGAAACGGTCAATGTGCTTTTCCCCCCGCTTTATAAGGAGCTCTTCAACCCCGACGCTGCCAGCGTCATGCCCAAGTGACGTCCACTTCCCTATACACACCCACATTCACAGCTAGGACACACCCTCTTTCCGTGAAAGGACAGGAACGCAGTGCGGCTGCCAGCGGGAAAGCTCCCGTGGCTGAGGGGAGGAGCCACCTACACCGTTGGTTACCTCGACAGCATGCTGATGATCATACAGCGTCCAAGGAACCGTCCAGCAAAAATAACAACTACTACAGGAATGTCCTGCAAAATCCAACTCTGATTTCACCGATTCAGTCAAAAGAATGTATATACGTACCCATTAGAGAGGGTGCACTCCAGGACTGACCAGAAATGTACAGACTTTAGAGCAATTTAAGCTGTCTTTTAATTGGGTAAGTTCGTCTGGGTCTTTGACCTTTTCTTTTTTATACGACATTGTAATATTGAAAAGGGGATGAGGGTTGGATTCAAAGATGAGAACGTAGCATTTCCCTAGTTTGGAGCGTATTCCAGTATTAAATCTCCTTCTGTTTATATTTTAGGCATAATTTATAAACAGCGGCCCTGAGAGGTCGGTACTTTGTCCATGTACATTTTTTTTCCTGTTTTTGTTTTGTAGTTGTACATAACTTGTGAAAGTTTAGACAAAATTGTAAAAGTATACTAGGGGATGCTTTTTTTTTTTGCTTTTTTTGGTATGTTTAAAAAGCCTTGTCTGGGCTATGTAGATATGTACAGATGGTACAACAACATTAACTTTACAAACTATGGAACTATGGAAATGTAAAGGATTTTCTAAGAGAAAACAAAAGAATGGATTAATTGTACTTTTTCCATGAGAAGATATAGAGATATATATTTTGCAAATGAATATGGCTCACCATCCTGTCATTCAGCGCTGCAATAATGTTGTCCGTAAGCACTAGATTGCTGTCGAACAATCAGTCGAGGCGAAGGGATATGCGTGGAAGGGCCTTCTAAGGCTAGGGGCTATTTTAACCTGTCAATCTTTGTGTGTCCCCAACCCCCGCTCCAAAAATCTACTGCCAAAAGCCTCTGCTAAGGCACATGGTAAAAGTTGCTCTACTATCTAATTTGAGATGCAAGATGAAATGAGAGAAACAAGGGAAACTATCGAAAAAAAATCTATAGACATACATTCAGACACTTTAGCCATGAGGTAGATGGTGGGAAAGAAGGAAAGTATGGGAAGAATACTTAGAGAAAACTGAAGGTTGCTTCAGAACAGCTTGACTGGCAAACTTGTAAAGCAACATCAACAGTTTGTAAATACTTGAGGGGAATCAATCAAGCTTAACTTGAATCTACGTAGATGTTTTCTAACTCCGAAGCATATTCAGAGGCAATATGTTTGTTGCAACTCTAAAAGCAAGCTGTGATAGACAATCATTTAGCTTTTGTATTATTTATTGAAATCCAATAACACAGCACCGAGCAGGTGGATATTTGTTCTTGCGTAGTTTATTGCAATACTGAGGCGTCGCTCGCCGCTATTATGTGCTGCCATTGATCAGAATTGACCCACAGGCCTCTGTTCTTCTCTCAGGCGAAGGCTGTACTATGATGCACATCCTTCTTCGCCCATACCTCAGAAAGGTTCGTAAAGAAAAAAATGTTTCATGCCACAGCACATGTTTAGAGCAGATCTTCTTTACCATTGTTTCACGTTTGTGTCAGCTATAAATCCATGGTGTAATAACTTGTGATAACACCTGAAAGTACTAGTGCAATTTGTTCTGATTTGTGAATGATGATGAAGCTGAAGACTCACTTTCTTGAAAACCACCAATGAGACTGAAAACTGTGACTAATCAGTTGCTACAGGCTCGGCGATACAATATTATCACAATACTTGAGCCGCAGTTCAATTTTATTTCCCTATTTAAAGATTTGTGATATGCAGGAGTGAAAAATTGGTCTAATAAGTGGGAGACCAAGGTGGCAATATTCAACATACAGCAATGTAAACGAAGTACACATATAATTACAGTTATCATTTTTTATTTTACACAAAAACAAGTATTATTTCTGAGAAGCTAATGCTCCATATGTGGATGTTTTTAACGTCAAACTCTTCCCCCCTAATTTTGCACCAGTGGTGATATGCTAATTGTTGACAATATGCAATATATTGTTATTTTTTTCGCTTTTGACTGAAAACTATTCCTCCAAACAAAAACTTTATCTAATAGAGCATTCACCTCACTTCAGTCTTTTTAGTCAAAATTTTGGGATTGAACCTCATTCTCCTCATAATCCATCACATTATCAGACTGTGCCTAATGAGAACTCTATTGACAGAATCCTTGGTCAGAAAAAATCGGTGCCCTCTTATAGATCAAGACAAGATGCAATGAACATAATTAAATAATCAAACATTAATAACTGGGTCTCCAATTTTGAATTTCAAACTGCATCAATTTTTTCTCCCACCCTTACTAATCAACCTGAACCTGATTTTGTTCCCCTGGGTGTTTAGCTTTTGAAGCTGTAGAACAGCAGTCACCAACCCTGCTCCAGAAGATCTATCTTCCTTCAGACTTCACCTCTAACTCTAATCAACCCCACTTGATCTATGTAATTATTGCCTTCAGAATTGCTTGATTAGCTGAAGTATGTGTGTGAGATTTAGGTGGAAGGTGAAACCTACAGGAAGGTAGATCTTCAAGAGGAGGGTAAGTGACCACTGCTTCAGATTATAAAGCCACTGATGGATTTCAGAGTGGAGTCACATAAAAAGGCACTGATGGATTCAAGAGTGGAGTCACATAAAAAGCCACAGATAGATTTAAGAGTGGAGCCATATATAAAGCCATTGATAGATTTCAAAGTGGAGTCATCTGAATTCACAAATCAGGACTGACAAAATGCAACAACAACACAATCACTCATATGTGGAAGTTATTGCACCATAGATTTATAGCTGACAGAACTTGGAATCACAAGGTTTACCACAGTATCACCCGTCCATTTGAGTTGACGCAAAGCGATAGTATCAATTTACAGATTTTTTGGGAGGGTTGAAGAGCATCTCTTTATTTTTTTTCCCAATAACACAAGTTGTGGGTGGTCACAGGGTGGTCTCAGTGGACAATCAGTACCGCCTTATGTGTAGGTAACCTACATAGGGACTTCCTAAGACACATCAGCATTAAAAAGGTATTTAAAAAGCAATACTTGAATATTTATATGTGATTACTGGCTTGTGGTGTTTTATTACATTAATAACATTTCCATTGACATAAGGGACTTTAAACTAAAGTGAGCCCTTAACACTATTATGTACCAAGTAATGGCACTTATAAGGCAGAGGCCTAGTTACGAGCACCAACTCTATGGAAGACTTGATGCATACATCATATATAACTTTTAGTGCAACTTGGAAATGATGCTTCCTAACAGTGCTATAAATAAATGTTTTGCACTTTGTTAAGGCTTAAGTCATGCCTTATGTCAATACAAAGTCATTTACTTCACAAAACACCTTTCAAAATCTTGCAATTAATGACATAAGCTGCTGCATCATAAATGCCTTATTTAACACGTAGGCATGTGTTTTGAAGTCTCTATGAAGGTAGGCCTTAAATAAAGCCAGAATTCCAGCAAGAAACTACACTACAGGAACTAAAGGATATATTTGAATGCCCAAACTGTCTATGACAACCACTCGTTCCCTCTGTGTTCTCTCATTTTTGGTCGAATGGTTCGAGAAGACCACAAGCTCTCTACTTTCTCCCGTTCAAGACAATCATTTCCGGATGCAGCCTGAAAGCATCTGTCTCAGGGACTTCAGCTTTCTTATTTTCAATATAGAAAGAGACTCCTATTTAAAAAGAAAAAACACACTGGGGGAGGGTACAAATCTTTGGAATCTTTTGGGGGTTTCTGAAACACTACCTGAAAATGAGACCTACCCAGACAAGGCTTTGGCATGTGTGTGTGACCGAGAGAGAGCGTGCATATGTTTGCATATGTGTGTACAAAATGTGAAAGGTTAAATAGTCTGAATTTTGCAGTCTAAATTATTAGTCACTGCTGTGCTTGCGAAAGGCCCCGAAGAGAAGCTGTATCTGTATATAATGATCTGCCTCACAAGCACTAGCTAGGGAGAAAGAGAGGTAAAAAAAATAGAAAACTGTAATTATTATTGCTTCTCCTACAATGAAACGGATCTCTATGTAAGTTAGATTATTTATAGCGTGTACGCTGAATAAGCTCCCTATCCATTTCCACGCTTGTCGAAGACGGTGAATCTGGTGGGGGAAAAAAATAATGTTCTACTGAAGATGAAGATGAAGGATTTTTTTTTGTGGTTTAGACTGTGAATTGAGGCCGGGAGGGGTCAACACTGTTTAGGTACTTTAGCAATAACCTAATGCATTTACTACTGTCATGTTTGCATTGTAAGATTTTATTTTTTATTCGGTTATTATTCGAATTATTATTATATTACTACTAGCCTATTGTTGTTCAGTTATCCTTGCATGCTGTTTCACGACGATGAAAAAAAAAACGGTGGGCTTTTTTGTGTTTTGATCATGTGATACTTTGGGGTGGGGGAGGGAGGGTGGGTAATTTTATAGTGAATGTTACCGGGTACGTGTTCGGTCCGTAAAGACTGGACGCAGCTTACCTTGCTCATTCTACCGTCATACATATGTGCACTCATACATACACATACATGCACACCAAACCGTATATGAAGTGAATACAATAACAAGCACTTGAACAAGCACTTGGAAACAGTTTTATTAAGGACTTCAAAGGCCCGAATAGACTATGAATCAATACATGTGCATTTTTACTATGCAGTCTTTCAGCAAAGTCAGTAGCTGTGGCACTAGTTTGGAAACTTCTGACAGGAACTTAAATCCTGCCTGATCTAGAGGCTAATGGTGCTGGAATTAGTCATCTGGCACTAATCTCAACTGGTCGTCAATCTTTTTTTTTCGTTAAAAGTATAATTAAGCTGGCAAAAAAATCAAACAACTTTACTCTAAGCATATGTAGTCTTTCAAAATGTACTTCCACCTTCAAGATACATCATCAGAAGGGAGTTTGCCCAGTCTTTAAATCAGGAAATCATACTCTAGACATCACTGTAAGAGGTGAGTAGGAATGTTTACAACAGACATGGCACTGGTTATGGTTTTCATTTTGGCCAGAGTATCCCTTTAAAGTCTTGCTACACACTGAAGAAAGTGATTTTTTATCAGTGACTACTAAAAGTAAGATGTTTCTAGAAAAATAAAGAATAACATCGAACAAAGCCGCATCATATAGAGATCAATTTTGCACCTGACACATCTTTTGCAATATACAGGAACTATATTGTTAAACTATTAATGGGACAATCTTAAAGACCTGAATTATTTTAAGCAAAATTATTTGTCTGATGACTTGAATATCTTCATTCATCCAAATGCACGCAGAACTCTTATAGGGAACATAAAGGAGTTGGTCAGCGCACAATAAAACTTTTTTTTTTTACATATTCTGAAACTGACAATTGAGTTAGCATAAACTGACAGAGGCCATCCATCCCACCCAGCCAGATGTGGAATCACTATAGCATTGCTGCCAATGAAAGGCAGTTTCCAGCTAAGAAACGTTTTAACCCAGTTGTCCATGGTGGGAGACAAATAAACCTATAAAATTTCTCAAAAGCTTTCCAATATTTCGAAAAAGTATGTTTTGGCAAGTGAAATCTTCAATTGATCTCATTTAAGATTGTCATAAGAATGTTACAAGATTATTTAACTTATTTCTAGAAGGTTTTGTTTTAATACATTATCTAGTGAAAGTTATTGGCAAAATTACTGGCAGTGTTTCTTGAAATAAGCAAACGGAATAAGACAATTTGACTTAAAAGATCTGGAAATAAGCTACAAAATCTGGTAATATTCTTATAAAAACATTATAATTAGAAATGTTAGATATTTAGACTAAATGTAACATAGTTTAACTTGCCAATATATAATTTTTTTGCATTGTGATCACCTTTTGCTCTTAAATGTAGCTACTGTACTAACTAGTACACTACCTAAGTAGGGAAAAAAGGCCTGGTCCAACATTAAAGTGCTGCTCATGCTGCTCAAACTCCAAATTCACTACATGAAGGAATTCAACATGTGTGTATGCATATATGGCATAGGTGTTACTTTTCAAACATTGCTGATGCACAACACACACATGGAAACTTTTTTAGGGGTTTGTTTTTCATGAATTTATGAAATAGAATGTGTCTGCCTCCCTGGAATAAACAAAAAAGAACTTAGTAGCATCTGTTACCAAACCATAATGTTGGTAACTGTGGAAATGGAATCTACTTTTGTAATGTAATGACAAATGCATAAAAGAATTTGGTAATACTGCACGTGAACTGCTGCAAAACATCGACATCAACACGTCATATGCCGTTATGAGTTGTCATGGCAGATTTAGTTCAGTGTAGTGATATCATTACAATTACTGGTAACAATAACATTGCATTATTATATTACTGAACAAAATCAATACCAAAATTAGCATGTGACATAAGCTGGCATGACATCACATGCTATTTTTGGTAACACTTGTTAATAAGGCTACATAACACCCAAAAAGTCTGGTGAAAGTGCTTCTTGTCTTTCCTTACAAATTATATTATTAGCATATCAATTTGAGTGAATAGTAAAATCTTACCAAATTTGAACATGAATTTTAGAATGTCTTAGTATTTTGTACAGTATGTCCCTCTTTTCTTTCAACAACACTTAAGCTGGCATGGACTCCACAAGTTTGTTCAAAAGCCTGTGAAGAGTAGTTTAGATCCACTTGAGAGTCATCTGGACAAAAAAAATCTGACCTTTTGTACAAAAGCGTCAACATGGTCAGTACCACAAATTTGCTTAAATTTGAATAATGACCAAGAAACAGTTCCAGATCTTGAATATTTCAGTCTCACTTTATTTGGTAGTCAACTACAGATGTTTAAATTATTAAAAATTTAAAATCTGTTGAAACTCAGTTGGTTCTAAACAGTAATAGGGTTAGGTTTGGACCAGGGTTAAGGCTACGAGCAGGGTGAGTGTTAGGTTTAGGTTTTGGGTTTAGGTTAGGGTTAAGATTAGAGCCAGGTTTAAAAAAACTGGTCAATTTAGTATATATTTAGTTGAATGTAACTTGAAAGTAAATTAAGTATCTACAAAGCATCTAAAGTGGACTATCAAAATAAAGTGTTACTGATATTTCTTCTTCAGTTTTCTTTGTCTTAATTTTTTCAAAATTCTAAAACTTTCTGTTGTTCATTTTCAGGTTTAAATGAAAAATTTCTCTGACTGGACCCCACTGTACTTAACCCCTTCATGCCAACTGACATAGCTATACATAAACATGTATAAACACTTATTCCAATAGGCGCTGTCAATCATAAACATTGGCACATTGGTGCCAATCTTTTTCTGACATTAGGTTGGGTTGTGGGACTTTTTGGGGGGGATTTGAGATTTAAACTGTCACACCTTCAGCATTACTTACAATGAGATACAAGCTAAGTTGCAAAATCAGTTGTTATAACATTATTTCACCCCAAAAAAGTGCTTCCAACGCAGTGTCAGCAAAAATTGAACAGATGGTATGTCAACTTGACGTTAAGCTGACAAAAGCAGCCTTTATGACAGATGAGCCTACTGGAATAAGCCTTTATACATGTTTAGGTTTAAGTTAAGTGTCCAGTGCTTATATAGCCTTAGAAATACCGCCCTACAGTAAAGTGTTACCATTTTTACTAAGTGTACTCATGCATTATATACTATAACATGTGTAATGACAATTGGTTATGATGTTATACTGTTATATTACTGGATGTAATCAGTCATGCCAACTCATAACAGGACATCTGTAATGGCAGCATGGTTATGTCAATGTGATGCAGCAGGTTTCAAGTAAAGGGTTACCAAAAACTTTATTTTGCTGTATTTTCAAGTGCCATAGCTTGGGTATGGTGAAGCTGAATGGCGCTCAATGAGGAAGAACACTGAAACACTGAACACGTGTTGTTTCTATGAGAACCAATTGGAAAAGGGGGAACTCAAAAGCAAGCGTGAGTTGGGATAACAAACGGGCTGTGAGCGACTGAGGTTTTGGTGCATCCTCATGGCCACGACGCTGCAAGAACCCGAGCATGTAGCAGAGAGGGGTGGGGGTCAGGGAAAGAGGGAGATTTGCCAAGTGTGTGTGTATGATCATGAGTCAAACGAGCGTGTAGCACTTTGTGCGAATGTGTATGTGTGTGTTTTAAGGGGTTTGATTTTCAACTGCAGCTTTGTGGAATAAGGTGTGTGAAAGTTCCAGTCAATCGAGCTCTCGAATCGTCTCCTCCGAGTTGTACATAGCAGGCGAAGGACTTAAGTGATTTTTTTTTTTTGGTTAAAGTCTATATTTTATCGCTTTTGTAGACATTTCTTTGTTCGGGGAAAAAAAAAATAAAGAACATTTTATGGATGAAATCTGTCCCTTTTTTTAATACAGTCACATTGTACAATCATTTACAGTCTTATTTTAATGTTTAACATTAACATTTCCCTTTCACCCTGTTTTTGTTGCATCTTATACACAGTGTTTGATATAAAGAGTGATATAAAGCACTGACAATTGCAAAAATCAACCAAATGATCTACCTGTAGTCCATGTGTGACATCACAAATTCCTTTTCACTCGATCCAAATCCAACATTCTAAGCTGACATTTGTACTATATTGTAAAGAAATGGAATAGAAAGTAAAATCTAATTTACTCAATTTTCCTCTTACCTCAAATGTCGTCAATCAACACAGACACATGTTTCCTTGTATAGTTTGCCACTGGAGCTATGACTCTAATTTAGATAATGTAGTGGTGTATAAAAAGCTTATCCTCCACCAGTTAGCAATTCACATATTGCATTCATGCTTTTTTTTTCACTGTTTTTCCATGTTGTCCGCACTGCAAACATACACCAACCGGCCACTTCATAAAGTACACCTCCTTGTTTCTACACTCACTGTCCTTTTCAGCTCCACTTACCATATAGATGCACTTTGCAGTACTACTACATAGTACTTCAATTACAGACTGTTGTCCATCTGTTTCTCTGCATACCTTGTAAGCCCCCTTACATTTGCATTTATGTCACTTGGCAGATGCTCTAATCCAGAGCGACTTACAGTTTGATCAGTTTACATAGGTAGGCGAAGGTAGTGTTAGGAGTCTTGCCCAAGGACTCTTACTTGTATAGTGTAGGGTGTTGGCCCAGGCAGGGGATTGAACCCCAGTCTACAGCATAGAAGGCAGAGGTGTTACCCACTACACTATACCAACCACAACCCTGTTCACCCTGTTCTTCAATGGTCAGGACCCATCAGGACCACCACAGAGCAGGAGAGATGAGCTACTGTCACAGACAAGGTGGACAGTGAGTGGAGCTGATAAAATGGACAATGGGTGTAGAAACAAGGAGGTGGTTTTAATGGTTTTAATGGTTTTAAGGCTGATTTTGGCCAATTTTGTTGTGGCCAGCTCCCGCTAGCAAGGTCTCCACCTAACAAGCATTGCTACCAAGAAGGGAGGGCTATGTTAGCATGTGCTTCCTCAAAGTCATGCGAAGCTCCACCATATCTTTTCAAACTGCCGCTGGCGCAACATCATTGGACAGCTAAACACACTTGGTGGAAATGGCTAATGGCTAAATCTGTTACGTCACCCAACAGACGGCCATGTTGGCTAGCATAGCACTGAATAATGGATGATTCTACTTACTCAGTTATGGCCAGTTATGCTGTCGAACGCTGGGGATTGAACGCCAATTCGCTATGGACAAAAGTATGAAGCTAATTGGTGAGTTAACTGCTTCTATTACTTGTTAGCCTTGTAGCTCCAGTGCTAAGCTATAGAAATAAACTTCAGACACTAAACATGTCCGGCCTGATGGACTACATTTGGGGTAAGGAGGAAACAAACTATTGCTTTCAATTAACAGGATATTAATTTAAAGAATGGACATTCAACAGAAGCTTATCTCCCTTTGAATGCTGGGAGCTTGGACCATCAGCAAAGATCATGTAATGTAAAGGAGACATTGTGGGTTGGTTATCTGAAATTGTCCATTGCCATGATACCCGCCTTTTGTTCTCCAGTAGCAGCATCAGAATGGGGGTCCAACCCAGCTAGAACATACCAGTAAAAACACGTGTGGGTCAGAGGTCACACCCTGCTTATTTCCTCCTCCGAGGCTGAATCGGACTCCTGAAGATCGTTTCCCTCTCGCAAATCTGAGAAGCCAAATACACAAAGGCAGCGGACATGAATAAATGATCATACGGAGACACGTTTCCTGAGATCCTGAATTAACTGTGTAAATTTGGCATTAATAATTAGTTTTGATTTGATGTGCTTCTTGGAAAGGATGCAAAGAAGAGGGGGAGAAAAACCACCTTTGAACCATCAAACAAGTGCAGCGCTGGTGTTTCGCGTTTGTTTATTTGTTTGGTTGTGTTTTTTTTTTTCTGTCCGCACTTCTGAGGAGAGGCCCTCCCTCCTGATGCACAAAACCAGGCGTCTCCTCTCTTCCATGAGAGAGCAATTAATATCTAATCAAAGTCAACACTCTCCAACGCACAAAGAAGTATTAAATATGTAATCAAAGACAACTCTCGACATGCCACAGAAGAAGCCCCGCCTCCGTCTTGCGTGCCTTTGTTATCATCGCGATGCAATCATTTCCGACTCATTAAGACTTTTTTTTTGTCCTTGGTTGCTGTTTTCTTTCCTTCTGGCGCAATTAGATTCCTCTTTTTCCACTGCTTGGTTTGAAGTTTGGTGTTCGGTTGTTCTGAAAAGATCTAAAGTTCAAACATGGTGGTTTGGGCTCTTTGTGTAACTGTTTCTGGGTGTTCGAGAAGTTGATTTTCTAAGTGAAAATAAGTGAACGCATCCTCTACAGAGACCCACTTCTGCACATTTTAATGCACAATTACTGTCTACTGCTAATTTTAACATATTGGAAAAATACAAAACATAAAATGGGTTCTGTGAGAAAGTTATGGCACATTTTTTTTTTTCCAGTATGTTAAATAAACAGTAATTGTGCATTAAAATGCACTTTTACACGACCTAAAAATGCAGTACAATGTAAAATAGGACAGTATTAGGGCTGAAAGATTGTTTTTATATCGAAATCGCAATTTAAGAGAGTGCAATTTTAAAATCGCAAGGGCTGCAATTTTTAAAAATTATAGCCTACATTATCAAAAACATCTTAAGTTTTAAATGGGGAGCTTGGGAACTGCCTGTTGATGAGATAGACCAATCAGAGGCAACCATACCTCCATGTGTTGTGATATCACAACCACAACAGTTTGGCACACTGCATTCAGGGGTCAAGCCTTAAGCCAGAAAAAGTGGATATTATGAACTTTTTTGGGAAAAAAAACACAGACCTGAACCTTACACCTTATAGATAATAATCACAACTGAACTGCTGTCACAATATTAAATCGCAAATAGATATTTTCCCCAAATCGTTCAGCTCTAGACAGTATGTGGAGGTTAACTGCTATTTTTAGAATTATTACTTTGTAGACAATTAAGCTTTGTTTTGATTCTACGCACGATTCTGTGTAAATGTAGACATTTGAGTGAGTCTGTGTGCAGAACAGTGTTGTATATCATTTCATATCAGTCCATAAGATAAGCTAACTGGCAAGCAAATTAGCTAAATGTCATACAGAGGGTTGTGCCAGCATTTCACTGCTGACTAACATTGCACTAAAGGCAGTTTGCGCTTTAAAGTTGGTGCTGATGTGTCTTATACACTCATTGGTTGGAACATGTAGCCACAGTTGCTCTCACTGGATGTCAACTGATGACAACTGGAAACCGTGTTCGCTCTGCGGAAATCATGTGATTTTCATGTTGGCTCCCATTTCTATGTAAAGTGGACAGATACATTCTAATGAGTACAGTCTAAAAATATGAACCTTCTCTAGCCAAATGTCATGTTTTGTTGTTTTTCGAAGTAAAAACAAATTGACACATCCTCTACAGAGAACACACTGAAAATGGCAAATGTTTGCAAATTTCTGTGCACAATTTCTGTTTTTTTTCTTAGTTTAACATACTGGAAAATGTAGTAATGTAATGATAAAAATACAATAATTAAATTAAATCTAAAATGTGCCATACATTTGCCAAATTTTATGTATTAACCCCTCCCCCATGTTAAATTCAGAGAATAGACAGTAATCGTACATTAAAATGTGCAGAAGTGTGTCTCGGTAGAGAACGTGTTGACTTATTTTCACTTAGAAAAGCAACAAAAACATTTCATTTGACCCAAACTTGGCATATGACTGCATATTTATAGAGAGAGCTCACTTGAAAGGCCCAGTCTTCGGCAGCACGAGTTGCAGGTGTGTTTGAAAATGAATCTCTGGATTGCATCGTCCCCTAGATTGGCTGGCCCAAACACCAGATCTTCAGATGAGCTGCAGAAACAAAGATTAAGACAAATACTCATCCATAATACTGCAATACAGAGAACTTTGACTTTGACAGTCAACAGTGACAATTCAGGAAATCCCAACCGAATGTGATAAGCAGTAGAAAGAAGCTTTTTTATCTACACTAGGAATCAAGCGTGGTTAAAAAAGCAATACAGTATATTACTGTTCACTGAAATCTTCATCTGCAGTCAGTTACTGTCCCGTAATTAGAGCTTTTCTCATTAACAATGTCAAATTAAAGTGTAGCCTGAATGTTGAATGGACAAAGTGAAACAAAGTGAAAGTGGGATACCACAATATATGCAAAAGTTTGCGCCCATTGTCAAATGACATGTTTTCTTCAGGGAACTATGGAAGCTCTGGGTAAGATAAAAAATAAAAAAAAAGTTTTTTTGTTTTTTTTTTTGGTTTGTTTTTTCCTTACTTTTCAGGGAACAGGTGATGAAAAAAATCCTGGGGAGCTAAATGGCTAATTAGCATGTTAAGGTCCCTAAAAGGTAAGGTAAAAAACAGCTGCTGATCAAAGTTGGTATAGCATGCTAATTGTTAGCCACTTAGTGTACACAAAGGATAAGAGAAAAAAAAACAAAAAAAAACAGCTGCCCCCTGCTGGACAAAGCTTGTAAAGCACGTTCACTCAGCTCCCAAATGAATTTTTTCGCTTGGGAGCAAAGTGGCTAACCGTGAACATGCTATACAAGCTTTGCTGCCCCTGATGGTCAAAGCTGGCATGGCATGCTAATTGTTGGACAACATTTTTATTTCATACAGGAGTGGAAAAATTAGGGTGAGAAAAGAAATGTGGGGCTTTTGATGGCTGAAACTGTATCTTACCCCTCAGGGCTTCCATAGAAAACACATTTCTGCACATTTTAATACACAGTTTCTGTTAATTTGCTGAATTTAAGATATTGGTTAAAAAATGAAACATAAAATGTGGCCTGTGCAAAAGTTTTGGCACATTTGAAACATTCTGACAATTTTTTTTCAAAACTTTTTAAACTCAGCAAATAAATAAAACCTGTGCACTAAAATATACAGAAAAAATGCCGTATTTAAGTGTAGAGGAGGTATTAACTTGTTTTCACTCGACTGTAGAAATACCTGTATATCAGCCTCTTCTCAGTTCATTCAATAACTTTTTTGTGAAACTAACCTTTTATCATCTGCCCTGATCACAGATGGGTCAGTCAGGTCCACACCCACACCTGAGAGCAAAGTTTAACATAAGTCAGTCAAAGACATCAGTTTGGACACATTTGCTTATAATGTGAAGCCCCTTATTCACTAAAGCAGCTCCATAAGGAGCCGCTTGAGATGGTTTTCCAACAGAACTGAAGATGCACGTTTGCTGAGACCCGGGTGGCTGCTGAGAACAGCTGGTTGGGTGGCATTTCAAAAATATATTGAAAAATAACATGCATGGGCATCAATTTCTCTATTTACACTTGTCTTATAAACAAATTTCAAGCATTTATGTATAAGCCTTTAGACAAAGATTACACAATACCAGTTTTTCTTCTCAGATACTGAAACAGATCTACTGATATCAATATCAACTTAATGTTTTTTTCTGTAAAAACTACTAAGCTTTAAAGTGACCTATTTTTAATGGAAGTGTTTCACTTATGATCTAAAAAAACAGCCTATCGTGGTGAAATATACAGCTTTTTCTGCTGATATCAGCCCAAAAAAGATGCCTAGAAATGAATCGGAGGAATCTCTACCTTTATATTAATATATTGAAGATTATGACAAATACAGTACTGTGCCAAAGTATTAGACATCTGAGTAATTTAGACAAAAAAAACTATTTACATGGCCAGCAAAAACTTATTTGCTCAGACAAAAACACTTTATTACAAAAAATACCAATAATATTACTACAACAAGTAGTGATTTTATGTATTGTAGCTATTTCCAAAGTTCAACTCATGGAAGTCTGTGTAGCTATTAACAAATACGAGTTGACTAATCAATACTAGATTCATATAAATCAAGAGTGCTCGTGGTAGAATTTAACTAATTAATGGGGTGTTACAAATTGCCAGGAGTATCTAGGCGAAATTTGAAAAACAAACTTTGCTATACCAATTATTTAAAAAAAAAGAAATTCAATTTACTTTTTAAAATATTTATGCATATTTGCATGTATTATAATGAGAAATGGTGATTTTACAAGTAAAAACACAGTATAAATAGCTTTGAATAATTTATGCTTAGGTATTGAAGTCTTTTGCACAGTGCTGTAGTCAGTCTATCAGATGCATCCAAAATCTTTGACTGGTAGTTCAGTCAATTGATACAACTGTATTAAATGAATAAGTTATGGTGTTATGATGGTGAGAATGCAGACAGTATGAAGACCTTGCAGGTCGAGGACTAGCAGCTCTTTCTGCGTATACTCGTAAGTCCAGTGGGAGAAAGCCAGCACCGTCTCCTCCAGCGCACAACAGGGTGAGATTTCTTCTCCGGTGTTATTGTTGTACTTCATAAAGTCCCCACTCATGTTCCCCTCGATGGTCAGCCACTGGCCTTCAGCCTGCCACCACAGCAGGGACACGTCCAGGAATCTGGTGAAGGTACGGACACACATAAACATGTTTACTGACAAGGATTATAAAACATTTCTCTGCATGTTGGAGGGTTTGTGATGATCTGACTAACCTGGGGGAGTGAGGGACACTGCTGGGCTTGATCTGGTTGAAAACCTGCATCAGCTTTTGGGCTGCTCTCTGCTGCTGGATTTCCTACAGGATTCAGGAGTGAAGAGGAATAGAATAGAATAGAATAGAACAGAATAGAATAGAATAGAATAGAATAGAATAGAACAAAGCAGGATAGGACACAGCAGGATAGAATACAATAGAATACAATACAATACAATAGGACACAGCAGGATAGGACACAGCAGGATAGGATAGAATAGAATAGAATAGAATAGAGCAAAGCAGGATAGGACACAGCAGGATAGAATACAATAGAATACAATACAATACAATAGGACACAGCAGAATAGAATAGAATAGAATAGAGCAAAGCAGGATAGGACACAGCAGGATAGGATAGAATAGAATAGAATAGAATAGAATAGAACAAAGCAGGATAGGACACAGCAGGATAGGATAGAATAGAATAGAATAGAACAAAGCAGGATAGGACACAGCAGGATAGAATACAATAGAATACAATACAATACAATAGGACACAGCAGAATAGAATAAAATAGAATAGAATAGAATAGAGCAAAGCAGGTTAGGACACAGCAGGATAGAATAGAATAGAACAGAATAGAATAGAGCAACACAGGATATGACACAGCAGGATAGAATAGAATAGAATAGAATAGAATAGAATAGAGCAAAGCAGGATAGGACACAGCAGGATAGAATAGAATACAATACAATAGGACACAGCAGGATAGAATAGAATAGAATAGAATAGAGCAAAGCAGGATAGGACACAGCAGGATAGAATAGAATGGAATAGAATAGAATAGAATAGAATGGAATAGAATAGAATAGAATAGAATAGAAATAGATCAGTGTAACATATAAAATAACAAAATAGAACAGAACAGAACTGGAATACAATCAAACACAAAATATACTCCAGTCAGCACTGGGTAAATCATATATGCATTCTAATAACATAAACTATACTAAGACTTTATGCTTTAAATCAACACAGTACAGAATACAGAATGCATATGAACATATCTGATGCATGTTAATGACTGCTGAATTAAGACATGTTGAGCTGTGTTACATATAAAACATCATGTAGAACAACTTATATAATATACAATACATTATAATCATTACTATCATTATCATACCCTCAAACAGAGATGAAGAGAGGTGCTGCTGGGGAACTCCGTCTGCCACGTGTGGACCACCTCAGGCCGGAAGGACTTCACCACGTACACACAGCCTGGTTTGAGCACGTCTCCCTCAGCCCAGGTACATATCACCCTAAGGGCCCTGCGCAGACCCCCGTCCAGGGTCTCCTGGTGGGCGAGGGGCTGCAGCATGGCCGTGCGCCCTCTCTGACACCAAGAGGAGCTGCTGGACAGGGTGCACTCAGAATCGGACTCCTCCAGAGTGTAGATACACACCTCCTCTCCTCCTGAGTCAGCCAAGAAGAGCACATTTAGACACAGAGAGACATGGAAACTATTCAAATGAAGTATATTCTAAAAAATATATATACAAAACAAATCTTAACAGCACCAATTTTGCAAAAATAAACACTATTTTAATGACAATAAAGATTTTTCTCAAGAGATAACAATCAAAATATGTAATATGTTTAGTAACATGGAGCACGAACTGCTGAATGGAAGGAACTGTTCTTAACAAACAGTGAAAAGGCCTTCAATAGAGTGAGAGTACAGCACAGCAAACCATGAGAATCATTTGGCAAGACTTCTCTCTTTAAAGTAAATGTCAGTAAACACATTGTGTGGTGCTGGTTGTTGGCAAAATGACTTATTTATGTCTACACATTTACTGAATAATTATGGTCTTATTAATTCTTAAAGTTTATCTGACTGACCACATTATTTTCCAATTAACTTTCAGATTATTGTGATCTATGCAAGTTATAGAAGAAGGACTGTTAAAAATATATGATTGGGGTGGTATTTGACTTGGTTTTGAGATGAAAAAAAACCTTCTTTTTATTTTGTATTTAGAAAAGTAAGTCTAAAGCTACACCTGTGGGGGTAAAATGTCATACTTTAGCATATTGTCCCAAACATATTTTTTAGTTAGATCAAGTCACAATGTGGTTCACTGGCAACTTCACTGAATAGCTAACATTAGCATTAGGTGCTAGCTATAGCGATTGGTAGCTACAATTAGGCAAAAATTTTCATCATCAGTCCAAGCACTAAATGTGGTATAGTACTGCTCTGTTTCAGTTGATGCAATAATAATAATAATAATGATAATAATAATAATCATAAAGTCATTAAGTGAATTTACATAACACCATAAGGTAATTAAAATAATTGCAATGACTGTTTAAATAACAAACACGTCAAAAATGTCCTTCGCCTTTTGTCAGAGCTTATAAATATGAAGTGGAATCATTTGACTACTAATTAACCGAGGCCTCAACTTAATTTAAAACATAACATAAAATCTAATATTTTTTGTGTACTTTAATAACATAACTAATAACACATTTTGAAAATCTGTAAAATGTAGATTGAATTGTACAAATTGATGCATGAATAACCAGGGAGGTATTACACAAAACTTTTTGTCTTAAGTTACGATCTGACAGGTCAAGATAAGATTTTTCACAAATTGGTATTACAGAAGCAAATCTTGTCTTAACTTAGGAATCTTATCTTACAGTATCTTATCTCAAGTTAGGAAATCTTAGCCTACTTAATCGAAGTCAACAATCAACTGTCATGTCTGTTATCTAGCAACCGACTATATGTGCACTGCTGAAACGTAAATGCACAAGCAAAATAATCAGGTTAGCTAGCCAGACAGCTAGCTACCATTAGAGTGGGATAAACTTGAAGTTAAGAATATCGTGACTGCGCTTTGTGCTGTTTATCAGAGCACTGCCGCTCTGCAGTTTCAGTTTCAGTTTCCCAAACGCTTTAGCCAAGCGTGCTAACATTAATAGACACACCTTCAGCTCCTTATTATTTACCACAATCACTGTAATATTTTATCTGACTAGTTTTCATTAACATTAACACACAAAGGTAATAAGAGGGGATGGTGGAGATCGTGTCTGCAGTATCTGTCAGAAAAAAAAATCTCACTAAGTCAGTTTCAGTGTAGATAAATATAACGGCATTATACTACTTTTAGTGAACTGTGCTGCCTGTCACTGCATAAAATGATAGAAACAAACTATTAAAACAGAAGTCAAGACACCTCTGGGGTTGTCTTAAAGTTAGGACAGAATTTTGGAGATTTAGTCCAGTTAGGATGTTTCTGTAGTACTGTTTTCTTATCTGGAGTTAGGATAAGATTATAAACTTAACAACTGTTGTTCTGTGATCGCTACTGTCCTAAATTCAGTCCTAACTGAAGTTGTCATGGTAACTAAACAGATAAGATTTCAATGCTGTTAACATTATGCAAAAGTTTCTTGCTGAATAGGCCCAATAGAAATGGTCCAAAGTTGCTTGAAATAAAATTATTTTACATGAACTTACACTGAAAGTTAATCATGTTGAATGTTTGGAGATACAAGGTTTTTAGACGACATGCTAAAAATGCTAAAATGAGCTACAATTTAAAGGTAAAATCAGTAAAATTGGTACATGTTTTGCGAACAGCCCAGTTTAACTCACCCAGTAAGGAGACTGGTGTGAATGGTATTGTGTGTGCTAATCTCATCAGGTTGTTTCTCTCCATAGCTAGGAAAACAAAACCAACTCCAGTTACTGTATGTGAACTACACAGCAGTTATAGAAGGCTTGTAATTGTGAGCCAGACTGAAAGAAGTAGCCAAATCAGCCTCACCTGAGTAGTGTGGGTCCAAATCTTCAGTGGATTTAAACACGGTGCCTCTCACTGACAGCAGAATTACATCATGCAAAAAGCACATATCAAACAGGGATGACTTTGTAACTTAATAGGAGGGATTTTTTTTTTTAAATATAGAAGTGAAAGTGTACTGGAACTTACTCTCGCCCGTCACCCAACTCTGTGCTCTACGAAAAGGAGGGGAAGAAAAACAGAAGACAATGAGAAAAAGGGGGAAGTCGCTTTAACAAGTCACTTAAAATCTTTACAGTATTCATAAAAAATAAGAAAATGGGATTGGGCCCAAGGGTCTTACGATAACAATGACCTAATAATGTGAGAAATAAAACAGCGGTGAGTACTTCTATTTGAGCTTGAGCTGTGTTTGACTTCAGTTGCATTTTCCCTTTATCTTGTTATATGATCGATTTAGCTTGATTTAGCTATTTTAACTGTTACAGGTGAGCAATAGTACCACCAAGCACTGGTACAGGGCAAGTAAGTGCATCAGAAAGTAAACTGGAGAAATGTAATGATGTGCCGATCGCATTTCAAAGTTACACTTATTCACCAAAGTGATGTTAGCCAGCTCGGAAGCTAGTGCTATTAGCATGTAAGCTAGTAGCTAGAGTTTTTGCTTATATTTTTACACTCTGAAGAGAAAATGTCCTCTCCACAAGATTCTGAGTAACTGTAGACATTTGTGTGAGTGTGCGTTTCTGCTAGTTATGTTATGATGCTAATAACGGTCGGTTATTCTAATTTAGGCCTAGCTGGAGAGCAAAATGTGTTAAATTATTCATGACATAGCAGTAGACACACAATGTCAGAATTACGAAATGAACACAGATTTATCCACTATTGCTCCTTCGCCAGCACGGCATAGCCTAATGCCTCAAAGGCCGCAGCTACTATAATAAGCCCTGTGTAATTGTACTGGTTAACCCCTTACAAGTGCATGGGCCCGTCGGCGGTCCCAAAGTTTTATTACACAATTCTAAATCCTAAGAGTAGCTCAACCAGTTTGCAAGTCCCTGTAGTTACTGAATAATCAGTCTTAGTAGGTAAAATGGATTTTAAAGGGTTAAATAACTTGATTTATTTGAGCAATTATTGAACATTCTACTTAGTAGTAATATCAGTAGTAATAACAATAACAGTTATTTTTATTACTAGAGTACTGGTAGCAGAATCATAGAAAAATTGTACATTGACAAAACATGGTAAAATCTAGGTTTCCACCACAGACACAGACATTCCAGGCAGGTGGAAATCATAGACACATCGACACATGGCATGCAGTCGATGGCGGTCCAGCAAAACTAGGCTTGTCTAGCCTTATTTGCTTTTTTTCTGTCAATCTTTATTTGTTCTTTGTAAGTGCAAATCTTGACGACCAAAATAATATATTAAAAAAACAATAATGTGAGAAAGTATATAATGTGAAACTTACGAGGACCTGCCGCTGACAGACCGGGCCCAACTGCTCCAAGCTGATTGGCTAGGACTCCAGGGATTCTTGTGGAGAACAAATCACAGCCAGTCAGTCTAATGCCTACTAGTAATAACACAACTGATCTCCCTCATTTGTACAGAACCAGTCAAAGGGTTGGACACATCATCTTATAGAAAGATTTCCTTGTTTTGATTGTATTTTATACACATAAGAATGTATGCAGTGCCCTGAAAACAAATCAAATTTCTATTCTATTTTAGATTCTTTAAAGTAGATGTCCTTTGAAGTGATGCAGCTTTACATATTCTTGGTATTCTCTGCTTGACATTGTGCTTGGTGATGTAAGCCTTTCATGCAGCTGCTCAGCCATGGCAACCCATGCCATGAAGCTCCCGGCACACAGTTTTTGTGCTGATGTTAATGCCAGAGGAGGTTTGGAACTCTGCAGTTATTGAGTCAGCAGTGTTCTTTTTTTTTTGCACTATGTGCCTCAACACTCTGCAAAACCACAGGTGGTTTTGGATAGTAAATAAAATGGCTATATTCGTGTTCTAGACATTGTGACCCCTGGTTCCTATCACCACCACTGTACAGAAATCTGTAGGTTTCTCTGCATTACACCACTTTACACCAAACCACTCTGAATGACTATTTACATCTCCACCACTGGATTATGCAGAAATTTGAAGAAAAAGGGGGACACTCTCACCTGAGCAAGCGTGACCGATTTCTGCAAGAAATCCACTTGATCAAAATCTAAGAAGAAAAATAATGATATCTGGTGACCATATCACTTAAGGTACCTTCCATAAAAACACAAGTGGATCAGTTATGGACATACTTAGCTGTGACAGACTGACGGATGATTGAAACCTGCGTCCTGCCAGGCCCTTCCCCTTGCTCCTGCTCTTCCGGCCAGAGTCCAGAACATGTACATTCTTTCTGACCTATGAGGGCACAGGCAGTTCATTAGGAAACACTTTTTGGTAAAGGCAAAATGCTAAATTTTAATCAAGAGGACAAAAGTTTGGGTATAACGTTTCATAAAAAATGTATTTTCTCACATTTTTTGCTTCTCCTGCCTTGATTTTTACAAATTTTCTTCCAAATGAGTGCTTCCCTTCTAAGGTTCTGGACAGCTCTGTCAGCAAAAAGACAAATGAGCATGTTTAAAAGCAAACAAACATATTTCTTGGTCATGCTCGGTTCTAAGCAGTGCTCACTGAAATAATTCTTCACCCAAAAAATGAAAAAAAAATAAAATAAAATTCCAGCACATGGTAGTCAGAACAAGAAAACTGAGACAAGCATTGTGCTGGATAAAGTGTACTTTTAAAAGAATAAATCATGAAAAAAATTGAATTTACACAATGTTCCTTTTACGTCAAATTTATTCGATCAGTCATGACAAGACATGTCTGGTATCCAATGTTTACTACTTCAGTTAAGACATTAGAGCATTTATTCCATATACTTATTGATAGAAAAGAAAAGAATGTCTTAAAACAGTAGTAGCAGCCTGAATGTTGTGTGTAGTTTTGTCCATATTTTAATACTACGCTGTCATACACTGTCAGAAACCACATAATCAAGGCTATGTGAGTTAACACAGTTTGAGGCAAATATGTGATTTAGGCAAGCAGTTTGCATACTGCTTCCATTACTTCATAAGCTTCCATTGTGTGTGGACTACAATATTGTGCAAAAGTCAATGATCACTTTTTCATTTGTTAAATTACCGATCATACAGCCAATAAGTACAAGTTGTTCATTTTTCCATGTCAGGAAACATAAATTGAACAGAAAATTACAAAGAAGTCCCAACAACTAAACATAATATTATCTTTTTCAGTATTTAGTTCGTCCAGCCTTTACCTTTATTACAGCTTCCATTCTTTTCAGGACTCTTGCTTTCAGTTTCCAAAGAAATCTGCAGGGATATTTTTCCAAACCTTAAAAGTTCAGTCTTACAAGTTGTTTGCATGTTCTGCTTTTCACAGTTACAAATGTAGAAGTTTGATCGATTTCATTTTCTCAATAGCAGCTTCTTGACAGATATGTATCCTTTCAGACCCAGAGCTTTGATGGGAAGGATGGACAGAAACAACAGTGGATGTTTTCAGATCTGAAGCAAGAGCGGAGCATGATTTTTTTCCTCTCTCTCAAAGTAAGCACTGTCTATCTGATGGGGGCAGTTTTGGTGGTCTATCAGGTCTTGCAGGTGGTTGTTAGGAGTCACAATTTCTCTGTATCTTTTAATCACTTTCTGAACTTCAGTTTTGGAAATTCATCTTTTTTTAATTACTTTCCTTTGACTTTCCCCTTCCTTATACAAGTGGATTCACTCATATCTAACCTCAGAAATACCTTTTTAGCCATTTTAGATGCTCAAGAGAAATAAATCTGAAGGGACAAAGCTGGAAGCTGTTGGTTTGAAGACTGGAAGGATGGAAGTGGACAAATGAAATCCTGATAGATAAAATTCTATACTTAGTTGTTGAGGCTTCTGGTAAATGTAAGCTTCAACTCTTTTTCCGACACTGAAAAATTCATACCGTGTGCTTAATGGTTGGAAATTGGATGGTCTCTGACTTTTGCACAGTACAGTATATTTTGGGTAATTGGCTAAACAGTCAGAGTAGCACCCTGTACCTTTCTCCTCTTTCCCTGTAGGGGGCGGTGTGTCTTCCCTCATGGTGCTGTGCCCTGGTACCCCTGCTGCTGGCATGGCCATGGTCTCAATGCTAGCGGAGAGAGAGCGGGTGTGCTGCAGTTCTCTCTCTACAGCACCAAACGGCCACTTTTTGCCGAAGCGGCTTCGCCTGGGCCTGGCTAATTCACTGTCGCCCGAGAACGCAGGGTTCACAATCCCCAGCTGCTGGCCCCTCTCGCTCTGAGGGACAGACAAGAGCAAGACGTGGCTGGAGGTCCGGGAGATGCTATGTGCCTCGTCATGGTTTAACTCCTCCTCCTCCTCTTCTTCCTCCTCCTCCATGGACTCGTCCTGGCCGGGCAGGCGGTAGGACTCGCGAGCCCAGAGCACAGTGGGAGAGCTAGGACAGGACGGTCCAGACGACTCACAGGGTGTCCTGTCCCTCCACGGTGCCCCCCAGAGGTGAGGCATAGAGCTGTGTGAGAGGCGGTAACCTGCAGGTGAAGCTGCACCCGAGCCACCATTGATTCTCCACCTGTCTTCAAACTCTAAGTTTCCCAATACCCACTTGGGCCTGCTGTCACTTAGCCCTCCGCTGCCCCCTGGTGGAAATTCAAAAGAAGGACGCTTCTTGCCTGGACCCAGTCCACATAGCAGTGAGGGTGGAGTGCTCTGATAGAGCTTCGGAGACAAGGGAGCATGGCTGGGGGTCACGTTCCCACCGACCCGGAGGCTCCAGCTGTGAGACAGTTGTTGGTAAGAGCTGGCGATGGGCTGGCTGTGGCCAAGCAGGACAGCCTCTTGTTGCCTGTTGTCAGTTGCTGAGAGGAGGTTGAGGGTGTCCACAGCTTGTGCAGACATGTCCTGCAGCTGACCCAGGTGACCGTCCAGCATCTGGAGGCTCTCCTGTATGAACTGGACCTTCTCTGCCACCTCTGACAATGTGCCCATCATCTCCTCTGCCCTAAACAGACACACACAAAGGATAAATCGGTGCAAATTTCAGTCTTGCTGATCAATTCTTCATTTTTTGTTGTTCACTATTTACTTTTTTCCTTCCACCAACACTCCTGGGTGGTATTTCACAAAAGCAGATTTATCAGTTAACCAGATAACTTGACAAACACCAGACCTGTACAACAGGAGAAGAAGGAAGGGATATTCCTACTGGACAGTCCACATTTGGACTTTAGAATTCTAACAACTTTTAAAAACTGCATTATTCAATTGCTGAGTTGTAACCCCAGCCATTCAGAGAGGTCTGACATGAAATGCTCCATCTGAGAGAAACTTAGAAGTGTTCACAGTGGTGGTGATAGGAACCAGATGTCTGCAGCGCTTAATGCCTCTAAAAGTTCCCTCACAGAATGTTATTACATGAAATGGTTATGAATACCCTGCCCGATGCCAGATACTTCTTATGATAGTTTTGAGATAAGCCTTTTATCTTAACTCTAGTCGATATATCCCATATTTCTCCAGATGAGATTGTTGTAAGCTTAATTTAAGATTAAAAAGATCATTTTTCTTGTTTTAAGAAATGTGCTTGAAACAAGCCAAATTATCCGCCAGTATAGTAAAATAATTTACTTAATAAAATTCCTTAAAACAGGTAAAAAAAATGTCTAGAATAAAGCTAAATAATGTTATAATTGTGCAAAACCATCTCAAAATAACAAACATTAGATATATTGACTAGAATTAAGATCATTTCCCTTGACAAGATACTATTTTGCAGTGTTGTTAACTAGGTTAACAGAAACCCTGTCACTCATCTCTCAACGTATCTGAAATAGGCTTTGTTAAATCTGAACAGTCTTGAATGCTTTTTGCAGTATTAATCAAAAAAGGGTATATAAATGTTGTGTATATATGGTCTACAAAAACACTATTATAAACCAAAACCTGAAATATTCCGATAAAAAACACCTAAATATCTAATTAACTTAAAGCCAGTTTAGTTTTTTTCCATAATGGCAACTGGTGGCCTTCACAGAAGAACTCAGAGCAGCCAGCAGAGAGTGCTGTGGGGTCTAGAAAAAGATAAATTCCCACCATGAGTGGTACCACACATGTTACAGTGCTCACACAAGCTAAAAATAGGACGGTAAATTATCAGTAGCAATTATCGGCAATAACTTCAATATGATACTGATAATCATAACTGCGTTATTATATCTATGCGTTGTGCATCCCTATTTCTAAAGGGTCATCGAAAAGTGTCAGAGATGTGTAATCCTGTGAACAGATCCATGAGTCTAAGTGTTTTAGGCAGATGACGTCATGACAAGACATATGCAGCCCTAGAGTGAGAAAGTTAAGGATGGTACTGATGAAGAAACTTACTTGTCAGCAGTGGAACGAATCCGGTTGATCTGGCTGCAGTTTTGGCTTTCATGTTTATTGCGGAAATAGCCAGCCACACACTTCTCCTCAAACTCATGCAGTTTCTTCCTATCATCAGGAGCCAAGAACAACTCTTGCAGAGAGAGAGAGAGAGAGAGAGAGAGAGAATAGTTTGGTGAATAATCTTATTTACAATATTTGCCCCTTACCCTAGATCAGGGGTGTAAAAGGTACAGAGAAACTTGCATGAAAGTTTAGGTACTGTATCAAAACCTTACTCAATTAAAAGCAGAACTGTGGGGACAAAATATACGTGCCATGCACCAACCAGTGCTGAAAGGAGTAATGAGAGGCTAGCGGCCGACCCACCCAGTGCCTCAGAGAGCGGAAAAAACAAGTGCCACGCCCATAAGTGCTGATGGTGAGAGATCAATGGTGAGTGATCAATGGCACATCCACAAGTGCTGCCTGGAGTTGCAGAAAGTGATGATATCGTAGCGCCATGTCCACAAGCACCGACAGAGGCCAAGGACAACATAGATTGATTGATACCACAGCCACAAGAGCTGCTAAGAGCTCCAGAGAGTGGCAATAGCACAGCATTACACCCACAAGCACTGACAGGAGATCGAGGACAGTGGAAAGAGCAGGAGCTCGAGGACAAAAGTAAGAAATCAGCTCTATGCCCACTAATGCCAACAGGTGCCCGAGGACAACAGTAAGAGATCAGCTCTATGCCCACAAGTGCTGCCAAGAGCTCCGGAGAGTGGTGATATCGCAGCATCACATCCACAAGCACCGACAGGAGCTCAAGGACAACAGTAAGAGATCAGCTCTATGCCCACAAGTGCTGACAGGAGCTTGAGGACAACAGTAAGAGATCAGCTCTATGCCCACAAGTGCTGACAGGAGCTCGAGGACAACAGTAAGAGATCAGCTCTATGCCCACAAGTGCCGACAGGAGCTCGAGGACAACAGTAAAAGATTCCACTCTATGCCCCTCAAGTGCTGCCAAGAGCTCTGGAGAGTGGCAATTGTGCAGCATCAAACCCACAAGTGTCAACAGGGTTCTGAGGACAGCAGTAAGAGATCAGCTCTATGCCCACAGGTGCTGACAGGAGCAAAGGACAGTGGCGACAGTGCAGCTCCTGGCCACAAGCTCCAAGAGGAGCTGAGGAGAATGGAGAGAGTGCAGCTCCACACCAACATGCAGTGAAGGAGCTCAGGACAACAACGAGAGATTGGCTCCATGCCCACAAATGCTGCCAAGAGCCACAGATAGTGGCACGAGTACAGCTCCATGCCCACAAACACTGACAGGAGCCAAGGACAATGGCCCCCAAGTGCCACCAAGAGTGCTCCTGCTATTCTACAGCTGGGCTACTGAACTATGCCTAGCGTTTGACTCTGGTGGCCACGCTGCAGAGCGAGGTAAGTGACTGAGTTGGACCAATGATTTCCTTCTCTCTCTTGGTCGTCATTGGCACCTAGAACAATATACTTGAGTGAAACTACAAAAAGTATTGACATTTTAAACATGCTCGAGTATATGGACCATCCTACCAAATTAGAATGTTTAGACTGCAGCCTCACATTAAAAAACACCAATAAAGTACTCAGACTGTATATATTTACAAGGATTATTTTATGATCTATTTAAAATCAAGGCATTAATAGAGATAGTAATACACTAAATATGTATAAAATCATCATTTACAGGGTACTTTGTAATGGGAGGTGTCTGTTCCAAACCCTGATCCCTAAATTTACGTTTGTGAAAATAGTACTTAGATATTTTGTTGCATTTTTTCAATGTTGTTTTTTCAAGATCTTTTATGTTATTTTAAAGTGAAGTTGCAAGATTCAGATTTATAATGAGTTTAATTATTAGATAAGAGTTTCATTTCATGGGCGGAGTCTTATTTTAGCCATGCCCCTGCATTTTAGAGCAGGGAGTGAGACTACATCCTTGTCTCTCATGGCCACATGGTGAGCAGTTAGATCCCACTGTTTTGAAGTAAATGTGTCCTAAAGTCTGAAAATCAGTGTGTAACCTTAAGAATTGTCTCAACTGAAACATATATTTTCTCCAGTTAAGTAAGCTTTTAGTGTTTTAAACAAAAACATGATTTTATGTGTGTACAACTGTTCAAAGCTGTGTTTACTAGTCTAGCTAGTATTAGCTAGCATTTTGGAGTAATGCACCAAATTAGCTAAAACTGTGACTATTGAAAGAGTCACTTCAAAAATATTTGGTAAAGCTGCAGTGGTGTTTTTGTTGTATTGGTAGGGACAAAATGGAATGTTCAATCATTTATTTTAATAAAATAAACATAAAATATAGGGTAAGGTATAGGGGCACTCAAAGCAAAAGGATTTTAGTCTAAAGCCCAAGACAGTTAAAAGTCTGAAATGTGTTTTCAGCTCTAACTTTGAACCCTTTTAGTACAAACATCCATATATAAGTAAAGCCTAAAGACAAAGTCAGATTAAAAATAACACTGGGTATCTCACACTTTCTGACTGATCTTTGCATATTTTATGGGGTGAAATATTGAACTATTGGGAATGACTCAGTAAACAACTTGGGATTACATGAATGCTACATACCATTGTTGCTGGACAGAACCAGACTAGCAACACACAATGTCTTGTTAATAAGACCCCATTTACACTAGGTCAAGACTTGAATAGATAAGATTTTAACCACATACATTTTTATTTGGTAATTGAAAGCATATCTGGCTTGTCAGATTGAAATCTCTTTGCTATGTGGTGCATAAAATGCTGATCAGTTCATGTACAACAACAATCGCCTGTGTTTCTTATTTTCTTTTCTGTTCAAAAGGTGGTTGCATGGCGTTACTCATTTCCTTACACTGGCTTTACACCAATGTTTACAAGAGGACAGCTGTTTAGAATAATTAGCCTTCTGTATTACTCATCACGATCATGGCCCACATGCGTTAAACTGTAACGTATTGCAGCGAGACAGTGAATAATGCTGAAGTGAAGTAAAGATTAACCAAATTGCCACTTTATTTTAACAAGCTCGGGCTGCTGAAGGCTACGGAATTAAATTCACATTAAGAGCTGAACTGATGGAGCAGTCATGCCCCGCTTTATTACTTATTCTCCACAGTTGTATGCAAAAGCAGCACTGGCCAAATTAGATGTTCTGTGCATTTTTAAAGTGAAACGAAAGTAAACAAAACCTTTTTCAGTAACTTTTTTGATGGTACACTGTAGATGCTCAGTCTGTCTTTAAGTAACATTCAAATAAATATCTATTAAATGTAACGGAACCTGAAGTTGCTAGTGAAAGATTCTATTAAATCTATCCCTAATCCTAAACCTAACCCTAACCTCAAGGCAAAACCTATACCTACTTCTAAACCCAAGCCCAACCTTAATGTTGTTGATAATCAGCTGAGTTTGTTAGTAATATAAGTATCTGTAGATCATATATAAAGGTGCACACAAATAAAGTGTGACCCCTTCTTTTAACTACTTAAAATAATACATTTTTTTCTGCACACGTACTTTATATTCGATAATCTTTAAAAATAGAATTAAAATAAAATAATACTTGTGGCATGTGCAGGAGTTTGGACACCTTTCCAGCCTCAGAACTTTATTAACTTGTAGGCTTTCATTGACTCATTAGGACTGGTTAACTACGCCATTCAAAAACGCCATTAGGAACTGCCAATTGAAAATTCCAATTTATAACAATTACCTTTTTGCTGTAAAAAATCCCTTTGCCATATTGCGTGTATGCAGGGGTGCAAATTTGATTTGGCAAGTTGGGGGGACAACTTGCAGACTAAAGCCTTAACACAGCACTTGAAACTGTAATGATAGTTAAACATAAGAAGGTATATTAATAACTATAATAACTGCTGTTGCATAACTCAATAAATAATCATAGTCTAGTAAACAACATTTCCATTTTTTAAACTACAGGCAGAGCAGGTCAGTGCTTCTTTGATAACATCATTGCTGACTATAACTAAAGGAAACAACATTCTACAAACTCTTTTGGCTTTAATTAAATTTGTACAATGTGGGAAATAATGGGGACATAATAATTAATATATGACAGCTTTTTCCCAACTCAGCTATGTACTGTTTTTTAAAATAACCATCCTGTGACCTCCAATAATTTCAAAAAGTGGCACTGCCATGAACCGTACTATTTGGGTGGTGGGTCATTCTCAGCACTGCGGTAACACTGACGTGGTGGTGGTGTGTTAGTGTGTGTTGTGCTGGTACGAGTGGATCAGACACAGCAGTGCTGCTGGAGTTTTTAAACACCTCAGTGTCACTGCTGGACTGAGAATAGTCCACCAACCAAAAACATCCAGACAACAGCGTCCTGTGGGCAGCGTCCTGTGACCACTGATGAGGGACTAGAGGATGACCAACACAAACTGTGCAGCAGCAGATGAGCTATCGTCTCTGACTTTACATCTACAAGGTGGACTGACAAGGTAGGAGTGTCTAATAGAGTGGACAGTGAGTGGACACAGTGTTTAAAAACTCCAGCAGCACTGCTGTGTCTGATCCACACGTATCAGCACAACACACACTAACACACCACCACCACGTCAGTGTTACTGCAGTGCAGAGAATGATCCACCACACAAATAGTACCTGCTCTGTGAGGGTCCATGGGGGTCCTGACCTCTGAAGAACAGGGTGAAACGGGGCTAACAAAGTATGCAGAGAAACAGATGGACTACAGTCTGTAATTGTAGAACTACAAAGTGCACCTATATAGTAAGTGGAGCTGATAAAAAGGACAATGAGCATAGAAACTGCACCGGTGTGGGTATGAACAAAAAAAAGTTTGCTCGTGCGTCAGGAACGCTGGACACGTGATTACGACCAATGTAAACAACAACAGATTTAATTGAGAACACAGAGGACACATACTTTTGCCATCCTATCCCATTCCATGTGCTTATTTATACTTGAAATAACAATTTTGGGGACAGTAAACTTTCGGTCTGCTTGCTTGACTGAGCAAGCTGGGGAAAAAGTTAATGTTGAACCCTGTAAGATCAACTTATTTTCTTAACAGTTGGAAAAAATCACTGGCATTCGCTTCTAACTGACTTGTTAGCACGTAAAATGTAAATATTCTTTTAATGTTAGTGATGCAAGAACAACAAAAACCACACGCACCAAAACCACTAAAGACACTCACTAAGGCCCAAGTCGCTCTCCTGTCCAGACACCCCTTTGCGCCAATGCCACACTGTGCTGACACACAAGGTCATGTGACTGAAGAGGATCAGAGGGGGAGGCAGCCATGGCTTCTTCTGATAGGTCATGATGTAACGGTGGCGGTTGTACTTCCACAGCTGATGGGATATATTCTTCATGTGGATGTAAACGTTGCTGTGGGTGAAGAGCAAACAAACCGATTACCCATAAATGCTGTTCATTTTTTGTTTGTTTTTTCTACTGAGCACCTAAAACTACACAGTGTAAACTTTTCACATGTATAAAATAAATAAATAAATAAACCAACATATTGTTAAATTGTGTATTTTGAGAAAAAAAGGTGCTAGAATTTCTCAATTTTTGTGAACGATCTATTCTATAAAGCTTGACTAGCAACAGTACATGGGTCAGAACGCAATTGTGGGCGGAACATGGGTAGGTCAGTGTGGGTGTGTCCTTTTTATGTGACTTTTTCTTATTTGAATACTTATGCAAAGCTGCATATTTCTGTTTCTCAAAAAAGGCCAAATAATATATTTTGGCTTTGAAAATGGAATGTTACAGCAGTGGACACCAGCCTTTCTTCTGGATGGAGGTCTACTTTTTAACCTGACCTGAAATGAAACACCGTTACCTAACACTAGTGCATCTGATCCAGCCAATCAAGGACTTCTGAAGAAGATAATTAGCATTTGACTTTGCAGGAAGGTCTGCAGGACCAGGGTTGGTGACTACTGCGTGAGAGCAGTTCACAATGAAAATGGCAGGTACAAAAATACATGCAAGTTTCACTTGTAATCCAGAAAATAGGAGTGCAAGAATTATTCGACTAAGTCGACTAAAATCGACAACCAAATTAGTTGGCAACTAATTCAATAGTCGATTAGTTGGCGATGTCATTATGCATGTTTCTCGCACTCACTAGGAATGTTTTGATATTACTGCTTACTGGAGAGTTAACAAAAGCTTGATGGCAGCCTCAGTAACAAAATCCTCAAGAGTGTGGGAGCATTTCACGCTAAACTCAGAAAAAAGGTTGTCAGTTGTGCTGTTTGTAAAGCCTTAGCTGGCATGGAAGCACATCCTCCATGTTGGAGCGTCTGAAGAGGAAACATGTCGGCTTACTGAATGAAGAAGATTCATCTTGGTAAGATAGTTGTGCTCGCGAGCTGGTTAGCTAATATTAATGGTAAAAGCCGTATGAGGTGTAACATCTAATTCAATATGCTGTTCTCTGGAATCGTTCATGGAGTTGGAACAGAGAAGCAAGTAACTATTATTCACAGCGACTCTGTTCACTTTCCAAATAATGTTTACAGTTTTAAACACTGCATCGTTGTGCAAACGTCAAGGCCACCGGTGCGTTCAAATTTGGCGAACATAGAGAACATTTGCAAACAAACGTTTGCCACCACTCGTAAACAGTTGCAAGAGGTACATCTATGCGAACATAGAGGGCAACAGGGAACAGATATTGGAGTTTTATTTATCTTTTGTATTAGCAGGAAAGTTCATTAAAATAGTGAATTTTTGAAAAAGTTATTCATCTTTATTGTCTTCATTGTTACATGCATAAAACAACCTCAAGCTAAATTTAAAAGCTCATAGCTACACAGGAGTAACTGGGTAATTTAGTGACTCATAATCCGAATAATCAATTATTCGCTTCAATAATTGATAGATTATTCGACTATCAAATCAATCGGTTGTTGCAGCCCTGCCAGAAAATGTTGAGAACAGAGGCAGTGTACTATTGTAGATGAGATACCACTGTGGCTATGTTCTCACTGCAGTTAAAAGTGGCCCAAATCCTTTTCTTCCTATATGCAAGTTTACGCATGAAAACATATAAAAGAGTCACAAATCAGAACCGATTTTTTGTTGCTCACATTGAAAAGCACTGTTCTTGCATGTCCTTCAAAATGAAAGATGTGGTGCGTAACCATAGTAACAGGTGTTTTGATGGCATTTTCAAAAAGATGGACTGACGTAGAGATCAGATAGAGATCACGTTTTGCATATCGGATATCAGATCTTAGAAACATGTATGAAAGAGGCCTAAATCAGAACCAAAACTGTCAGATACAGCTTGTTTTTTGTTGTACTGACAGCAACTATTGCCCAAGCTGAGGACTGGGAAGTCATAGAGGGCCACATCACTTCATAGTTTAGTGTCTTCCCATCTGCAACACACCTGGTTCAGCTCTGTGGCTAATTATCAAGCCCCCGGTGATCTGGATCAGGTGTGATAAAGATCAGAGAAAACATTAACATTCACAGTGCTGTGGCCTTCAAGGCCTGGACTTTGACATATGTGGTAAGATATGTAACTAGTGCGTACTTGTAGAAGGCAATAAGGAGGTTGACCATGATGATGTACTGCATGAACAGGTAGACCGCCTGCAGCAACGGATTGAGGAAAGAACCTGGAGGACAGTCTGGGTTTTCTTCACAGGCTGTTCAAAAACACAAGAAGACACACTTAAATTGGAAGACCTACAAACCTAAATCCCAAGGAAGTTGTTAAAGTATGTGAAATGCAAATAAATAAAAAAAAACAGTGATTTGTTAATCTGTATTTAAACAAAAATTAGTTAAAAAAACAAGATATTTAATGTCTTCATTTTTCGAATTCATTGTTTTTGGTAAATATATACATCCTTAATTTGATGCCTGCAGCTTGTTCCAAAAAAAGGTGGAAGATGGGCAATTTAAGACTAGGAATGTTGTCAAAAAGATGATGTAATCATGTTTGGGTAAAAAAGAAGCATCCACAGAAAGTCTTAGTCCTTTAAGAGCATGGATTGGTTAAGGCTTGCCACATTGCCTAAAAATGTGTCAACAAATAATTAAACAGTTTCACAATAATGCTTCACAAGTGTTTGCAAAGATTTTAGGTATTGCACCCTCTATGGTGCATATCATCAAAAGATTCAGGGAATTCAGAAAGATGTCTGTGTAAAGGGCAAGTCCAAAAACTAAAACTGAATGCCAGTAACCTTCAATCCCTCAACTGGCATGCTTCTGTGATGGAGTTCACTACAGCAAAAACTGTTCCATAAATGCAAGTTAAGCCTGTATTATGCATAGTGAAAGTCATATGTGCAAAACGCCGCCGACTTCTCTGGGCACAAGCTCATCTGAAATGGACTGATGCACAGTGGAAATGTGTATTGTGGTCTGACAAGTCAGCCTTTCTGACTGTTTATAGCAATAATGGACGTTGTGTTCTCTGGCCCAAAGAAGAAAAGTTGTGGGTGGGTTAGTGGACAACTTACACATCTGTGTAGGCATCATTAATGCTGAAAGATATACAAATTTAGATGCTGTCTTTTCAGGGATGTCCATGCTTATTTCAACAAGACAACAAACCATGCACTGAACATGTTACAACAGCATGGCTGTGTGATCAGAGTGTGGGTGCCTTCAGTCCCTAATTGATTATTAAGTGTTGTTAAAAGGAAGGAGGATGTACCAGAGTTCTAAATATGCTTTTATCCCAACTTTTTTCACAACGTGTTGCAGGCACAGCCATTAAGTTAATATGCTAGAACATAGAATCACCATATTTTGTGCTGTTTTGTTTTTAATACAGTTCAGGCAGAATTTAACTAATCGCTGTGTCCTGTTTTTATCAGCATTTTACATACTGCTTTGGAATTAAGGCTTGTAGAAGGCTAATTCTAAACTAATGCTAATTCTAATGCTATTTGTACCACATGCTAATTCTAAACTACACATGCACTCCACCGTTTAATGTTATATGATAAGAGTAATTTCAAGTTAAAAGGAAGAAAACACTCTCTCTTTCTCAGCATTTATTTTTCCCCATTACTGCCTTTATTTCTGTTACCCACGGTTGATCTCTCCAGCATAAACTTCTCCAAACATCATGAAGTAGGGCTGGAAGAGCACATCCTTCAGCAGGCCCCAGGAGGGATCCTCGTAGGGCTTCAGGATGGAACCCCTAGGGGTGCCAAAACTCACCAGCACAATGCCCATTATGGTCACAATGTAGAACATGTTGCTCATCTGTAACACAAACAGTCTATAACTAATATGCAAGGGTAGAAAGATGAACCACCGAGCCAACAAATCTTGCGGCTAAGATTAGGAATTTGTAGCCAGAACTTTAGAAACATGTTTATTGTATATACATAATATTTACAATTCACAAGTATGCGTCACTACTTAAAACTAGTCAGGTATTACTTTGAAAAAGGAAATACTGTAGATATATGTTAATAAGAGCATTGCCATTGTGGTCCCCCCAGCTGGTCATCTGATCTAAGCTCTTTCTAGGAGTAAAGGTCACTGCACTGCTTTGTTAACTGTCGTGGTGGTTACAGTTAACAACATGCGATGAAAATCTTATTTGTCTGATTAATATCTTAAAGGCAAGTGGCCACTTGGGCCACAGGCTCTGCATTTTTAGTGGCGAAAATGGGACATGTGACCAGGGGCACCATGAAATAAACAACAGAGACCCCTGGACATGACTAATGATTTACAAAACCTAGGTATCTGACAGGTTAAAAAAATAAAATCAAGAATCATATCATACCATCTTGGTGATCATGGTCAAGTAGGGTCCAGCTTTTTGGTTAATGGCTAGCAGGTCCAGAACACGGACAAACCAGAAGATGATGTCCAGGCAGTAGATGATGCGTCCAGCTGTGTGGACCACACCCGTCTGCCAGCGGAGGGCCAAACCAGTGAAGAACAGGAGAATGGCGACAAAGTCATGGACGTTCCAATATTCACTGAACCACACTTTCAGCTTTTTTTGGAACCTTCTCGGCTCAGACAGCAACACCTGAAGAGAGAGAGAATGAGAGAGAGAATTTCACTTTGACATGCCACAAAGCACATTAAAATCTTTGATCATTTCAGATAAGATTTCAAAGTCAGATAAGTTCTGAACAATAATTGAAATGGAATTAAAGCTAACTGCTTTTTTAAGCTTTTATTTTCTGGCAGGAGGTAACATAATATTTAAACAAACAGAAATTCTGTTGAAAGTGCAGATTCGACATTTTTAAATGTGCTTGTGTACAGTCACGTGCTAAATTGTAGATGCCTTTGGTTTTGTCACATCACACATTCTCTACAGAGAACACACTTCTGCACATTTTACACACAATTACTGTTTATTTGCTTAATTTAACATAGCGGAAAAAAATTAAATAAAGTTGTAGTCTGTGAAAATTTTATACTGCATGTTTCATTTCTTTTGCACTATGTAAAACTCATTTGTTGATTGCATTTTCACTGAGAAAATCGACCAAATATGTCATTAGACTGGAAGTGTTTAAACGGTTGCATATGGCTATAGAAGAGTCTTGCCTTAAAGTCTCATGTTTCAAAGATCCCCTACACTTCCACTATGTTTTCGTTACTATTTGACATTGAACCTGTGGATAAGATGAATGTTAATGTAATTTATTTCATACCTAATGATGTAATCAATTATATTATTATGTAATTACATTTTAACAGTATAGCAAATGGCAACAGTAACTCTAGACTTGCAAGGGTTGACATTCCAGAACAGCCTGTAATACACTCTGTTGCTCAAACAGCTTATGTTCATTTGTCTTACTGGAAGTGTTAAAAGCTATTGCATTCTGTCAATGATTAGCAACGTGCCTGCACAGATGTACTTCAGAGAGAGAATAGGTAAGAGGAAAACAGCAAGATAAACTGTACAAAAGCCCTTTTAAAGTGAGAAGATAACACAGAACTGAAGACCTTTGATTCCAGCAAAACAAAGATAAAGTGAATCTACAAAGAGAGAGTTTATGTTTTAACTGGTGAGGCCAATAAAGGGAGACTCTATATTGTATTAACGCTCTCCCACTCAGCTGTGCAGATGTCTGGGCGTACAGTTGTGTGCACATCGACCAAATTACAGTGAAAAGAAGTAAACACAACCTCTGCAGCAAACAGTTTAAATGGAAATGTTTATGCACAGTTGCTATATTGTAAAAAATTAAACAGTTACTGTGGCAAAAGTACAGCACTGTGATAAAGGGATGTAGCAGAGATTGCAAGCCTGAGAGCCTAGAGATAACCTACACCAGCTAGCCATTTCATTAAAACCACCTTGCTTCTACACTCTGTCCATTTTATCAGCTCCACTTACCCTATAGGAACATTTCTGTAGTTCTACAATTACAGACTGTAGTCGATCCATTTCTCTGCATACTTCGTTAGCCCTCCTTTACCCTGTTATTCAATGGTCAGGACCACAACAGAGCAGGTATTATTTGGGTAAAGGATCATTCTCAGCACTGCAGTGACATTGACGTGGTGGTGGTGCGTTTGTGTGTGTTGTGCTGGTCTGAGTGGATCAGACACAGCAGTGCTGCTGGAGTATATAAACACCTCTGTGCCACTGCTGGACTGAGAACCAAAAATATCCAGCCAACAGCTTCCTGTGGGCAGCGTATTATCTCTGACTTTACATCTACAAGGTAGACCAACAAGGTAGTCTATCTGAGTGGACACAGTGTTTAAAAACTCCAGCAGCACTGCTGCGTCTGATCCACTCATACCAGCGCAACACACACTAACACGCTACCACCACGTCAGTGTCATTAATCCCCTTTCAGTGTTACTAATCCCCCATTAATTCCCTAAAAGGTAACAGGTGAAGTAAGTTATGATGGTACTAGGCTATTTATACTATATTTATACTATATTTGAGGTAAATATGCCAGTGGCTGAGTTAACCCCATAAATGGCCAGGACCCGCATGTGGGTCCAAAGTTTTACTATCGCTTCTATAACCTAAGGATAACTCGGCCAGTTTGCATTGTGGTCCATGTAGTTACTGAATAATAAGCCTTAGTATGTAATAAGTCTGGTGGTGAGTGAAATGGTGAGTGAAATATGCTACTAACTGAGGTAAATATGCCAGTAACTGAGTGAAACATGCCAGTGGCTGAGTGAAATATATCAGTAGGTAAACTGAGTTAAATCTCCTATGTGTGAGTGGAATATCCATTTACATGTAACCTAAAATTTCTAAAGCACTCAAAAGAATAGGTACTGAAGTGACACAACAGCTAGCAAAAAGTCTGAGGATGAAATAGGACAGGATGTTAGCATATACAGATCATTACTCCGCTCTTTATTTGGGAGTTTGCATGGTGTAACACACTGTCAAGAAGTCTAAAGCTATCATTAAATCATTGTTTAGCATGTTAAGATACATCGTTTCTTCTCCGATTCACTTTTAAGCATAACATGCCTCAAAAAATTACAATAAAACAGCATCCTCTTTAAGCCCTCAATTTAAACGGAGAACAAACCCTGTCATTTTGGCTAAACAATCCCATAATGCAGCGAGACATGCTGTTGATTTCTAAGCCCTCTTATAGTAAAGGATATAAGCACTGGCTGATGACTGATAATGTATCCAGCAAGTCTAGTGAAAAAACATAGAGTCCAGATCATAGTGTTTTCAGGCTCACCTCTCGAACTTTCTCTGCAGCTGTAGACGAGATGTATGCAATGATGAACCACTCTGGAAAACTGGGGTACCTCTCCATCCTCACCAAGACTGTGTAGGTGTAGAGCATGAGAAACGGCAGGTAGGTCATCTACGCACACCAGGCAAAACATGCACATGCCATTTCAGAGAGACACAAACATACAAAGATACAAGTACACCGAGACAAAAGCTTTGTTAGGCTCAAAGAAGAGTTTAATAAAATTCCCTGAAAGAGAGAAACTGAATATATTGTTAGAAAGACATAATCCTCCTTAATCTGGCAGATTCTTACAAGAATGACACAGCTTGAGGAAATAACATGCTAATAAAGCTTCTCTGAGCTCAGTTGAGTGGATGACATTATGAGCAGTTAGGAGACTCACAGTGTGGAACCAGAATTTGACAACAGGTGCATTGTAGAAGTCGTAGACCTTCCTGGCCCACGGTAGCCACCGTGCAGTAAGGTTTGACCTGCGGCTTGTGCCAGTCTTCCCTGTCTCTGCATTGCCCTGATCCTTCAGAAAGAAGCAGACTTACTGCATATCATACATTAAATGATTTCTTCTATAAAAACGGAACACCTACACTATGGGCCGAATGTAAACCCCTGTGCAAAAGACAGGTCAAGCCCAAAATACAAATGGTTTTTGCTGATAGTTTTGGCCAGGTCCAGATTTAACCCCTGTGCAGAATATTTGCTCTCACATTAAAGGAGTAATATGTAGGAAGACACAACCTGTCAAATGTCTTACTTCACACTCCAAACAAATAGGTGGCAACATATCACCAGAGAGTTGTGGTGTCCCCTATTGTAAGACACAAGTAAATGCACAGACCCTCCTCTTCCCTGTTCACTCCTCCCCCTCTTCATTAGTCTACAAAATATGCATCAAACTTCATCCCTTTGCTCACCGAGAGCTGTCTCCAGTGGTGGACAGCAACGCCAATGTTTACTCTTGTTTTGCTTCTATTTATGTCACTCCTTTTCTTTGCTGCCAAATGTAGTTTCCTGCTGGGAGTGGGCGGTGGTGGTGACAATGGTCGCTTGCCAAGAGCTTCAGCCATCGTTGCATTTACAGTTCCTTTCATGGGCTACCTATCCTAAAATGTTTTAACCCCAGACAAAAATTTTGTTACCTGTGTTTAAGGTGGTAGTAACTTCAGGCGCCTGCAGATGACGATGCACAAGAAGGATCAGGCTATAAATACCTGTGGGGTGTGCGATGGGATTTATAGATTGAGAAAAGGTGGTAACGTGCAGTGAATATCTTGTTCGATGTGTGGAAAATGGGTCGTAAAGCAGATGTTAATGATTGGCAAAAAGGAGTGATTGCATTTGGGCATGCCAAAGGCCACAGTATGAAGGAAGTAGCTGAATTTGCAGGTGTGTCAAAGCGTACGATCATACGGGTCTACCAGCAGCGGCGGAAATCCCAGCCTACAGGAAATTCTCATCAGAATTGTGGCTGAAAGACAAAACTGACAGACAGGGACCACCAGCGTGTTTCACAGCTTGTGAATAAAAATCGCTTCACTTCCAGGCAAGAATTGCTTCTAGAAGTCAATGCAGGTACAGTTATTCTGTATACTGTTATTCATACTCATGGAGGTATTACACACTATTAGGTATATTTCGGTCACAGGTGACTAATTTTTTGTCCGGTGAGCTAATGCAGGCCAGAATTTGTTGTACAACCAACATAAAACTGAAGAACACAAGCTTTGAGGGAACATCTAAATGGGAGAATCAGGTGGATCTTATTAGAGCTGCAATAAAACTCTGTAGAAGAATCACCAGAAGCTCAACTCTTTAACAATTAGTTTGCAAGATTAAATCACATCTTCAACAGGTGGATATTGTATAAACGACTGTAGCAGTGAAGTGAACCCTAAGAACTTGAGCTGGAGTTCTGCTTTGAGCAAACTGACCGTCCACTTCCTTGACAAACAGTGATAGAACTAAGACATAGGACTCTCAGGAAATGGGTTAGTGGTGGGGCGCGAAATGTCACTGCAGGAAACACAGGGTAGAGACGGAAATTTATAAGAAGTTAGACAAGGCCTTGAAGCTCCATATCCCAGTTCTTTAGTTATTTCATATCTCCATTTGCAACCTCCTGAGCAAAAAATGATTCAAGCCCATATTTCAATGGTCTTAACAACAAATCATTAGTCAGTAAATCAGCAAGAATTAAACAAATAGTTAAAGTAAGTTAGTATGGGAGAGGTTTTCCCTTTGATTTCCTTAAATGTTGAAGTCTTGGGGGTAAACTTGGAGCCTTTTACATTACGATTCTATTTTATTTCACTCAGCATTGATGGCCTCAAACAGCTGAAAAACATTGCCAAGCTGGTTTGTGTTTAATGTGAGGCCAAATATTCTCCATAGAGTTTAAACCTGGACTCTCAGATTTTTTAAAAACTGAGTGCAGCTGTCAACCTTTTAGCCTTCATAGTTTGTGAAAATTCACAACATAATGACACAAAATGACACAAAGGTAATCATGGAAAAGAAGGCTTGTATGAAAAAGTTGTGACTTTCTGAGGTGAACAACAAAGATAGAAAGTTCTGGAAACAGCTGATACTGAACAACCGATGAGAAGTTCTCTTACTGCTTGTGCTGCACTTCCACTTTCTGCAGCCCCTGGGCTCTCCGTGTCCCTCCCGAACTGCAGGGCCTCCTGTGTCTGAGGCACATGGGACATCTCAGCCTGGCTCTTAAACTCCAAAAACTGGATGGTTGCAGGTAGCAGGATGCTCACAATGATCTGAGCAGTCTACGAGAGAAGAACAACAACCGGTTAAAGGTACAACCTTTAATTTTTTTTCATAGGTGCAGTAAATTACACATTAAATTTTTGAAATTACCTTGAACTACAACGAGAAGCAAAAATATTGGACAAGGAGGTATAATTGATCATTTTTACATATATTATTTGTACATTAGCTTCAAAGCTCCAGTGCAGAATTGAAATTGTATTTTTTATCACTTTAGGCATACACATTTAGATCAGGATGTCCTTAAGATCATGAAAAACATATTCAATCAGACTTCTTGACTTCTCGACACAGCATAGGAAACACAACACATGTATGTTCAACATACCTTAAGCCAGGTGTTCTTCCTCATGTTAAGGCGGCCCATCCACAGGTCGCTGAGGAGCATCTGGGTACAGGAATGGGCCAAGAAGGGCCTAAGACCTGAGGCCACTGCCATCTGGAGACACGTGAAGTCACTCCAGTCTGTCATCTCTGAAGTCAGCAGCTTCATGGCCATACGCTCGTTCTCCTTGAAGGCTTTGTCCAGAAGATCCACGGCTAGCTGACCAAACTCTCTTAGAAGAACAAAAAACAGAAGATGTGCAGGTTTAACAAATAAAGAATAGTCAACCCAATCTAGAATCAGTTCTTGACGATTCACAAAACTTCTTAAAACGTAAATGACAAAATTATTATAGGTCTAAATTTGCTAGACAGTGGTTGTGGGGAACCTATGGAAACCTATCTAAGTCAACAAGCAGCAAACTAACAAAAGCAACAGCAAAGTGGAAAGCTCCAGTTTCCCCAGAGAGCCCTCTCTGTAACAAGAATCCACAAGCTCTATGATTAAGAGCGAGAGCAAGAAGCTTCAATCTATATATCAGTGGTCACCAACTCTGGTAATCCGCCTTCTTGCGGAGTCTAGGTCCGACTGTAATCAGAAGCGTACAGCGTACAGCATGTTATATCCAGGTTAAAATTAAACTTTGCAGGAAAGTGGATCTATAGAAGGAGGGTTGGTGATCACTGCTATACATGATATACAGTTATATCATTTAAAATGTGGCAGACAAACATAAGTTTGGACACCTTTTCAGCCCATCCATGAGTGCTAGTTCTTAAGGTTTCATGGTATATTTGACTTTTTAGGTCTTAATCCAAGTCAGGTGTAGACAATTTCCAGATGTTAATATATTATGTGACGCTTCAAAGCTCTCAAGGTTTAGTATATACACTCAACAGCTCATCTAAGTGGCTAACTAAGGATTTGAAACTAAAATTAACTCAATCTTACAAAGCAAGAGAAGCCTATAAAACACTTTCAGCTTACAGTTTTCACTGACTGAAATGGAAGTTACAGAAAATGATGAAGTTAGGACCAGATTTGAATGATCAAGAAAAATCTCCAAATAATAGCCTGTAGGCCGGTCAAGAATGCAAAGCAAAACCCCACTTCACTGCAAAGAGCCTACAGGAAGATTTGGCTGACACAGAATTAATGATGTCCTGGTCCACTGTGCAGTGTTGTGGCACAAACATCAACTTCATGGATGGGTCATCAGAAGCTAATCTTAAGTACGTATACAATCTTTGCGTTTTGTGATAAGATGATCATAAATCACAACCAAAAATGTGTCATTTTTAGAGCTATTTGTAATTTCAGTAGGAAAAAAGGAAAAGCAGACTGACAGTGAATATTTCTTCAGTTCCTCAGCGGTGCTGTCACCCATATCGCTCTCCTTGGCTTCAATGGCCATGGCACGGTAGAGCCTGCAGGCCACTACAGCCCTGGCCATGGCCTGCTCGCCGTGATGCCACAAGAAAAGAGCCATCTGCTGGCGGCGCTTCAGCACCGCCCAGACAAACAAGTCGTTGACGCTGTATATGAACAGAGAGGAATCGCCCAGTTCTGCTGTGGCCTCTAGCTCTGGGTCATGAGGCACAGACGGTCTCTCCTGGATGATAAAGGCAAGAAAAATAAATAAGACAATTCATTAATGCAGCACCTTTAAATTACATACAGGTCACAGGCAAACTGAGTAACTTAGATAATCAACACATCGATACTAAGGAGCTTTTAAAAGCAGTGAAAAATCAAGTTCACACAAATTTCCCAAATGTTGTCAATCAGCCAAGACATGTATGGTGTCTGAAGTTTGTTACTTTAATTTTCTGCTGACAAATTTAGCTAGCAAGCAAGGGAAGCATGTACCTTACCAGTTAACTGTGCAAAATGCATGCCTAAATCATTACATCCATGTTCATAAATAATCTCAAATTTACTTTCTTATGTGGTTTCTGACACTGTATGACATACTGTTGTCTATACAAATTGAAAAACTATATTTTCTATATAGTCAAGCAGCCACCAAACATGAGTGACTGACTATAGATACTGTGTAAATTACCAATGTAACCAAATGTGAGAAAATATGAAATATAAAAAAATAATACAGGTAATTCAACAACACATTTTAGTGTTCAACTTAAATCATAAGACTATGATCAAGACTGAGAGAGAGGAATGGGAAGATGTAAAGAAGGACCTTGCGTCTGTAAGGTTCTGCAGTCCGGAAGAAGTGGGAGCGTGGTAGAGTAGTCTCTGCAGAGTCAATGGCAGTCGTTCTGGACCTGGTCAAGGAGTCTGATCTCTCCGGACGGCCTTCCTAACCAACACCATAAGAGCTTAGTGAAACAGCCCTGTTGTGTTTATCATACGATACAAATTATGTTGTGGACAACATAAAACATCCGTGGATATTTTAGGAAAATTTGATAGATGGAACAGTGAAATAAGCTACATTAGCTAGCTATACATTGTTCCCACTTGAAATGTGTAGTATGCAGTAAACAGCAAATTTATTTACAATATCAATTCCAAACAAGCTGGGACTTGCAATTTGTAAGCAATTTGTAAAACAGCAATTTGTAAGTCTACTTTGACCTGTATTTGAACAAAAACAGTAAAAGATATGTAATGTTTTACCTCATCAACTTCATTGTTTTTGTAAAAATATGTCCATTTTTTTAAAATTGATGTCTGCAAGTTGGGACATGGAGGCAATTTAAGACAATTTAATTGAAAGTTAAAAAAAACAGGTGATGCAATTTTGCTTGGATATAAAGGAAGCATCCAAGGAAGACTTTCTTGTCTTTCATGAGTGTAAATGGGACGAGGCTCGCCACTTCAGGGAATCCGGACAAATCTCTATGCATAAAGGAAAACAAACACTGCTGAATACCTGTCACCTTCAATCCCTCAAACAGTATCGCATTAAAAAGTGGCATGCTTCTGTGATGAGATCACCACATGGGCGTGAGAATACTTTGACAAACTGCTGTTAATGAACAGTGTCCATAGCTGCATCCACAAATGTAAGTTAATACTGTAGTATGCACAGCAGAAGTCGTACATCAAAAATGTCCAGAAACGCTGCCGACTTCTCTGGGCTCAAACTCATCTGAAGTGGATTGATGCATGGTGGAAACGTCTAATGTATTCTCATGAGTTACCTTACAGAATGTTTATGGAAACAATGAACTTCACGTTCACTGGGCCAAAGAAGTCCAGATTGTTACCAGCGTGAAGTTCAAAAGCCAGTTGTCTGTCACTGTATGGGGTCGGTATTAGTGAGTAACTTGCACATCTGTGAAAGCACCATTAACACTGAACACTTATTGGAGCAGCATGTGCTGCCTTTTAGACACTGTTCTTTTGTAGGGATGTTCATGCTTATTTCAGTATGAACATCAAGCCACATTCTGCATGTGTTACAACAGCATGGCAGCATAAACAAAGAATGTGGATGCTAGACTGACATTCCTGCAGCCCAGACCTGCCTCCCATTGAAAACTTATCTTATTAAATACAATACCACAGCCCCTGCATGGTTACAAAGCTGAAGACAGCAAATAATTACACTTTTAAAACTGGATCAGTTTGTCTCTTTGGTCGCCAAACAAGTGCTGTTAAAAGGAAAGATGATGTAGCACAGTGGTAAACATGCTCCCATTCCAACTTTTTTGGAATGTGTTTCAAGTATCATATTTGGAATGAGCATATATTTAAAAAAAACAATGATGTTCATAAGGTAAAACATGAAATACTGTATTTTTGTACCATTTTCTATTTAATACAGGTCAAACAGAAGCACTGCTTTGTGTTTTTATTAGCACTTCACAAACAGTCCCAAATATTTTTTGGACTGGGATTTTTATACAAAGTCATCTGTATAAAGTCAACTCCACCAGCGCCAGGAGTCAGCCCTTATTGTTACAGGATGCTGGTCATTTTTCCTAAGTGAATCAAAGCCACACAGGGCATGATCAAAACATGAGGTAGGAATATAAATATAGATTCATATCCGTTTGGCAAATAGGCCTCCAGTTTCAAGTTAACACACCAGGTTAGGCCATGTCTGACCAAGATATTACCATAACCCATTGCTAAACACATTAAGCATCCATAGTTGAAGAAACTTTCCAACAGTTTTTCCATACTTTTGCTCTATTTGACCATATATATATATATATATATATATACACATACACACACACACACACACACACACACACATATATATATATATATATATATATATATATATATATATATATATATTTTTTTTTTTTTTCTTCAAATTTTAGTTCCTTAAGTAAACCTATTTTTGTGGGTTAACAGTGGCTTATAATTCTGTAATGTTCCATCACATTTGAATAAGAACCACTCTTAACAACTAAAGTGAAACTGAAATATTTTTATTACGCACAATAGTAAAAACAAAAGTGCCTCGCAGACCTGGCAAAAATGGTGCTAAATGTTGTTTTATGTCTGAGTTCAAGGCTGAAGTTGGCTTCTTATTTACCAGCTTTTTGTTACAATTCTCTGTTCCACCTTAAGACTGTAAGACTGCTGAAATTTAGAAAATATTAGACATTCACGCATCAGTACTAGCTGGTCCATGGCTTGTTTAATGCACAAGGCCATGATGACCACAGCCTTGTCTGAGGTAGCTGACCAAGTTAGGTGGCTTCTCAGGCTGCACAAGAAGAAACAGAAATGATCTGGTGTCCATGTTAGGCTAAGGCTAACCCCAAAAGGCCGGCCTTTTCTTTATGTCAGCTGCTCTGAAAACAAAGTGGACTAGAGATGCGACAAACTACAGGGCATGCGGTGATTGAGAGACTGCTGAGTTTCATTTTGATTTGAAACGTGACTGAAACATCCCTGACTCAGTCATTCAGCTAAGCAGGATACCGTTAACATTAAAGTTTGTATGTCATGTTATCTGTGCTTAAATTTATGGCACAATACTGTGTCATGGATACAACCAAACTCATACCTGAGGAAAATTTTCAACCAGTATACCAGATGAACTGGTACACTGCCTACTAAAACAACCCTGAATCTGAACGTAGATGCCCTGTGGAAGCCTATGAAAGCTGTGAGATGGATCTGAATGAGGCTTTCTGCTCACAGGTAAGCAATGAAAACCATGGAAATCAGTCAGATAACACTACATGTAAGTACGCAGTAAATCCTTCCCAAGACTATCTGATTTAAAATCAATCATGGATCAGAGGCTGAAACCCAAGATAGACGGACCTTGAGTGCAGTATTAATTCGGTTGTACACAGTTCTGAAGCTCTTGCGTCTGTACGTGCTTCGATAAGCTCCTCCAATCAAGTGCTCAATCACCATACCAACGTCAATCAGAGAGATTTTATATCCCACAGGAACACGAGACTGGAGACAGACAAAGCCAGAAAGACAAAATTCAGTCTAAAGAAGTTAGACAAATTTTTAGATAAATTAAGCTACTTTATAAGAAGATAATGTGAACATTATATCCAAAATACACTCATTTTAGCTTTAAGTAAGGTTTTATTCTGCTATTATACCTTTTTGGCATCCTCAACGATGTGACGCAAGAAATAATCTGAGGAACCTTGCTGCTGTGGGGGGAAAAAAGGTGATTCATTTTAATCAACAGAACATCTACGATGCAGCAGGGTGAACAAAGTGCCTCACCCATGATGTGCTGATGTTTTGTACAAGTAGTTTTTAGTAAAAATTCTCCATGCAAGATAACAACGTTTAATGGCATGAAACTAAACAGAATTATGGCATTGAATGCATGTTACTGTGTTATAGAGCTCCTCCAGACGCGACACGGTAAGGAAATGTTTCAGGGTCATGCCGTTTTCAATGAGCAGCTTCACAAAGCTGACATGGTCCATCTTCAGGGCATTGAGCATGGCCTGCTCCAGGGCTCCCACCTTCAACACAACACCATGTCACTCCATTAGGCCAATTTGAACCATAAAAATAATCTGTGCTAAAAAGAAATGGTCAGATATTTCATGTATTGTTTTGTCTAAGAAACTACTAAGAAAACTGATCATTAGATCTATGAATATATATGATTATGCAAATAAATCCTTTACCTATAAACTCCTTGCCTACTCATTTACAAACCTCTGCCCATTTCCAAACCACTACCCCATTTTGGTGAATGAGGAATACAGCCCTGGCATGTTTCTCCACACACAAAAAACACAGGTTTACCCGCTTAGATGTAGGTCTTTATTCTCCAAATTTGCATCAGGGGAGCTTCAGTGAGCTGGAACTGCACTGTAGTATGTGAAGCTGTAACACGCTAAGCTACTGCCTGCAACTACAACAACTACAGTTGTATACCATATTTGACAGTTTATTTACAGTTGAGCTTACAGCTTAACAGCTCACTGCACAGTCCAAACGCTTCAAAACAAGTAAGCTAAGTTAGCGCAGACATGTTCATTAGCTCTCGTAAGCAACATTGCAACACCCTTATTAGCATATTTGTGCATGATGCGCAAAACAAAGCTACTAGCGCCACATGAATTGTCTTTTTTTCGGATATACTGAGACAGCCTGTGTTTCCAAAGGAAAGATGTGGATTTTGCACTGTGGAAACATTTCTATATAGTCATAATTAGAGGAATTAAGAATGCACTACTCTGAACAATCTTCAGTATGTATTATATCAAAATAGTTCAGTTTGCATGGACTTTATCACTCTAACAGTGAGTAATTGCAAAAGGAAAAAGTAATTGGACACTGACACCATGGACCGTCCTCCAGCAAACTGCATTTGAAACAAAACAATAACCATGACGGTAAAGTGCTGCATGTTAGCTTTAAATGAAGAATATGTACATGTATTGTAGCAACTATATAGGAATAACAGGCCTTTTTACTGACCGCTCCCTACTTTGGGTGACCAAAGCAGTTGGACGAAAACCTTAGGAATATCACAGTAGATCCTTCCTTGAGTTAAGGCTGCAGTACAGATGCTGTTCTACAGATTTCTAGCATAAACCAACACTATTTCAGAATTGTTTACATACAAAAATTGCAATCAATCTCTCCTTTTTATAGACCTATTTAATAAACTTGTTAAGGCAATTGTTGTCCGTTCACATGTTTCTTAGTTCTGAAGATGGGCTGCTGTAGTGAATGTTCAATCTCTGGTGTAGCATCATGTTCATACTGCACCTTCCAGTGCTGTCCATAGACCAGTATGTGTTGCTGAGCAATGTCAGCCCTGTCCCAGGCCAAGGTTACATTTAATTGCTCTGCCGGTGTGCCTGACAGCAAAGATTTGAGGCAACAAATTCATATGAAATTAGACCAGCTGCAAAAACAATCAAAATACTACTAACTGTACTGTACGCTTACTGTACTATACCTTTTAGTGAAGCTTTCAAAATGGCCACATCTGCTTCCAGATGATCCTCAGATTCAGAGTCAAAAATGGTGATCTGAAATGAAAACCGAGGCAGGTAAATTAAAAATGACTTTCATGCAAATTCCGCAAAAAGGTTGTTCCATAAACCTAAATATTTAGTTATGGTGAAACAAAATCAAAATGTCAGAGACCACCCTTCATTTATTTCACTACTTGGTCCTGGAGATCTACCACCCTAGAGAGATCACATCCAACACACCTGACTCTCATGTTCAGATGCCCCTGAAGACCTTCATTACCTGGATCAGGTGTGCTGGATTTGGGTTGGAGCTCAGCTCTGCAGGGTGGTAGATCTCCAGGACCAGGATTGAGCACCCTTGAGTTTTCAGCGTCAGAAAAGGCAGAGTTCAGTCTTAGAGGTTGGTTGCATTTTTTGCATTTCGCAATTCAACTAATCCCAAACACATTCAATGATGTTGAGTTCCATTGTTCTGAGAACACCAGCAGCTTCTTTGTTTGATCTGCAAGCTTTAAGTGCTGTTTATCTGATAGAGACAGTTTTGCTGGTCTATGATGTCTTGTAGGTGGTTGTTAGGAGCCCCATTTTCTCTATCTTTTAGTCATTTTTTTAACTGCAGTTTCAGAAACTCCTATTTTTTCACATATTTTCCTTTGACTTTCTCCTTCCTTGTGCAAGTAGACTATCTTATACCTAATCTTATCACATAAAAAATGCAAAACTTGTACTTAATTGCTCTTTTTGACTGGAAACTAAATAAATTAAGTCTCTGATGTTTCCACAGTACTGTACATTTACATTTACTTATCATTTAGACCTTAAATGTATACATATTGTCAAGGAAGAATCCTCTGCCTGGTCTGTACATTGGGTGATTACAAGGGTGGAGCGCTGTGTACTATAAACACAGACCTTTTCACCTGCTCACTCATCTATAGGCCAATCTATACGTTGCTTGCAAACATCGGTTTGCAGTTTAGCTGTTTTCTACAGCCAGAGGGTATTTGGCCTGACTCTAATGTAATCAGTGCAGATAAATAGCCCCTTTATATCTTCACTCTTGTAATGTATTTACAGGAAATCAGATATAAAAGCCCTACAGTGTGGCCTCACAGAGCACTGAGCTCACAGCTGACACAGCTCCAAATCAGCCACAACAGCGAAAGCAGCTATTTACCAACAAACAGAGACAGGAAGAAGAGAAAGAGCTAATGGAGAATAAACAGAGGGGCTGAGGAGAAGTGATGAGGTCATGGACGATGTAAAGATAACTAAAGAATGATGTTCGTTGCCCAGGCACTGCACAGTTGAGTGGATGTTTCATCATTTGAATTACATGAAAAGTTATTATTGTGTGTGGTCTTGTTTTGCAGAAACAACAACATCCTTCACGTCACTTATTCCATGTTTTCATCATTTTTGACGTCAAAATACATGGGAGTCACATGAAACTTCCTCTAGACTTCCTCCAGTCATTTATTTAATTTCCAGTCAAAACAGCCATTAAGTTATTCATTTTTCAGTATCAGGAAACAAAAAAAAACAAAAACATCTATTTAGTGTGTATTTAGTGTGTCACTAAATCACTTTCAAACTCACTTAGTTTTTCAAAGAAATGTGCAGGGATATTTTTCCACACCTCCAAAGTTCAGTCTCAGAAGTTGGTTCCATTTTATGCTAGGCACTTGAGGTCTGGGGTGGACAGTGGTGGACTATGTTCTTTTTTGTCTGCTTCCTTTTCTCAGTGAAGGCTTCTTGACAGCTACACATAGTTTCAGATCCATAGCATTGACTTATCTGCTCACAGTGGAAGGAGAGATAGAAACTATGGATTTTTTCAGATCTGAAGCAGCTTGATTTTCTCCTCCCTCTCAGAGATGAAAACTTTAAGCGCTGTTTATCCGATTGGGACAGTTTTGGTGTCTACCAGGTCTTCCAGGTGATTGTTAGGGGTCCCATTTTCTCTGTATCTTTACATTTCTTGAACTCACTCATTACCCCCTTGACTTTCACCTTCCATATGCAAGGCGACTGTCTTATATTCAATCTCCTTAGAAGGAGAACAACTGGAATAATAATTCTGGAATAACTGAATAACTGAGTTTTACACAGTATTGTATACTGTATGTATTCGTGTAAAGAACAGTAAGTTCATGACACCAATCTTGTGAGATTCCTGACACACACACCCCAAACAATTGCTGTTTGTTAGCAAACAGAGAGAGAAATGCAAGGCAAGGAAGAGAGAAAAAAGACAGAAAAGAGAAAAACAAAGTGATAGAAGAGGAGGATGGGGTTGGAGAAAAAGACAGAAAGACAGTAAAACAATGACGACCAAGAGTTTCTTTCTGCTAATGTGAATCAACTCAGCTCAGGGTGGAAGGTGAGGTTTTAACTGTTGTTGTTCTTCATCTTCAAGCCTCAGAGGAACTAACCTGCTATAATAAAGGTCAGAAAAAAAGAATATCTCTAGAGAAACACTTGGCCTCTCCCTCAGCTCCTGATTTCAGCAGATTAGCAGACGTCTTCATTACAAGACGACTCTAATCTGCTCTAATGAACAGCCTCTTATGTGCATCAGTGCAGGAAGTTGGATGTACTGCTCGATTCTCTAATACAATTTCTATTACGCTATTATGGCTATAGGTCTATTATTCTGGAGGAGCAAAGATCATAAGATGCCTTCTCTATTGAATATGAAATTTGGAGCTGCTACTGGAGACAGTGTTTCCAAACATGTTCATAAGCATTTTTAGAGAACGCTGGCCAGGGCAGCTAACAGCACAACGCTAAGATGCAAAGCTCTTCAGTAGAAGGCACTGCAGACAGTCCATTTGAGTCCATTCAAGCCAGCTAGTCCTAGAGGACGTGAGCCTGGACTGTTTTCAGCCTGTGATTTTTATTAAGGACTTTAATTATTGGCAGCTACTACAGTAACCAGAACAAACTGCTATTCCGACTAAATTTGACTTGCTTTTTTTCAATTTGTTTGAACCTATGTCAACTCTAGTGCAACATAGAGCTTTATTCAGGTCTGAAATTTTGGTCCAAAACCCAAATACAGACTGTGAACTTTACATCCAAACCTGACCAACACAGCCCACAGCACCAAGTTTGAGTCCAAATCCAACCCAAGCCCAACAAAATTTAGCCTGCAGTAGGGATGAGTCAGAATATTTGAATATTTAAATAAGTTTTAAAAATTAAATTTTAAATTAGAATGTTTGATTATATGCAAATAGTTTTAACATTAATCATCCTTATACTTAAGTGCTGTGACAAAAAAAAATTTTTGATCAAATAAAAAAAAAGTCAAATCAAGGGTCGTAAAAAAACTGAGACCCATTTTCTATTGCTTGGTTTTGTTATTACATTACTGTAAGGTTGATTTGAACAGGACTACTGTTACCGAGGGAGCTCTGAGTTAGTTCACCAAATTATAGAAGATAATTAACGGCAGAATTATTACTTAGCAGACTTGTATAACCGGCCATGGCAGATTCATACTGGATTATAATCACGGATATCATCTATAACCACTCAAGTCACAGCACCTCCCCAGCTGAAACTAATCCTGCTCCAATAGGGGTTTAGATATCATTCTGTACTGCCGTCTGATTATGCTACACACTGTAGGTAAGAGTGGCCCAAATCCAATCTCTTTCTTGATATGTGACACAGATTTGCTTTTTGTGTGGCAGTGTGAACAGAAAAAACAATTTCCGTCAAGATTTGGGCCTCTTTCATATATGGCAGTAAAATCTGATACATATCCAATTCGTGGCAACTTTATATCAGTACAGCTGAATCCTCATCATAATAAGCTGTAAAAACCTTTTGCTATGGTTACGCTTTGCATCTTTCCTTTTGGATCATGGTGCAAGACAAGCATGCAGGTGTAAACAAAATAAGCATAATGCTGCCTAACTAGAGGAATAAAACTAACAGCTATTCAAAATCATGTTAACTTCAATGATATTTTGGAAAAAAAGAGAAACAAAAAGTCAAGAGGGCTTTAAATCTCTTTTTTCTTTTTTCAGAAAGAAACTGAGCCTGAAAGTCACCATTTGTTTTTACGGCCATTTTCATGTCTACTATACTCCTTGTTTAAAGTAGATGTTCACACAGCTCATTTCGCTGTCATGTTAAAGGAGTCTATTGATTGTAAGGAAGGGGAGAGGACAGCTGTGTTTGTTGGACTGATGTAGGCCACTTTAAAAAGACAGTGGAAATAAACAAACAACAGAATCAGATTTGGGTAGTAAATCAGAACTGGATTTGTGCCACTTTTACCTGCAGTCTGAACAGCGCGACTTAGTGTCTTTGATTTTGGCAATTATAGTATTAGCACAGATTTATTTCCAGTCCTTGCAGGAGTCTCTACAGCCATCAATGCTTAAAGCCTGTCTTTATGGTTTCAAATGTTAAAATTTTTGTTTTAATAGTAAAGAAGTAACAGGGGAAAAATTGTTTACCAGCGTTATATTCAAGAAATAGACATAAATTAATACAATTTAATGGTAGATAAATGCTAAAAAAATTCGCTCTGCTGCTCAGAACTGTGTGGGCAACTCGGCTCCAGTGGCAGAGGTTCAGTCCTACTGATTTGAGCCCCAGTGCATGAAAAAAGACCACCTTTCTCTTCTCGGATGGTTTCTGAATGGTAAGTAAAAAGCGCAAAACGGAGAACAAGCTGTCTAATGGTCAGTTTAGAGATTATGGTTTGCAAACATTGTTCGAAAACTCAGTCTTTCATCTCATGATGGGTAGATCATGGACACGTCGTGTCTGATATTTGAATACGTAGCACTAACATTACATCCATAACCTATAGCAAGCTAGCTAACTGCTGGGCCACGCTTCATGTAAGCTTCGTTTAGCTCCCTTGAGTCAACAGGGTCATATTTGCAGACACAGTGGAGAAATTTTGTGTGCCTCATTGTGTGGCACTGTACAGTTGTGGGGAAATATTGATGTTAGAGGGAGTAGCTAACGTATTAGCTTCTTATTGCCACAGTTAGACCATTAGCTATCCTGCTCTTGTAAATGAAGTTAATCCCTTATACTAAGTTCCTGCAACAAGTGGCTAATGCAAGTAGAAAGCAGCGTCAAGCTACGCTACACACAATAAACCTTCATTAACAAATTAGAAAAGCTTTAATGATCTACTTGCTGGGAGTTTTGGCTGGGATTCAATCTGGGAGCAGGGGGAGATCAGTCACTTTATGTGAGGTAGAGGAACGCAAGTAGCTGACGTGTACGTACTGCTAACTCTGATTGGTACGTTGGCAGATCTGACGTCACCTGAGCCGAATTTAGTCCCACCCAACACAAACTGAACTGAAGAAAAAACCAACAGCATTCTTTCTCTGCCAGTTCGCTGCAAAAACACCACAAAACTGCAGATAATAGAAGAAGATCAAAGCTTTAAGGTTCCTGTTATCATAAAAAGTACTAGAGCTGTCATTACTTACCGCATCCCTGTGCTCCATGCACTCTGTGAGCAGGCTGAAGAGCCGAGAGGCCTCCGACCTCGCCACACTGAATACACCCTGAATGCGTAGCAGGAAATCCTCCTTAATATCCGTGTCCAGCTTCCTATAGGAAATAAATAAACAGAAATGGTAAGCAATTGCGATGTTTTAAATTGGCGGAGCTTAAAGGATATTCTCTATCTGCTGCCCTCTGCTATTAGGCTTTTAAATAATTCCCTTCCTTGTGTTACCTTGCAACTGTATGAAAAACTAATAGTTGTGACCAAACTTTTAACTTGAGTTGCCGGTCTGTTAGGTAGACCTTTGCATTGGTCATTTTATGGCCAAAATTATGTGGAAACCTGACCATCACACCTACATAAGCCTGTTGGACATCCCATTACAAAACCATGGCAGTTGCCCCCCAAATAAGTGGAGCTTAAAAGATGTACAGTGAGTGTAAATACAAGGAGGTGTACTTAATGAAGTCACCAGTTGGTGTATATTCCTTATATAATAAACCTGTTTATACTGTTTTTAAATTTCATGACGAATCTCACCTGTAAAAACAGTCCAAACTGACTTACATGATCCAAAGTTACTTATGCTGAAAGTTAAGAATGTTTATTCCTTCTGTAAAGTTATCATTTCGGAGTTCGGACAGTGACAATGAACTCTTTGAGCTAGAAAAAACACTTAATACTGATGGAGCTGGTAATCCCCACCTGTCCACAGCAGTCTGCTTGTGTATCAGAGCTAGCAGGTCCGCAGCCCGGCCGGTGCCTTCAAACACAATAACGGGTACAGGAGGAGACCTGCTCACATAGTCCAGCACTGTGGAGAGCACAGGAGGACCCCCCTCTACCACTACACAGACCACGGGAACTCTCTGGGCCAGTCCTTTGAAAGACACACACAAACATAAACACTAGGGATGAGCATTTTAACCATTTTTTGCTAGCTGAGTATCATCAGAATGGGCTGCATGTGCCCTTCAGTGTTACATTACAGTGATTTATGTTATTTACAGTGCAGTGCAAAAGTCAGACACCCGCTCTTAATTTATTTAATTTCCAGTATAAAATAGCCATTAAATACAAAGTAATTCTTTTTTTGCATCAGTAAAAATTTATTTAACAGAAAATAACACAGAACAACTAAATATAACATCACTCCTAGAAGTTGGTATCACTTTCACTTTTCACAATCCAAGTAATCCCAAACACATTCAGTGATGTTGAGGTCAGTCCATTGTTCTGAGAACAACAGCAGCTTCTTTGTTTGACAAGAACATCTTGATCTACTCAGCAGTGTGTCTGGGATCATTATCTTGCTGTAGAATTAATTAACCAACAACAAAGTCCAGATGTTGTTATATATATCTAAACTTGCACTGATCCTCCACTATGCTTGATGGTTGTAGACATGGTATCCATTGCTTTGGCACCATATGTACTGCCTTCAGTTACATCTCACATTCAGACTTATCTGTCCACAAAACTTCATATCTCAGATGTCCCATTGAGGGGCCCTATTGCAAATTTTCTTCCTTTTTTGTCTGGTTTATTTTCTCAGTAAGGGCTTCTTGACAGCCACACATGCTTTCAGGCCCATAGCACTGAGTTGTGCTCTCACAGTGGAAAGATAGACAGAACATCTGTGTTTTTTTCAGATCTGAAGTAAGAGTGGACTTTCTCCTCTCTCTCAAAGATGAAAGTGCTTTTTATCTGATGGGCACAGTTCTGGTGGTCTACCAGGTCTTGCAGGTGGTTCTCTGTATCTCTATCATTTTTTGAATACCTGATTTTCTTACTTATATCTAATCGCCTCTGAAAATCTTCTGAAAAATGAATAACTTGCACTTAACAGTTGTTTTGACTGGAATTTCAATAAATGATAGGTGGTCTATGGTTGTTTTGACTGGAAATTGAATGAATGAAAGGTGGTCTACAGTTGTTTTGACTGAGAATTTAATAAATGAAAGGTGGTCTACAGTTGTTTTGACTGGAAATTGAATGAATGAAAGGTGGTCTACAGTTGTTTTGACTGGAAATTGAATAAATGAAAGGTGGTCCACGGTTGTTTTGACTGGTAATTGAATAAATGAAAGGTGGTCTCTGACTTTTTACAGTAATGTGTTGTGTAAGTGTATGGAATATATATGGGAAATGTATGAATCCCTTCCTGACAGGGTATAAAAGTAAAGGTGTGAGTAACTTTATGTATGAGCTTTGGCTGACCTAGTGCGCTCCATATCTAGACAATGAAAACTTTAACTGCGGTTTATCTGATGGGGACTCCTTTGTTGGTCTACTGGCTTTTGTAGGTGGTTATTAGGAGTCCCATTTTCTATATCATTTATTGAAACTTGAGCTTCGGAAATTCCTGACTTTCCCCTTCCTTATGCAAGTGGACTTATATCTAACCTCCTCAGACAAATCTGCTTTAGCTTATCTCAGTGCATGGTAGTTACTCATAACAAACCCTAACATATTCATGCTACACTAACAACCCCATGCAACACACATGCTAGGTTAAAGCCTCTGTTGGTGATTGGTGATTATTATACACATACAACCCACACTCACTGGGGTGGATCCTCTGTCGATGGATGTGCCTTTCCAGGTTCCTCCTTAGCTCCAACTGGCCTCCTGATTTCCCCAGAGTTCCATCATCCACTAAGAGGAAGTGTGAGTGCAGGCCGTTGAGACTGGAGCGCTTACTCAGTGGATTCCCTAGCGTCTGGTAGTGCCGCAGAACCTGGTAATGTCACACGGGTGTGGTGAGATACAGATCAAATTTACACATTTTTCCTGTTGCCCCAAATGTAGTCAATCAGTCAAGGTACGTTTGGTGTCTGAAGTTTGCTTCCGTAGATTGGCACTGGAGCTAAGACTGCTAATGTAGCTAAGAAGTAATAATATGGCAGCCAAAATCTTTGCCAGTGAAATAGACGTTTATGGTATTAGCACTGTAGCTCCAGTGCTAAACTTGTAGCAAACACACAAAACGTTACAGCATGGGGAAAGTACACAACCATTCCAAAGCCATGTGCATTAAAATGGAGTTGCCCCCTTTTACGACTATAATAGCCTCCGCTCTTTTGGGAAGCTTTCCACAAGATTTTGGAGTGTGTCTGTAGGAATTTGTGCCCATTCAGTCTAAAGAGCATTTGTGAGGTCAGGCCCTGATGTTGGCTGAGAAGGCCTGGCTCGCAACTGACATTCCAGTTCATCACAAAGATGTTCAGTGGGTTTGATAATAGGACTCCGTGCAGGCCACTGGAGTTCCTCCACACCAAACCTGTCAAACTCACATTGTGCCCAGGGGCACAGTCATGCTAGAACAGGAAAGGGTCGTCCCCAAAATGTTCCCACAAAGTTGGAAACATATAATTGTCTAAAAGGTCTTTGTACGCTGTAACATTAACATTATCCCTCACTGGGACTAAGGGGCCCAACCCCTGAAAAACAGCCCAGCCCATTATCCCTCCTCTACCAAACTTTACTGTTGGCAATCCAGTAGGTAGGGTTATCTAGGCATCCGCCAAATCCAGACTGCCAGATAGTAAAGCAGGATTCATTACTCCAGAGAACACATTTTCACTGCTCACAAGCCCAGGGGCATCAAGCTTTAAAGCATTCCAGATGACAAATTAGTGATCTTAGGCTTGTGTGCAGCCATGGAAACCCATTTCATGAAGCTCCTGACACACAATTCTTGAGTAATGAGTGACGCAACAGCGATTTTTTTACGTGCTATGTGCTTCAGAACTCAGTGGCTAAGCTCTGTAAGTCTACATGGTCTACTGCTTCATGCCTGAGGTGCTGTTGCACCTAGATGCTTCCATTTCACATTAATAGCACAGTTGACCGTGGCAGATCTAGCAGGGCAAAAATTTCACGAACTTACTTGTGGCAAAGATGGCATCCTATGACAATGCCATCAGCCCTTCAGTACAACCCATTCTACTACCAGTGTTTGTCTATGGAGATAGCATGGCTATGTGCTTGATTTTATACATCTGTCAGCAGTAGGTGTGGCTAAAACATCTGAATTCAAATAATTAGAATGGTTGTCCACATGCTTTTTCCATATAGTCTACGCAGGATAGAGTATGAATACAGAAGAAGCTTACACCTCGTCCTATGAGATCACTGTGATTCTCAATTAGCCCCCATGGTGTGACCCCAATGATGTTTCTCTTCCGCCGCTCGTGGGTACCATAGACCTTTACAGCATCTCCAACATACATGGATACTCCTTCATAGAGTACAGAGAAAATAAGTGGCATTACACTTTTGAACAGCACAGCACCTCAGATAAATAACGAGTGGACACAAGACTGACATGTAAATGTAACACACACCTGTATTGAAGCCGTCCGTGAGGATCCAGGCGCCTGTGGTCTCGGCAGCTCTGACGAGGCCCTTGCTGAAGGCCTGTCCCACTCTTGGGGGTAGAGGGAAGTTCTCTGTCCCCCCGTGCACTGATATGACCAGCTTGGGCTGAACCATGTTCCACTCTCTGAGCATCAGACACAGCAGCTGGTCCGCCTTAGCGTCACAGGACAGACGCACATACTGGGGGCAAAACAACAAGCCTTGACTCATCCTTTCTCATAAAGGACTAAGCCTTTCCTGTATACCCCTTTTATAAACAAAATTGCCTCACCTCTTCCAAAATGTTAGTCGTAAATCTAAACTTTTTTTCAGAACATGTTGCAGACATCACTTTTAAGTTGAGTGTGCATTTACAAAAAACAATAAAGTTGATAAAATAAACTAAATATCTTTGTCTTTGTACTGCTTTTGTTTAAATGCAGATCAAACTCCACAAAAAAGTTAAAACAACTTTACAGGGAGCAGGTAAAGACTAGTTAAGGCTTTTTTGGGTCTCAATCTTGACTTGCAGTCATTTGCAATCTTGACTTGGTCTTATCCCCCTTTAGACCTGGTCTTGACTTGAGATTCACTAGTCCTAGCCTTAAATTCAACAAAGGTGCTCTTCACTTCAATTCTCATTTTCAGTAACACATATAAACAAAAAAAAAACACTCATTCCCACTCTCGTCACACACACCTTGGCGCGGCAAGACCGCTTGGTGCTGCCCTGGAAGTCGATGGAGCCGAAGGCGTCGGTGGGGCTCGCCCTCGTGTGCTGGGCCACTGACCATGTTTCCTCATCAGCTGAGGCGGGCAGCACCCGAGAATTGGACTCCAGTTCCGCATGCTCCCCGATCAGCCTCCCGCAGCAGCACCTGACAGAAAGCAATCAGTAAATACATTTGTACAGTCATGGAAGTCCGAGGGAACACAGTGTGAAATATTAAAAACAGAAATAAAATAAAACCCAGCTTAAAAACGTTGATCAAGCCTATCTGAGAACAATATGGGGGTTGTGCTAAAATTTTCATGAGTCCGCCTGATTGACCCCCCACTTTCCAACACTTCCAGCCTGCCATGCCACTGAAATAGCACTGGGCAGTTTTGCGCTGGTCCGGACTTCTGAGACCGATTATGGTTTCTTTTTCCATCTGTTGTACCGCTAAATCAGAACCAGGAAATACCAAAGAAAACTACACAAACGAGTGGCTAGCTGCTAACAGGCTAATAGCCATGCACACACCACCCACCACAAAGCATTTCCATCTGTCACTCCAACTCCAGTCTCTCAGCATGCTTTCATCTTCTTTATCTTCTAAAGGGGAGTTATTTGATCTCTTACTTAAACAGCCTGTACTGCAGTGTGTTTCACTTGTAGCCAGATAACTAGCTACATTAGCATTAGTGTCACCTGGTAGGGCACAGCTCAAAGCACCACAGAACAATGCTATTTTTTATCTTTCTGCCACATCTTCAACACCAGTCCTTCGAATTTGAGCTCTCAGATAACTAAACGGTTGTTTTTAATCATCTGTACTGCTGTGGGAGGCACCATGCACTCGTGTTAGCTTAGCCCAGCAATCTACAACTTAAAGCACTACAGAACAGGTTCGATTTCGGCTGACACTCCACCGTCAGTCAGTCGACTTTGCTCTCGCTGTTGTAAGTTTTCACCATCTATACTTGTGATAGCAGAGCACCAGCTAGTCGAATCAAACCTGCACTGGGGTTTCAGCTATGCTAGGAGAGAGGAGCTGGCAAGCAGTAGCTTATCCAGGAGGCTCCAGCTCCTGACACCATAGAACAGGTTTAATTTCGAACCGTGTCCGTGTGGAAATGCGACTGGAACAGTTACCCTCTGTGCTCAGAACCATTCGGCCCTGCAGTGGGAAAGAGGCCAGTGTCTTTTGTGAGGAGAAGAAAATGTGAATATTTGAACAAAAAATGTAACTTGAAAGGGTCAAGTTGCCTATGTCACAGGTGTCTTTTTCTGTGCTGACCAATCAGATCAAAATGAAAAAAGGAAGGCGGGCCTTCACTGACAGTTGCAGTTGCTGAGTTCCCCTAAACTGTATGCAATTTAAGCAAAAAGTTTGTGCTGTTTAAAAAAGTTACTTAGTTTAGCTAGTGTTTATCAGCAGCACACTTTCTAAAAGGGTGAGTGACAAAGCTTTCTGCCTGTGCATATCAAAACGACAGATAGCTAGCACAGCTGATTGCCTGACAGTTATGACTCGACTGTGGCTTAGCAAGTAGTGTTCAAAAATACAATGTGAACCCCTCCTTGAAAAGTAAGCAACTGTGTAGAGTCCCCTTCTGCCTCTCTACGCCACAGAAATGTGTGGCTTGGGACATGGCATTAGATCAGCTAGTGAGATGCGTTCAACAGCTGCTCTGCTGTGCTGCTAGTTAGCTGCTCAATAAAGATCTCCAAGCGAATGTTTATTGATCTCCTCAATGTTTATTGAGGAAAGCTGATGCTTTGTGTTCGTCAACTGAGTTCTTCGTTTAAGGCACCTCGGTGTAACTGCAGCACCATTTAAGATGGAATTCAAATGATAAGCTAACTTCAGCTTTAGGCCTACATGTTCATTATCTAAGAGATTTGGCAGCTTTGGTAGCCACTTTTATTAGTTTTAAAAAAAAATTCATGGATTGAAATTTTCTGAACTCTAAAAATATGCAGGCTGTACAGATCCAGCCCACAAATCTAGCTAACCTTCTCTAGAGACTGCAGCTAAAGTGTCCATATATTTTTTCATATATTTTCGTGGTCATTCTGATCTATTTTGCTTTTGGTCTTCAGCCACCTGCAGGGTTATAACTGCAGTAGTGATGATGAGACGAGCTCTATCAGTGCACAGTCAGAGTTACAGCTCGCCTACTAACATGGCGACAGAGTCTTCTTAATGACAAATACTATGAATAAAAAGATTGATTCTGATAACATTATCACTCATTGAAAGTTGCATTTTTGTGAGAGACAATTGAGGTTGTGATTTGGCCTTGGAGAGCTGAAACTGAAGTTTTATTTCAGGAATGAAAAGAACTGGCAGTGATGATGGGAATTCATACCTGACTAGGTTTTGGCAAACATGGCAAACTGGAGGACACCTGAAAAACAAAGGACACGTTTCCATGACATTTCCTTTATCAGCCATTCTGAAAAAAGAACAGGATTCGGACAAAACAAGGATGCAGACCTGTGATGGTCCCGTGATGCTGGCAAAAACCTCACACATTCCCTCTTGTAAAAGGTAGCCTGGATCCATGACTTTCCAGACTGGAATGAAAAAGAAGATTAAAGCAATAGTTTGGTGAAAGATGTTTTTTAACCTCAAATCCATGAAGATATGTTTGGTGACATGGTTGCTTCTTTAGGCCTTCACTGGAGCTACGTGGCTTAAGGGGGTTTCACAATGAGCAAGGCACTCCTTTTTTACTCTTTGTGTTAGTGTGTGTTGCACTGGTACGAGTGGATCAGACACAGCAGTGCTGCTAGAGTTTTTAAACACAGTGTCCACTCACTGTCCACTCTATTAGACACTCCTACCTTGTTGGTCCACCTTGTAGATGTAAAGTCAGAGACAATAGCTCATCTGCTGCTGCACAGTTTGTGTTGGTCATCCTCTAGTCCTTCATCAGTGGTCACAGGACGCTGCTGGCTGGATATTTTTGGTTCTCAGTCCAGCAGCGACACTGAGGTGTTCAAAAACTCCAGCATCACTGCTGTGTCTGATCCACTCGTACTAGCACAACACACACTAACACACCACCACCACGTCAGTGTCACTGCAGTGCTGAGAACGATCCACCACCCAAATAGTACCTGCTCTGTGGTGGTCCTGTGGGGGTCCTGACCATTGAAAAACAGGGTAAAAGGGGGCAAGCAAAGTGTACAGAGAAACAGATGGACTACAGTCCATAATTGTAGGGCTACAAAGTGCTTCTATATCATAAGTAGAGCTGATAAAATGGACAGTGAGTGTAAAAACAAGGTAGGTGCACCTACAAAAGTGTAGGTTTTTGTGACATCACAAAAACAATGAATGTAAAACAGGCTGGTTTTGCAGATTTGCTTCCATATATGGAACAATAATCTAAGCAATGCTTACACACTACACTGAACTCTTGTATTAAAAAATTGTTTTTCTATTATACGTGCTGTGACCCCTTCACTACATCCTTGCAGGTCACGGCACATAAAACAATTAGAATTTGTTCCGCCGCGCAGAGCTTTGATAAAGCCTTGCCAAATAAAAAAAGAAACATTACTATAAAGAAAAGGATATGAAGCACATCCCTTTCCTGGCATTATGAGGGAAAGTCTGGGCTCCACCCTCCTCCTCTTCTTCCTCCTCTTCGAAACAACTGTTTCTTTGAAGAGGAGGAGGACAGACCAGCGATGGATAGATAAAATGAGGTTTTCACTCAAACTTCACACATTCACATATTTGTGTTTCTTCGTTTTATAGACTTCAGCTGATGGGCGCGTAAGTGTTAAGATGTGGAGATCATTCCACTCAGCAAAGATGATCCTCTGTAAACTACTTTACATCACAAATTGCCTTTTAACATTCAGAAAGCACATCCATTTCCATGGGGAACCAGCGAGAGCTAAGGAATCATCCACAAATTACATAATATTATTATAGCTGCAAGTGGCGATCAGCGGGGCCAAAGCACTATGAGCCTACAATGAAAAAAACAGGCCTTTTAGCAGTAGCTGGACAAAGTACAACACTTTTTTACGTGTGTAAAGTAGAAATACTCTAGATAAAATAGTACTTGAGTAAAAGTACAAGTCTTAAACCTCATTTGGAGCATTTTGGAATGAAGCTCTTAATTTCTGCATTAGTAAATATACAAAAGCACTTGCTTGGCCTGTGTGACTTACACTGGTCTCCTTAATAGAACATGTTTACTCAAATATTACATGATGACTACAACATTTTTACTTTGGACACATTCAAAATCAAGTGCTTTTACTCATTCACTCAACTAAAAATACAGTCAAACTTCAAGTAATATTTTATCAAGTATATTTCTACTACATACAAGAGCAGGAGATATAACAGTTGATATAAAAACTTTATTATTACGTTAGATAATTCTTTTTAAGACTCAGAAGTGACCCATAGCTCTGCACACATCCTCTTTGCATTCTCAACCTGCGAGTCTTTTAGTGAGACAGAAGGTCTAGAAGGTCCCTTTGGTTGAAAGGTAAAAAAGGAAATGGTAGATATTGTTTTTCTACATACAGAAATTTTGAGATAAAATTAAGTGTCCAGTAATCTGGACATTTGGACTCAGCATAGTAAATGATGCTTTGATTGGTATAACAGACTAATGCATTACAAAAAATGTAGTTGTTCAGTTTTTTTTTGTTTATTTTGTCAAAAGAATCTGTTTATTTAGGAGTGACAGTAGATGATGTCCTATAAATTTGGAGATAATATTATTTTTCAGTGATGTCAATGGCTATAACTGCCCAGTACATTGGATATTGGAAAAATTATAATTCTTGAATACTTTAGGAGCCATTCATGCAGAAGTACAAGAGTTCAGAAGCTTTTTCATGGAACTGTACATACAGTAAACATAGAAACAAGCTCGGTGCTTGCTTTTGTGTCTCTGTGATAATAAATATATTCATTTTTCAAAAACATTCACATTTTATGCGCCCAAGTCCAAATGTCCAGTATACTGGACACTGAATATTATGTTAAACAAAAAAAAAAAATGTATTATGTTATTTAGTTTCAAAACAAAGCTTGCTTTTAAGCGCCCAGTCCCAGGACAGAGGAGAACACGGCCGAAATGTAGTTTGTTTACGGTGCCTTAGCTCTCACAGCGGTCAAGAACGCGCAAAGAAAGCAACATTGTGTTTAAAGACATCAGTTTCTGACTAAAACTAAGCTGTAGTTGACTGTTCTGGTTGCCAGAGACGATAGTCTACCATATTTACCCAAAACGTGCGAATATGAACACTGACTGCAGCTCTTTAGGAAGTTTTAACCAAGCAAACTAAGAAGCTACTCGCTCTCACCTCCATCCTGAGCGGGAAACTCCCGCCCTCCCCTCGCGACTTCTCCTCACAGCCTCCGCGCGTGCAGAGCGAGGGCTTCACTCTCACGGTTAGTCGTCGGTGAGCAGGTCGCCCTCTGAACCGTTACACCGGTTTAAATGGCTTTACAGGCTCACCGGGCGCTCCTCCACCTTTAGCCTCCACCAGGGGGAAATGGTCGGTCATGAATGACTAACTAAAGGCGTTCAGGGCGGCTGAACGGGGGCGGCTCAGAGGCTTCACGTCACATCGCGGCGTCTATCCCGCAGCTCCGCACCCCCCACACGGAAATTTGACTACATATATATATATGTATATGTATACGGCGTAAGGGTGCACACAGAGGACAAACTTAACCTCATTGTGAAGCATTGTAAAGCATTGAGTCTGGTAGGAATGATGCGTAAACGCGATTTCTCATTTGACTGGCACAACCAGGCGCGCAGCAAAGAGCTCTATACTTAGATAAACTAGCAAATCAAGCTGAATAATGAAACAATACAATAACATCACATTTTACTAACGAATATATACATATACTTTATGTTTTTTACAATTTTATACGCTGAATTTTAGGCTGAAAGATGAGTTACGGAAAACCGGAAGTGAGGTGGCCGATATTGGGGGACCCCCATCATTCTAGCGATACCAGTGTCAAAGTAGACAAAAACATTATTATTGAAAAAACTGTTTTCTCATCATGTCAAATGACTCTTGGACATTAATCTACACACGTATCTCTCCCGAAAAACATTGATTTGGGTGAGTAAAGTGCTTTCATTCATTTACAGTTAGCTTAGATTCCCGATGTTTTGTTGTGAGGTGGCCGATAACAGGGGTACTTACGCTATATATATATACACACACAGATATAGATATATATATATAGATAGATAGATTTCTCTTATATCCAACTTACGTTAGTCACATATGGACATATATGTTTATTTGAAACTGGCTATTTTCAAACATGAGACAAATATGTTGATATAAGACTGACATATATGAACATGTATAGTTAAATGTGTTATACAAATATCGTGAAAAAGCACTATTCATATGTGAATGGCATATATTACTCATATATGCTAGCTTCATGTTACATCCCTGCTTAAAAAAAACCCCATAGAAACCATTAAGTGTTTCTGTTGGTTCCTGATGATTTTGTAATGCGTTTTGGCTTTTTAAATGGGTTGATATCACAATGTAAAGGACCTTGACGGTGTAACAGGTGATTAATGGCTGATTCTGAATAAATGTGATGGTTTCCTAATGGGATATAAAAGGTGTTCCACAAGAAACTAGCACATATTATTTTGAAAAACACAAATATCTCATTTTTTTCCACATTTGATATGTTGTCTTTGTACTATTTTCAATTAAATATAGGGGTTAAATCCCATGTGTCAAACACAAGGCCCGAGGGCCAGATCAGGCCCGCCAAACAATCCTATCCGGCCCGCAAAAGTATTTTAATTTTCTAGTAATATTAGCTTGTTTCACAATGTGCTGCACTACAGTGCCCAGCATGCACTGCAACGTAATGTGCTCCGACTCTCCTACCCCAACAACAATCTATGGGACAGTGGTTACACCTCAATTGTACACAATTCCACACCAGCCCTGTCACCAAAATGCATTTCAGCTGCAGTTCAACCGATATAAACACGTAACATCAGCTCAGCAGCTCAGAAATTCAGCCCAAGTCTTAATGAACTTGCAGCAAAGAAAGGATGCCAGGTGTCTAGTTCAAGCAAACAGGTAGGTTTATAAGGCCGAGCACCTGGGGACGTTTAAATTTAGAATATTTCATGTAATATTTTAAGGTCTACTACATGTCCGTATTTTACTGTTGCAGTTTTTGCATATTTCTCAAATAAACAACGGCCAATTCGGGTTACAGCACAACATTAATTAAAAATGAAAACATTTTTCTTCTCTGGTCCACAGATTTGATGAGATTTTTTAATATGGCCCTTTCACTGGTTGAGTTTGACACCCCTGGGTTAAATGATTTGCACATCAATGCATTCTGTTTTTATTTACATTTTGCACAGTGTCCCACCTTTTATGGAAACAGGGTTGTAGTATAGTGTGAGGTTTTGGACACCGCCTTAGTCTTCTGGTCACATGGGGCAACAGTTTTTAACCCTAATTTAAAAGCATAAAAAATAAAAGTAAACCAGCGGTCATCTGGCAATCTACCTTCTGAAGAGTCCAGTCTTCCAAACCTGCTCCAGCTAATTAACTTCCTTAGAAGTTCTTGATCGGCTGGATCAGATACATTAGTGTTAAGTAAGGGGGGGTGGGGGGTGTTGGGAGAAGCAGAAGCAGCATGTTAGTTGCAGGTTGGAACTAAACTCTGCAGATTTCCCAGATCTCCAGGAGGAAGGCTGATGACCACTGATGTAAACAATACAAATTCAAATAGACTATTAGACGTTCAGATCAGACAATCAGATGTTCTGTATTTTTACCTCATAATAAAATGTGTTTGTTGGATCTAAATGGGTTTAAAGAACAATCCATTCTTTTCCAAAGTGAACTTTTTTTTTTTTAAACCACTGATTTTGGTACTTTTATGGTGACATTTATCATTTAAAAATTGAATACATAAGTAAAAAATGACTTCCCATAAGCCTACACTGGGCACAGAACGAGACCACAAAAGTGGCAGTGACAGACAGCCGCACTAGTATTTCCATCTCATGATATGAATCAGAAGACAGGTGAACTTATGACTTATGTGGGACTGTTTTTCTCACCTTTTAAATGTTGAGGGTACTGACAAGTTTCCATTCCACTTTCGCCCTCTTATGAAGGTAGCAGTGCCAGCATACAGGTAAATATCGATTTTTTTATTAAAATATTGAATGTAGAGTATGAATAGAGAAGTCATGAGGTAAACAAAGTAACACACAGGCAATTATAAAGGGGATTATACATAATAATATGTTATAATAAAGGGTTCACTTTTAGAAAGTAGCTCACTTTTATCTCAATGCTGTTTTGCATGCTCTTGGCACTCTCCCAAGCAGTTTCATGATGAGTTACCTGGGGTGCTTTTCCAGCAGACGCATATGCCGAGACCTTATTGCTGCTCAGAAACACTTGTTGGAGGGACATTTTTGAAAACATTTCAATATATGTACTTGTATTTGTCATAAAAAAAACTCAACCATTAGATCGCAGTCCTCCCCAAAACCCTAACCCTCCCAACCCCTTAAAATAAAAAATAAAAAATCCAAAAAATGCTCTCATATTTTCATGTCACTACTGAAACACAGACATTCAGTCCAGCCATGTCCCTGCATTTTCTAGCAGGAAGTGAGACTGCATCCCTGTCCCTCATGGCCACATGGTGAACATGGTGTGTAACATCCAGAATTGTCACTACCAAACCACGTTTTTTGCAATTAAGTGTTTCTATTCTATTTACAAAATTCGAAAATTGTCACCACTGAATCAGTCACAACTGAAACATTTGGTAAAGTTTTGTTATGACTGTTTCGGTGTTTTGATTGTTTTGGTAGTGACCAAATGGAAAGTTCAAGTCCAAATCAGCTAACAGTGCAAATTTTATTGCACAGCTTCTATTTATTTGTTGAGTTTAGTATTTTGGAAAAGATGAAACAAAGTATAAAACGTGCCGTAACTTTTGCAGAGGCCACATTTTGGGTCTTCCCCTCTAAATATGTTAGATTCAGCAAATAAACAGTAATTGTGTATGAAAATATGCAGAAGTGTGGGTTTTTTTTGTGTTTTGGAGTGTGTTATGTTCACATCATCAACAAAATACACAATTTGACAAGGTGCACCCAAACTTTTGCATGTGACCGTATACAACATGTAGTTCTAGGCCCTGTGAAGGTCTATGGGAGGTAACATTTGCACTGCGTTAATTGAAAACACAAAAATCTATTCCTTTGAGAATATGAAGACCGTAATGCTCTCCAGTAACGGCCTGTAGAAAGTGCAGCTACTGGGGCAACAAGTCTGTTTATCGCTGCTGTTGGAACAAAACCTTGTATCTCCATTTTTCTTGTTTTTCAGTTTTTGACACAGTTTGAAAATGCCCATTGCCCTTTACATTGTGTATAGGTTTCATGATGAATGGACCAAAAGAAACGGCCCAAAACAACCTGGAAAAAAGTCTGGTTCCACTGACTTACAGTAAAAGTAAAGTATGTTTTTTGCTTCTCCTGTAAAGTTACCATTTTGGAGATACAAAGTTTTGTTCCGACACCAATGCGTCCTTGGAGGGCCAAAATCCAGCACGTTTTTGTGGCTTTCCTAAGTCAACTCAGTCATTTTCAGGTTAGCAATGAAACCAAACTATGGTTAGCGAACCAAATCATGCTGAAGACTGGTGTTGTCTCGGAGTTGGACTGCTAATCCAAAGATAAAGCTTCCCTTGTTCACATGACTATATGATGTACATGGATAAGGAAAGCCCAGCTCAGCACTTCTACTGTAACAGGCCTCATACAACCCCTGAACAGTTGTCTAATATACCACCTACAATTTTCTTCTATTCAGTGTAATAGAAAAACACAAAAATTTGGCTTACCATGTTAGGTCGGACACAGCAGTCAAGCTACTGAAGCAGGTACCACAACATCCATGAGAAGTTCAGCATTGGCTGTGGTGGACTGAAAACAAAGCTGTTCACCCTTTCCTTGGATCAAAGGTCTGAGACTCAGACTTTCACGCCATTGGGTCAAAGTTATCTCCACTTCTGAATGCGACGTGGCATTATTAATCATCATAATCGCTATTATTTTGGCTTGTGCAACTGTAAAAATGAGAAAAGTCAATGGACTTGCGCAGCACAAATATGAACTGAAATATGAAGAACGTTGGTTCAGATATCGTACAACTGTGCATGACCTGCATTGCGGAACAACTTTAAGGTAAAGAAATACAAACCTAAAGCTCGGCCTACGTGGAACGACCTTAATTGCTAGGGATGTAAATGATTAACCGATTAGCCGACAAGCAATTGTTCAACCAGTGCTGGGAGTTGTAAAATGTAATTTGGTGTCATTTGGAATAAACATCTTGAATAGGTGGGTTCATTATTAAGCTGAGGAATGGTTTTGAGTTGTACACTTGAGGGATCAATAGGCAAAAGGTAAAAGGCACAGCTAAAAATAAGTAATATTTGAGACCACTTGTCTAGAGGAATGATAACATACCACATCAAAAGCAAACAGTTGCAAGAAATAAGCGGGAACCATTTCGACCATGTTTTCCAAGGGAACTCATGCACTGGATTTGTATGTGTTGAACAGCGACCAGAGCTGCTGAGGTATACTGAGAGAAAGCGAGCCCCAGTCTTGGCATTTATGTTCGTTTCAACTTCAGCTAGAAATAAGTGGCGAATATAACTGGTGCAAGTGGATCAGCTGGAGTTTTTAAACTGTGTCCACTCACTGTCCACTCCTACCCTGTTGGTCCACCTTGTAGATGTAAAGTCATAGACAGTGGCTCATCTGTTGCTGCACAGTTTGTGTTGGTCATCCTCTCGTCCTTCATCAGTGTCACAGGACGCTGTTGATTCTTAGTCCAGCAGCGACACTGAGGTGTTAAAACCTCTAAAACTAACACACCACCACCACATCAGTGTCACTGCAGTGCTGAGAATGATCCACCACCCAAATGGTACCTGCTCTGTGGTGATCTTGTGGGGTCCTGACCATTAAAGAACAGGGTAAAAGGGGGGCTAACAAAGTATGCAGAGAAACAGATGGACTACAGCCTGTATGATAAGTGGAGCTGATAAAATGGACAATGAGTGTAGAAATAAGGAGGTGTACTTAATGTAGACACCAGTCAGTGTACAGATGTGCACAATGTCACTATCAGAACAGAAACTTGCATCTCCAAAATGGTAACTTTACAGGATATTTATTTAAGTTAATGTAACAAGATTTTATGTCATTTTGGACTATTTCTATTGGGCAGTTTGTCCTGAATTTGGACACAATATAAGCCAGTGTTTTCATATTATGTCAAAAAATGAAAAAAAGCAAAAATGGAGATACACAGTTTTGTTCTGACAATGCTTGTCAATATCGAGTATTGGAGAGCAGCTTCAAACATGGCTCAAACGATACAATTTTGACAGATCTCATCCTTCCTTTTAGGCTTGCCTGTTGACGACCAATCTAATTGGTTATTGTTCAAAGAAATTTGCCTATAACCTTACTAATTTCACACACACGTAAAGCACTATATATGGAAAAGTTCACATTTTATTGCTATGAAACAACTGCAGAAAACAGGTTTGCAATACATTAACAGTATATAATGAAGAGGAAAAAATGTGATCTCATCAGCGAGAATGATCACAGATTACTCTTCGTGGTCACAGCCAGTAAGATTAGGAAGGCAAAATCTATACACTATAAGAAATTATGCAGTCTGTTTTATGCTATGACAAGAAAGATTTAAATTCTGATAGCTATCTATTTCAAGAAAGGGAACAAAAGAACCCATGAAAATTCTGTTCAGCTAAAACACCAGCAGTTAGAACATTAACACCTTAAACTGTAACACTGTCTTAAATCCGACTTTCACTTGGCTAACTCATTTTGCTGTACTGACCTAGAAGGAAAGTAAGTATTTGATTAAACCAAAGCATTTTATGCCCTCATAACAGATTGTACAAATAAAAAAAAAGAGAAAAATCAGAAATATGGCATCAACATCCATAAGATACCTACTTGCTGTCAAAACACAGCAAGCCTTCCCAACATGCCTCCAGTCCGTCCATGAATAAACGTCCATGCACAGACCTGTGCAGAGTCTTCGGCCTCATCCAAAAACATCCTGGAGTCTGTACCGGGCAGACAGGCCCATAAACTGGCACCAGGTGCTCACGTGGTTGCACATCACCACAGAATCTGCCTCACGTCTCCATGGCCTCTGTGGAGCCTTTGGTAGTAGCGTCTCCCTTGACCTGCGGGTCCAAGAGGGAAAGGTCTAACTCTGGGAGGGGAGCCCTCCAGAACTGGAATGAGTTGAAGGCGCAAAGAAGGTCATCGCTGACGTCATCATCACTGTGCATCGCCTGAAATAGTAGAGGTGGACATATCAGGTCAATATCTAAGGACATGATACAACAGTGAGAAGCGTGGTGCCAATAATCTTAAATTTTGACAATTTTTCTCAAAGGTTACTTCTTTTTAACAGCTGGGAATTGTGAGCTGATGCAATCGGGAAATCGGGATCTTCCTGGATTTTCAATACTGAGAAATTTCAGAATTATTTGTAGAGGATTATAAATGCAGCCAAATGTAGAAAACTAAGACATTTTAACACAGTGCCCACCGTCACCTAAACACATTGTACTTCACAGTGTATTTCACATTGAAATATTTCAGGGTACTTTTAAATTTAGATTCAAATTTTAAGGGGAAATCCACCAATCTTTCCAACTTTCCACATAATTAAAGGGTTAAGATGTAAACAGAGTCATTCCGAGTGGTTTGGTGTAAAAAGCTCCGTTCTAGAACCTTACAGAGTCAGAACTGTTCACAGTGGTGGTGGACCAAGACGTCCATGTCTAAAGGCTTCTTCATCACAGAAAGTTATTACATGAAACAGTTGTGAATACATTGCCTGATGACGGAGACACTGTTTTATGAAAATTTTGGTTTAAAATGAATTTTAATCCATTCATGGTGAAGGGATACATTCAGGGGGTTGTGAGGCAAAACAGTCCCTCAAGAAAACTTTCTTTTTTCAGATTTATGACTATTTTACCATCATAATATATGAAAACTCAGAAGACACGTGAAGGTTCATTGGTGGCTTTATTGGGTAGTAAATAAATGGCTATATTTCTGTTGTAGTCATGGTGACCCCTGGTTCCTATCACCACCACTGTGAAGAAATGAGTCTCTACAATTAACCATTTCACACCAAAACACTCTGAATAACTCTGGTTACATCTCAACGACGGAATAATGCAAAAAAATTTGAAAAATCGGTGGCACTGCCCTCTAATAAAAAGCGCTAGACTTTGAATCAAAACGAACAGCGCCATTTCTTAGTCTACAGCGACACCTCGCGTTCAGGCAGTGAATAACCCCGCAAACCCTGACCGCGGTCAGACCCAATTTAAACCAACTGAGCTCTCAAAATGTGCTAAACTCGTAACTACAGACCTTCGTGAGCTCCTCTGCCGTGTCCGTGTCCAGCTGGTCCTCCTCTTCTCTCGGCCGTTTGGCCTGCAGTTCGGCCGGACCCGTCGCTCCGCTCGCATCGCCGAATTTTCTAGAACAGTCCTCGGCGGCGGTCTGCGGTGAAGGTTGCCGGACAGCAGGCGCCTTTTTCGGCTCGGGGAGACTCTCGAGCGGGTCAGGGCGGCTCGGTCTCTTCCTGCGGCGCGGCGACGAGTCCGATGAAGCCGGGTACTGGAGCAGCGGAGGTGCGGAGGAGAGCGGCGAGTCCGCACTGCTGCAGACCGAGCGGCAGCGCTTCTTCTCGGGCACGGAGCAGAAAGGCGAGGCGCTCTCGGCCCTCCGCTTCGTCATACGGGCGAGAAGAGGCACTTCAGTCCCGCGAGTGCTCTCCGTTAACCCCGGTGAAAACGGACAGACACCGGCGCACATCCTCCACTCCACAGGTATCTTACCATCCGCTGTGCCAGTGTGGTCGCTGGAGAAGGAGGCTGCAGCGCCCTCGTCTGGCGGGATGATCGATTGACCAGTGTAGCAGTGGGCACGGAGTCATTCACAGTGGCGGTGAGGGGAACCAAAAGTCTGACCTTTAATGCCTCTAAAAGCTTTCTCACAGAAAGTTATTACACAGAATGGTTATGAATATGCTGCCTGATGCCTGAGACATTGTTTTACGATAGTTTTGTGATAAAATTGTGATAAATAACGTCGTTAATCCGTTCGTAGCGGAAGGATACAAGAAGGGCGTTGTGAGGCAAAAATAGTCTCCATAAAAAACGTAGTTTTTTCAGATTTATCACTATTTTACCACAATCAACATGACATATAAAACTCAGAAGACTCGTGTAGGTTCACTGCTGGTTTCGGATAGTAAATAAAATGGCTATATTTGTGTTGTACACATGGTGACGCCGGGTTCCTATCACCACCGCTGTAAAGAAATCTCTATATACCTAACCGTTTCACATCAAACCACTCTGAATGACTCTGTTTACGTCTCAACGACGATAGTATGTAAAAATTTCGAGAAATTTTTGGTTCAGTTTTAATTCCTGGTCCACAATGCCTGTTATGTTATCCATTTGATGGGTGGTGGCATCAAGGAGAAATCCAGAACCAACAACCCAGAAGTGTGTTGTTCTAACTGGCTCACAGGATATGAACTAGCTACTTGTCTGAAAACCAGGCGTTCACGATCCCAGCCTTTTTAAACTTGCAGCCCACACAACTGACCACAAAATCATTTTACCGAGATCATTTAAAGTGCAAACAAATATAAGGAAATAATCAGTGTAAGTTGTCAATTTTGCTTGGTTTTATAATATAATGCAATGCAACAGACACTAAAATGACCCAACGTTTCCTACTCGCCTCCTGAGTTAGCTGATGTTGTTTGGCAGCTACCGAGTTGTGGATGACACGCTGAAGAAAGGGCTCAGTTTCACAGGTTTAGATGCAGATTTGTTACAGACATCCAAGCTCCATCTGAAAGCTCTGATAAAGTCTCAGCTTCTGAATGAGGTGAAACTCAGGTGAATGAGGTGCTTCTTTTACTTTTCTAGAATGGAAAGAAGCCCACTGACATCCTATGCCTGTTTTGCGAGGAGCAAAGGAGATCTTTGGCCCCTGAAGACGTTCTGTCCGTTTGTTTTATTGTGGAGCGAAAAAGGCTCTGCTGGGTTTTCTTCGTTTCGGTTTATACTTGGATTTCTTGGTTTTCCTAATCTGAGATACAGTGGCTGTTTCGCCTGTTTAGCCTCTGGATCTGATCTTTTGAAAGACTGTTCATAACCATTTGTCCATGATGGGCGAATTCCATACAAACAGAAAGAGAAACATTTTACAACATTTTTAGTTGTTAGGGCTTCTCCCCTGTTTATGTTTCAGTTAAATATGCTTTCTACTTCTCTCTCACCCCCTACCCCACCCCAACGCTGAAAAAATGAACTTAATGGCAGGTCTCTAACTTTTCCACAGTACTGCATATCAGAATTTTGCTATAAATGAGTAATACCAAGGACTAAACATACAATAGCAAACTTGTATATTTGATAAAAGTGTTTTTATTAATAAAATACATCTTCAGTGTTTACACTGCTAAACATCAAGGCAAGTCACATTTCACATTTTGGAAAAAAGAACCGATTTCTCCCCTTTACTGTAAAATGAATGTGTTAATAGCAGATTCAGTACAATCATACAGTAAGTTTAAAACAACTTGCTTACTTAGTGCTGTGATAACTGTCATCATCCAGGGAAGTGAGGAGTTGCGAAGTCAGCAGTAAGTTGGATTTTTTAATAAAAATCATATTTGGTGAACTGCTGGGTTGCTGAAATGGAGCAGCCTGAGAACGCTGTCTATCGGCATATCAGTAAGAAACCAAAGAAATACAAAAATACATGTCCTTTTTGGTGAAACTTTCCTTTAACTGTGTCCAGCATCTGAAGTTCATACCCGGATTGCCAAAGAATCACTGAAAATATGACGGTAAGAAACACTTGTTTTCGTTCACATGCCACCCAAAGTTTGGCATGTGAGCTTGGGTGACTTCCCAGCTGACCGAGCGTAGTGTGAAGGCAGAGTAAGACATCACAAAATTACGACGTAGCATCATGTAAGGCTTTCCATAATACTGAAAAACAATGCAAAGACCACCAGACTTAGTTAGGCGAGTTAAGTGCGGGATTTGGGGTTATAACCACCTCTCTGAACAATCAGGACAAGCTTCTGACCAAAGAGGGACTGGTCACCTTTTTCTTTGTGACATTTGTGGAGTCAATCATAAAGCTTTTTTAGCAAAGGAAGCAAATCGTACTATATAGATATTAAGAAAATACATCAATTATTAGTCCAATAAGCACCAACACAGTGGCAGCTGATATAAATGCTTTACTTTCTACATATTAACGTAGGTTTTTCTTTTCCCTACTTTGAAATATAAGCCACTCAGGTCACCTCACGTTTCAGACGACTGGCCGTTCGTCATAAATGTCTGCTTGATCGCAGCTTGAGTATCTAAACTTGGAATAACGGAAAAAGTTAACTGCCTTCATAAAACAAATTAACCATTTAATTTGTCAGGTTTTGCGAAGCTGAAACTTCAGGTACCCTGTCTAAGTTAAACTGGCTTTGTGAGAGAGGCCCCCATAAAAAATACTATCAAAACTACGAATACAATTATTTTTTCTCATATTTTACACACTGTGATGCACCAAATCGGATTAAACCCAACTAATTATGATCTTTTTGTAATTAAACATGCTGTCGATCAGAGTTCGTAGCTAATGACGTCCACAATATGCTCAGAAAAGTGTAATATAACCTAATTTATCAACGTAACGATAAAATTTCACATTGCTCACTCCTAATCACTATCATGGTTTCAGTTTTAGCATTTATTTGTTTTATTTGGCTCGTTTGCTGTGTTTTTATCACATAAATCAGCAGTGAGGGCGACGCAGATCAAGTTGAGCTCATAGCCCAGCTACGGAAAGTGGAGTGCAGGGTTGAGAAGCTTTTAGAGTTTGTCTGAAGGACCACCCTGAAAAAGGCTCGGCAGGTGCCCCATTTAGCAAAGCCGGTTTGAGCTCCGAGCCTAGTGGTACTTAGATAAGTATTACTAAATGTAATTTAATGTGATTTCTTAGGCATCTTTGCTCTTTAGATTGTAGATTCTTTCTAAATTGTCCCAGCAACTGCACAGTTACGATACACCAACCAAACATTTGCTTTCTGGGGGGGTTTGATCAATGTGTTCTGGCCTTAAACCCCTCAAACACCAACAATTACAAACATTTGCTTGGTGTGCCATACCTGCATGTGTTTGTTGGAAATTTCTAACCTATTCATACTGGTTCTCTAGAATATTCTCCGCGTTAACACTGTTTATTAGTTACCGTTCTAAACATTTAAAGCTGCCAGCGCTGGAATGGTGGTGTTTTTGGGTTGCTGTGCAAAGGTATGATGACTCAAGGTCTGTATTCACAAAGCAAGGAGGTTTCTTCCAGAAGAGTGGCTGCTAGCTTGCGATGATTATGACCAGTTCAGACAGGATCCTACACCCTAGATCAAAGAATTTGAATGCTTGATTATGAACAATAGAGACTAGTAATCTGCTCCTACATCCGTAAGTCTTTTTGGGCACAAACCCTGGAGTGTAGGTCCATTCCTGGAACCTCTACGGACTACAGATCTGTGTTCTCTCTTCTCTAATATAACTGCTTCAGCTCATTAATGGCTTGACATTTTACCCAACAGGGCTAATAGAGCAGGGAGAACACAAAAAAAGAACAGTGTGTTGGTGCTCAGAACTGGGACTGAGAGGGTAACGAGGTGTTAAAGAATTCAATAATCTAGATATAAAAATGACTCTGTGTCTTTGATGTAAATGCATCTGAGGTACTGCAGTTAAGTGAAAGCTTCGGTCCATCTGATGTCACGTTGCCGTCTCTTCTTTCTCTACCGAATTGTCCAGCTGGTTATCTTTGGGGGACAGGGCTCCGTTGGACAGGTGGTCCGCGGGTTTCCGAACCACGAAAAAGACACAGTCATACAAGTACTTGAGCATGGAGCGATCGTTCTCAGTGTACGTGGTGAGGACTGACTCTCTCTCCGCCTAAACAGTTGAAAAAAAAAAAATGAAAAAAATTCAGTCAATCTAAAAGCAATACTTCAGTGAAAAATCAAATTCACACAAAAAATACTACCCAAATTTAGTTGATCAGCCAAGACATATTTAGTGTCTTGCTTCTTTAGTTTTGCACTGAAACTACAAGTCTAATGTAGCTTACACGTAATGGAAGCTTTAAGCATTGTGCAAACAAGAAGAAATCTCAATTAGACTTACTTACATAAGAGACATACTGTAATCTATAAAAAATGGATTACTATGTTTGGGAATATTGTTTAATTTTGATTATCATCAAATTGTTGCTAAAGGTCAAGATGCACATTTTTAGTCCGTGTTGCCTTACCTCCAGCTCAAATCCATACTTCAAAATAACACCTTTTATGTCTTCATAGCTCAGCTCGATAGACAGTTCATTGGCCATGTTTTCAAAATGGTACAAAAGTGGACCTTAAAAACAGAGCAGAAATATAAAGAATATTTTTAATATTGTAGTGTTCAGCAATGAAGTATGTATTACAATAGTTTACTGTGATTATGGCGACATACACAAGACAAACTGTAAGTTTGGTGGACTCACCCAAATTGATCCAAATTCCACCAGGTTTTAGAATATTCCAGATGGTCTCTATATAATCAATGACATTATGAGCCGTGTCGATGAAAAAGCAGGTGGCAACACAGTCCCAGGTATCTATTGGAGACGACAAACCATCAAGTTACAATTTTCCCGCTGCCCATGGAAAAACAAGAACGGACACAAACAGGAACTCAAAGAATTTATGGTTCTAGTCCTAGTTCATTTTCCATTAGCTTGAGAGACAGCTGGAACTGTGTATAATAACCGTGATTAACGATTTAGTTGTCTTTATGGTCATTTTATGCCGCTCTAAAGCATTTAATTTGACTAATTAGCTACCTTGCTTGATAGTTATAGTAAGATATGTTGGTGGATATTAAATGATATACTGTTTTACACTCCCATACAAATGCCTACATTTATCCAGAATCATGTTTAGAGTCAAGCAATGCTTATAGTTTTCTCTAGTGTGAAGATCTGAGCCCAAACACTCAGCCAAAGGTTCCAAAATAAGTTTGTTCTGTGGAAAAACAAGGATACTGCACGTTATACCTACGTTAGGTCAACTGTTTGACCTGTTTGATATATCTGTCTTCTGCCACCAACAACAGCTACCTTTATGGACCCACTGATTACTGCTGCCCATTATTACTCTCTGGTCAGATCTCAGGGCACAGGATAAATAATTGATATTAGACTAAGTTTTACATTCAGTTTGTGGACTGTTTCTGAATTGTACACATTAGGGCAACTTGTTCCATCCATCCATCATCTAAATCGCTTATCCTTCTGGGTCGCGGTGGGGTGCTGGAGCCTATCCCAGCTGTCATTGGGCGGAAGGCAGGATACACCCTGGACAGGTCGCCAGTCCATCGCAGGGGCAACTTGTTCCATTAGTCTTAATTAGTAAAGCACAATTCTGGGTTTTGTTAAGTCGATACCGACTTTTGACTCTCAAGTCTTTGAAGTGTACTCCTTGACTCCACTTAATTTTCACTTGTAGAACGAGAACCCCTGATGAAGGAATACAGCTGAGATTAAACCATCCTAATAAACATCACATTGAGTGTAACCTCGAGCTAAAGCCTGCAAATGTGTTCGTCACCTAACCGTTAGCCTATGTAGATAGATCCATGTCAAAAAACCTCAAAATTCTACTGATTTTATGTTGACTGTTGTTTAAACTATGCCAGGGGTGTCCAGTCTTATCCACGAAGGGCTGATGTGGTTGTAGATTTTCATTAGAAACAAGCAGGAGCTCTCCTGATTCCTCTTGTTCAACCAGTTGGTCTCAGTCTTCAACAACTGATCACACATGCTCCAGCACTGTTAGAATGACAACCTGCAGCCACACTGGCCCTTTGTTTGATAAGACTGGACATCCCTGAACTATGCAGACGAACTTCAGTCCAGCCCCATTCACGCTATACATGTTATTTAACTTGAGCCAGTATGTGATACATTTAATTAAGGAGGACACGTGGGACAGCAAGGTTAAATCCCCGCACAGAAAATGATGTCTCTCTCTGGCGCTGCATGTATGAGGTAATTTGTTCCGTCATCAGTGCTCTAACAGCATGTTTATCACTAAAACTTATATCACAATAACGATATAAATACGATTTATCGTACAGCCCTAATCAGATGTTTTAGAGGAGGAAACTATGCAGAGCAGAGATACTCCAGGACTGGACTTGAAAAGCACTGCAATAGAACAACACCTTGACTCACTCGGATCAGTATACACTTCTAAGAAGTCCCCAGCCGTCATGGAGAAGTTGGAGGTTGGCGGAAGACTCTGGGGGTTGACATCTGGGAAGGACACCGGCCTCGTCTGATCGGCGGAGAGTTTGTTATTGCTGAACTGGTGAACCCAGGGATACAACGTCAAATCATTCACCTTCTCACACCTGTTAATATAGGAGGATTCAGTTTTAGTATCACCAGATACACAACAACTACACAAAGATGTAACTTCCACTAGTTCAATTTCTCATTTTAATCCCCGGGGCTGACTAAATGGTCCACATTTATGCTCCATCCTAACTTTTAACATACCTGAAGTAAGCAATTACCCCTTCTACATGTGTACTGGAAGCTTGGACATATATGTGAGCTGTCTGGCAGATCCCAAAAACTGTCTTAAGAAACCCTACTTTGGTTTAATTATGATATAAAAGAGTATTTTCCAACCAAGTCCTCAGGCTCACCCATGCCATCCTCATTTTTGCTCTTTCACAGCTATTCTACATTGCTATTTCGACTGGTCAGCAAGAAAGGGAATCTAGTTCTAGTCTCATTTTCCAGCAAATTCCAGAACAGCATGTATCTTGGGTTCTTCAACAAGGGTATAACAACACATATACTTCCAAGTACCTGTTTAGGACAAAGTTTGAGGAGAAGAGCATAAAGAAGCTCCACTCGTTTCCCTGGCAGGCGTAACCCAGGCGGGCGATTTCCCATGCCAGCCTACCGAGACCAGCTCCAGGAACCAGGACGTTGACCTTAGAGACGTCGCTGTAGAAAAGGAAAAACACGATATGTTTGTTTATGTCATCTGTGGCATGTAAGGTCATATTTTAGAATCTCCAAATCATCACTGACACTGCAATTCAGTCCCAGGCTAGGCATAAACCATGTCTGGGAACCAAACCCCTAATATCTAATTAGCTGAGGTGCTGCAGTTAATAGAAAATCTGTTTAGTTCCTCAGAGATGGTGTAATTCGGGCTGGGCAACATGAGAAAATGAGTCATTATTGGGATAAATTACCTCACGATATGCCCCAATATGCTTTTCTAAGCTCATTGTGGATATCGCCAGTACTTCTAGAACACTGAAGAACCGCATGTTTGTTATGTTCGAGCATAATTAGTCCAGTTTAATTGGATTTAGTGCAGTGCAGTATGTTGAAAACAAAACAATTCACTGTACTCATAGTTTTTGTTTTTAAATGTGGCACCACTGTTTCTTTTTGTTCGTTCATCACATGCCAGAAAAAATAAACATATTGACATTTTGTGCATCATGAAAATTATAGTGATATTGTAATAATTTTGCCATATCGCCCACTTCTTGGCTGTATATCACACTGAAGAAGGTATATGAACACATAAATAAGCAGAGACACAGAGTAGCCCAGTAAATGATGCACATCAGTACAAATTATTTAAAAATAAGTGTGCATCTTGCACCAACAGCTGTACTTGTGATATGATGATAATAATTAGTTCACTATCTCATCAGAGTCAGGGTACTACAGATATTTAACCCCTCCTTTGTGATAACAACATGGTGACTTAGTTACATTTACTGGTTATTTGTGAATGCAAAATCCAGGATCAGATTTGGTTATAATGCTGTATGCCTACTAGTGTAAATGACATGTATATGTAGTGTGTATCTGGGACAGTGCTTATGCTGAGCCTTATGTGTGTATATATACAGCAATATACTCACCACTGGTCAGGAGGGAACTGTCTCTGTATCTCCTCTATGAGAGGAGTGTAGCAGGAGTCCCGCTCAGCTTTGCCTGTTTCACTCCAGTCACGCACAAACTGCTTGATGGTGGACTTCAGCTTGTCCATGTCGAATGTTGAAGATGGCCCAACTTTCCTTGTATTGTCCTAGAAGAGCACAGGTTTGGAGTCAAGCCAGTACCATTCGGTGGAAAAGCGGCTTACAGCTAACAAGATGGAAAGATATGCCAGATATTTTCCCAAAGATTAGGTCTGAACCAATAACAATGTATGTGCAAGAAAACAGCCCTACAGCCTGCGACCTGTAATAAATAACAGCTTCACCTACATCCTCGCCGTACTCAATGTTCTCGAACATGTGGATGCAGTTGTGCACAATGGCCTGCAGCACTTCGTAGTTCTGGTCCACACAGCGGCGGATCTTGGCCAGGTTGGGCAGGAATCCAGACAGAAGCCGCTGGTGCTTTTGAGGAAGACTGCGGAACTGCCGCTCGGTCCGGTTCACACGCTCCTGAACATGGGTTCTGATTAGAGAGTGAGGTACAGCAGGTGGGTGGGCAGAATTACAGCAGTAACAGCATAGCATAGTATGTACTAGTATATATTATGAAACCACACAGCAAATGTAGGTGTCAAAAGATCTTTAGATCTTTCAGTTAAAGGTGAATTTTCAGAATTTCTGCACAGTTGAACTGTTAGGATGTAAGCAGTCACTCAGACAGAAACTTACTGAGTCAGAATTGTTCACAGTGGTGGTGACAGGAACTTACGGAGCCCCCAAGGTGACACAGTGATTATTTTTTAACAAGGCATCAGCCACAAATTAACATATTGAGCCCACAAGTTCCCCTCACTATATTATATTAATTCATGGCCTCAATATATTAATTCGTAGCCACGCCTTATTAACAAAATCACTGTGTCACCTTGAGATGTCTGAAGGGTTTAACATCTCTTAAAGCTCCCTCACAGAAAGTTAGCACATTAAATGGGTCACCAAGTTTCTCTATAAGTAACCACTTCAGGTCAAACCTCTGTAAATGACTGTTTATGTCTTCATCATTGAATAATGCAGAAACTGACAGAATTCCACTTTTATGGAGCTCCAGAGATGACATGGTGATGATTATGCAAGAAAGCATGACCACAAATGAATATTTTGAGGCCACGAGTTAAGTTTTTTATACCTCAAGGACTCAATACATTAATTTGTGACCTCAATATAGTAATTTGTGGAAGCAGTATAGGAATTCGTGGCCCCAATATAGTATCTCATGGCCTTCATATATTAATGTGTGGCTTCAATATATTAGCTAATATTTGGCCTTGATATAGTAATTTGAGGCCTCAATATAGTATCTCATGTAGGAGTAATTTGTGGTCTCTATAAAGTACCTCATGGCCTCTGTATATAAATTTGTGGCCACAATATATTCATTTGTGGTCTCAATATACTAGCTAATTTTTGGCCTTGACATAGTAATTTGCGGCCTCGATATAGTATCTCATTGCCTCTATATATAAACTTGTGGCCTTGATTACAGTAATTTGTGGCCTCAATATAGTATCTCATGTAGGAGTAATTTGTGGCTGCAGTACAGGAATCTGTGGTCTCAATAAAGTATCTCATGGCCTGTGTATATAAATTTGTGGCCATAATATATTAATTTGTGGCCTCGATACATTAGCTAATGTTTGTCCTTGATATAGTAATGTGTGGCAGTATAGGAATTTGTGGCCCCAATATAATATCGCATGGCCTCTGTATATAAATTTGTGGCCACAACATACTAATTTGTGGCCACAACATACTAATTTGTGGCCTCAACATACTAGCTAATTCTTGGCCTTTGATATAGTATTTTGTGGCTGCAGTACATGAATTTGCGGCCTCAATATAGTATCTCATGGCCTCTACATATTCATTTGTGGCAACAACAGATTAGCTCATCTTTGGCCTCGATATAGTAATTTGTGGCCTCAATATATTAATCCGTGGCTGCACCTTATTAAAAAATAATCACCATTTCACTTTAGAGGCTTTTCAACCCCCGAAAAAAAGATTAAACCACTTTCTGAAACCACGTGTATCACAGTTAACAGTGAAGTTCATTGTTCAATTCCCAGACTTTCAGTTCGGTATTAAAAAAATCACCTTCGAAATTGACGCGTAGGTTTCGTGTTGAGTTTATACCGATGAATAAAAATAATTCCGTAGGCGAGGTAAGTTATTAGCTTCACACCTCACACTAACTTACATACAACTCAACTTTTACTACAGAAAAACACAACTAGCTAGAAGTTATCGCAGTCATTGCACAAATTATACGCTACAAACACCAACTGAGAGTAAATGAATGGGAGTATTTAGACCGCGATTTAATTATTTAACGCGTATTTTGTTGTTATTATTGAGGAGACGATGCTAGCTAGTTAGCTTACGTTAGCTCCAGGGCTATCTGAACCAAAATAAAACTGTTCACTGCTGCCCAGTAAACATTCGCGCTAATGTGAGAGGACTTAGTTAGCTAGTATTTTTAAAACCTTCCTGAAGAGTCGAAGTTTTTTAAAACTTAAGTTCTTAACTAGACTATGCTCTTGTTTATGTTTAGCATGCTAACTATTTAGCATAGGGCTCCTGTAGTTTGCTATCGCAGAAGGCAGCTAGTCAAATTGGCTAACGTTACCTGTAATATCTAAAAGCGTCGATGATTTTCCAGAAGTGTTGCCTTTCCAGCCTCTCCTCTTCCTCCGGGGAGTATTTAGTCCTCTCTCGGTAAAGGTACCGCTGCCCGGTGTCTGGAGCCGAGTCGCCCATGCTGCCGGCCATGGAGCACAAACACAGCAGCAGCAGCAGCAGCAGCAGCAGCTCAGAGAGAAAACCGGCAAAAATAGCCTCCTCATCATCTCATACAGTCACTCCAAGTCCATCAGTCACAGCGAAGATCAGTTTTCCATTGTGGAAATATGGAGAAAAATATAAAGAACTACTTCTGTTAATTATCAGTTTCCATAAATACACACAAGGCTACTTACTGCGAAACTTGTTGCTGTAATTCACACTATGGTATGTCTATATTGTGGCTTCACTATTGGACATAGAGTGCACTAGTGATTATTTCATGGCCTGCTCAGTGCACATGAGGTAGTGAGCCATTTAAGATTTGCTGATCAGCCATAACATTAAAAACCACCCCGTTTCTACATTCATTGTCCATTTTATCAGCTCCTCTTACCATATAGAAGCACTTTGTAGTTCTACAGTTACACACTTAGTCCATCTGCTTCTCTGTATACTTTGTTAGCCTCCTTTTACCCTCTTCTTCAATGGTCAGGACCCCCACAGAGCAGGTATTATTTAGGTGGTGGATCATTCTCAGCACTGCAGTGACACTGACGTGGTGCTGATGTGAGTGGATGAGGCACAGCAGTGCTGCTGGAGTTTTCAAACACTGTGTCCACTCACCGTCCACTCTATTAGACACTCCTACCTTGTTGGTCCGCCTTGTAGATGTAAAGTCAGTGACAGTAGCCCAACTCTTGCTGCACAGTTTGTGTTGGTCATCCTCTAGTCCTTCATCAGCGGTCACAGGACGCTGCCCACAGGACGCTGCTGGCTGGATATTTTTGGTTGGTGGACTATTCTTAAAAACTCCAGCAGCACTGCTGTGTCTGTATACAGTGCTGTGCAAATGTCTTACACCTGGGAAAATGTGATGGAAGGCCATTTATCTGGGCCGTAAACATTTATATGTATAAAAAACAGTAACATTAGAATGAATAAAAATAAACAATACATGATTTGACATGCGTTAGCTTTACCATTTCCAAAGCTGTCCCCAAGGAAGACCAATTATTACAGTAAACACTCAATACCTACTTTATATAACCAATATATTCCAACATATATATATATATATATATAACCGATCATTCATTAAATTACTTCAGGTGCTGATGATGGAATTGAACAATGCAATGGCCAAAGTACAGCGAGAAATTGGCAACCAAATCTACCAAACTGCATACAAGTATTATCAAAGAAGATTATGAAAAACATTTATTAATGCCAGATGTTTCTTCATTCATTATTCATAAATTAACACATTCAAAAGAACATTTAATCGTAAATATTACATACATATGAAACATGATGTATATGTTGATACATCATGTATAAATGTGTATAAGAAAATGTGTGCATTCGGCGTCTTTTTAATATGTATATATATATATATATATATATATATATATATATATATATATATATGTATACATAGAGCACACATTGTACTGTATAAAACTAGCCTGAGGGACCCTGAACTTGATGGACCCTAAGGCCGCTTCTTTTAGCTCCTTTCTTCTGAAGATGCCGTATTTTTCTGATTAGATGGAAGATGATTGCCCAGCTCCCGATCAGCACCATTACCAGGGCCACCCATGCTCCTGTGTGCTCATTGCACTTGGATCCAACTGGCAATGGCTGCTCATCTGAAACACAAAAAACATTCTTAACACAGGGACATACTCCTCATTCTCCTGTACTGCCACACGCTAACTGCATAAGCTCCATTTACCATCCACTGGATAGGTACCCCAATCATGAGGACCCCTGCTGACCATATATTATTTGGGTGGTGGACCATTCTCAGCTCAGAAGTGACACTGACATGGTAGAGAGTGTGTTGCTCGTCCATGTGTTGCTGGAGTTTTTACACATGTCAGGCTCAAGTCAGGTCAAAAGTGGTCCACCCCCAAAAAATATCCAGCCTAGAGCAGATCTGTGGTCAGAAACTAACCACTGAAAGCCTAAAAGATTGCTAACACAAACTGGCTATCAACAAATGGACTACAGTCTCTGACTGTACACCAGCAAGGTGAAGCTACAAGGGAATGGTTTCTAATAAAGTGGCAGATACATGTGCTTCAACATTCTGACTAAGCAATACATTTTGGTCCAGTTTCCCAGATTAAGCTTGAGTTTATAATATTCTAGAATTTCCAATAGTAACTCACCATTGGCATGGCAGTTTAGTCCAATACAAGGCTTAATTCATGTTGAGGAAACTGGCCCCCAAGGCTATGGGATAGTAATTAAGCTCCCTGGACAAAAATTAATCACCTTGCGTGTTTAAGGTGATAGTAACTTCAGGCTCGTTGCACGAGGATGATCAGGCGATAAATACCTGTAAGGTGTGCAACAGGATTCATAGATTGAGAAAAGGTGGTACAGTGCAGTAAATGTCTTGTTCGATGTGTGGAAAATGGGCCGCAAAAGCAGATGTTAATGACTGGCAAAAAGGAGGGATTACATTTGGGCATGTCAAAGACCATAGTGTGAAGGAAGTAGCTGAATTTGCAGGTGTATTGAAGCAAACGGTCATTATGGGTCAAACAGCAGTGGCAAAAATCCCAGTCTACAGGAAATTCTCATCAGAACTGTGGCCGAAAGACGAAACTGACAGACAGGGACCGCCAGTAAGTGGCTGAACGTTGATGTCGCCTACATCCAGAAACTTGAATCGCAGCTGTTATTCGTGCTCATGGAGGTATTACACACTATTAGGTATGTTTTAGTCACAGATGACTAATTTTTTGTCCAAAGAGCGTATTTTGATCAGTCTACTTTTATATGTAATTGTCAATCATGAGTTTCTGAGGAAAAGAGCCAGGAGAGATGGTCATGATTTACATGCATGCCAAAAAATGAATTACGCTCTATTTATTATGATCTATTTTCGGTGGTTCTCAATTCTGGGGTTGGAGTAGCTGTATCTGTGAGTTTCCTCTGCTCCTAGCGCATGTAATACAGGATCTAAACAACAAGCCCTTCCCGAGGTGAACTGGATGTGTTAGATATGTTAGAACATGCAGGGCAGTGGTAGCCCAGGACAAGGTTTGAGAACCACAGAGAGACAGGCCATGTGTTGTTATGTAATACATAAAACCTACCTTGTACTGTGACATTGTAAGTATTGATAATCTCTTTGTTCTTGGTATCCTTGATGATATAAGTCCCATGATCAGAGGCCATCATTTCTTTCAGATGAAGAGCACAGTCCAGTGACACTCTCTCTTTGTAGTTAGCACTGCACTGAAGTGAACGACCCTCCACCGTGCAAATCTGCTGGCTCAGTGAACCATCTGAGCCCTTGCTGTTGTAAATAACCTCCACAGGCTCTCTTACGGGCAGATCCAGAACGAGGGGTTCATTGGGCTTCATCTGAATAGACAAACCATGTGCTGAAGAGAAAGTTATTAATTACTTATATGTTACCACATCTTCAAACCTTGCGCTAAGAGTCAACAGCCATAGCTCTTCTAACATCTCAATGATTTACAACGATTTAAATTTAACAGTATAGCTTCTGTTAAATTACTGAACATAATCTGTCATAACAGCATTTGGCATCTGCCATGATGTTTTAATGGCATGTTTACATAGCTGGGTTCAAGTGTTACCTTAAACATTTACATGTAACAGTTCCATTTAACTTTACTCAAGCTTCATAGGCTACTAGGATTTTTGAAGGGAGGCCGTTTAGCATATATGAGACCGTCTGGCAGTGCACAGTCTTTGTTCACCTTTGATAAATTTCAATGTTCTAGCGCATCCTAGCAATTTTTACCCATGGATATAGAACAGGTTCTACGTATGCTTTGATAAATGAGGCCCCAGATACTTGTATTCTTTGTAGTCAACCTAGCAAATGTAACTTACACTGAATACGAAGGCTCACGGTGCAGATGTCTCTGCCGTTGCAGGCACAGGTGTACCAACCCTTCTTGCCAAAATCAGCTGAAATAATGGTGAGGGAAAGATCTCCAGCGAGGATCTTCTCACAAGACAGCTTGTATCCTCTCTCATTTTTGCAGGTGTCTTGATTATATTCAGCCACAACTTCTTTACTAGCAACGCTAGTCCACTGCACTTCACCGCTGCACTGTTTTACGCAGGGTAGGGTCACAGATTCATTAAGCTTCACTTGCGCAACGTCTACATTTGAGGCAGCTAATGGAAAAAAGCCTGGGTGAAGGAGAAACGTTGAGAAATTGCTATTATACAGATGCCACATTTAGAGATCAGATATACGTGATGGTTTGGACAAAATCTAGACTATTTTCTTTTTTATCACAAATGTAGTCCCACATTTGGTGGCTAAAATTTGCTATATAAAAAAGACAACAGTACAGACAAGATTCAGGTTCATTGCATGTGTCAGTACCACATAAACAAGCCTATCTGAGATTACTTTACTATTTGACATGGTTCGAGGCAAGTGTGTGATGATTTAGGGATGTACCGTAGTTTGCAGTGCTAACCTGCTAGCTACATTAGCCTCGAAGCTAAAAGAAGCAAACTTTGGACACCAAAAATGTCCTGATCGACCACAATTGAGGTAAGGAGAAAACTGTGTAAGTTAGATTTATGACTAACCCATAGCTATAAGCTAACCAAAGAACTGTTTTTGTCTACTTGTATATTTACTGCTGTTTTCCATCTATCCAAACTACACTAGTTCAAGAATACATTTGAAGCTTACCAAGAAAAAGTGCGCTAATGATTGTCAGCTCCATAGTGGCGTCTAGAAGACAAAGGCAATACATATTATTAATTCTATTCAGTGATAAAAACCCAACATCAATGTGCACACATGTCCTAGATGTCGTTTCATTTATCTACTCATAAAAGGTCATGGCTGCTAACGGTCAGTTTATGTCAACTGACTTACCATTGGTGTTCAAACCAATATAAATGTTAAATAGGCCTAAACAGAGGCCTAAATAGTTGGGAGTTACAGAGGGTGCACTAGTGAACATCTGAACAACAGCATTGGAATTGGGGGACTGCCAATCTCGATCTTCATCATGGATTCATGCTG